ATTAATATCCAAATTACTGAGAGGTGTGCTTTCTTTGCTTACAGATATACACCAAAGAGCCCCCTGAGGGAGCCAGACAGATCCAAAGAACTAGAAGCAGATTCTTCACAGAGCAACTCCTATAGGAACCCACGCTCCAGAATGCTGCGCCTCAAGGTATGTCCACCTTAAAACCTTGCTTCTTCTCTCACTGTATGAAAAGGGGATTTAAATCAGGAAATATTGCTGTGAATTTCCCACTCAGGAACTGCACTCCTAATTATCTGCTTCCCCCGTGGGGGTTTGAACCCACCACTGTTTGCAAACAATGAACTTTGTAAAGAATGGTCTGTTGGCAAAGGCAACCCCATTTAGGGAAATTTAGCATATTGTATTTGTATTAAGGGTTTTTATTTGTTTTATTATTGTGCTTGTACTGGGATACAATTAGCTGTCCATGCCTCTGAAATCCTAAATAGGATGATGGGTGGTATATAAATGTTTCTGAGAGTTGTTAGGAGACTGCTATTCCTCTCAGTTCCCAGAGCTTCAGTCCCCAAAGTTCTCCGGGATGAGGGACTGGTGGTTAAACCAGTCTGAGAACATGTGGAGACTCTTTTCAGGAGGGAGATAAGCAGGGAGTTGGGACAACCAACTTTTTTGCTTCCATATAACACTTGTGCTGGTTTTTCTGGTCTTCCTGCTGCCTCCCGCCCCCCCCCCCCGCATGCTTCCTCTTTATCGGTGGTAAGATTTATTATTTTCCTCTGCCCCCATCCAATTCTGCTTTCACATCTTGAGTTTATCTGGAAAGTATACTGTCAGGGAACGACTTGGCTGAAGTTGCTGGAGGAGAGAGACTTCGTTCCTTTAATGAAGACCAGGTTGCTTTCCTAACGCCTGAAATGTGCAGCGGTGAAAGCAATCGCGGGGAGGGGGGTGAACGGGGGGGGGGGCTGTTGGCAGGAAGGATGGGGGAAAGCAAGCACTTGTGGCTTTGCAAACCTCTTGAACCTGGGGGGATTTTTGACAATCTTCAAGGCTTTATCCAAATCCCAGCAGCTTCAGTGGGAAAAGGGAATCCTTCTTTGCCAGGTAGTGATTCCTGCCCATCAAACAGCTTGGAGTTAGGTGAGAGGAGGGTGAGCCCATAAGTCTTGTAAACTCTGAGGATCCACTCATGGGTGTAGCCAGGGGGGCAGGGCAGCTGCTCACAGGCATAGGATTTTTGTTAAGAGGGGTTTTGGGGAGAAATCATGGGTAGAAATACGTGGTTTCATTATGTGGGGCAGGTTTCTGCTGGGGGGGGGTAGGGGGCAGAACCTCAGTTAAGCGAGTGCTTTCAATGCTGCCCCAACTTCAGCTCCAAAGCTGGACTATGATAGACCATGTGGAAGGAGAAGAGACTCAGCAAAGAGCATTTAAGAAGGCTGAACATAGCAGACCTAGTAAAGTAAGTGGAAATCTTTTGCCCCACCACAAAAAGCCTCTGCTCATCTCTCTTGCTCAGCCATGTGTATGTCTAAGGAGTCAGGGAGGGGCAGCTTTCCCCCCTCATCAAGTAAATCAATACAAAATCTTAACTGAGGTTCTGCCCCCCCACCCCAAACATAAATGTTGGCTATGCCCATGTGCTCAGCCACGCGCACCACTTGTACCATAGAGCTGTCATTCAGTGCCTTGCAGAAAGTAAAGACATGGCTAGTGACAACGATGACAGGGGAGCGTCTCAATGGGCTTTGGTTACTGAGTATGCACAGAAAAAACTGCATTGGAAAAAAAGGAAGAATTTGAGAAAGAAGTGCTGAAAAGGTTTTCAGCAAATCCAAGAAAACTTGTTTTAGTTTTGTTGTTTTTTAAAAGTAACATACAAAATACATGTTCCTTGTAATTTCGCAAAATATACTCGTTAACTGCATGAAAAGTACTCCCTTATGCTAATTGTTTTATTTAACTTCCTAGTTTTCAAATGACTGAAAATTTTGACAGGATTTTTCTGAGCACTTGGGGGCAAAAGAATAATTTAAAACAACTGTTGTTGAGGCATTTCATTCCAAATCTGCTAGAGAGCCAGAGAGGGGTTGATGGCAAGTGGGTGTCCTGCACTCCACCACCCCAGAACACAAATCCTGGCTACGCCCATGGTTCTGTGCCCTTATAAGCTCCCACAGTAAGAGAAAGAACCAAACCAATTCAAATTACAGGAAACATTAGGAAGAACTTTCTGACAAGAGCTGTTTGACAATGGAATGGAGGTGAGTTTGGAAGATGGTGGACTCTCCTTCGTTGGAGGTTTTTAAACCAAGGTTGGATTGCAGGGGGTTGGACTAGATGACCCTAGGGTGTCTCTTCCAACTCTGCAGAGGGTCGTCTAGTCTAACCCCCTTCAGTGCAGAAATCTTAACTACAGCAACCATGACAGGTGGCCATTCCAACCTCAGCAAAAAACCTCCAATGAAGGAGAGTTCACCACCTTCCAAGGAAGTCTGTTCCACTGTCAAACAGCTCTTACTGTCAAAAAGTTCTTCCTGTTTAGTCGGAATCTCCTTTCTTGTAACTTGAAGCCATTGGTTCGAGTCCTACCCTCCCGAGCAGGAGAAAACAGGCTTGCTCCATCTTCCATGTGACAGCCCTTCAGATATTTGAAGATGGCTATCATATCTCCTCTCAGTGTCCTCATATCCAGGCTAGGTAAAGGTAAAGGGTAAAGGGACCCCTGACCATTAGGTCCAGTCGTGACCGACTCTGGGGTTGCGGCACTCATCTAGCTTTACTGGCCGAGGGAGCCGGTGTACAGCTTCCGGGTCATGTGGCCAGCACAACCAAGCCTCTTCTGGCAAACCAGAGCACCGCACGGAAACAACATTTACCCTCCCGCCGGAGCGGTACCTATTTATCTACTTGCACTGTGGTGTGCTTTCAAACTGGTAGGTTGGCAGGCGATGGGACCGAACAACGGGAGCTCATCCCATCGTGGGGATTCGAACCGCCGACCTTCTGATCGGCAAGACCTAGGCTCTGTGGTTTAGACCACAGCGCCACCCTGTGTCCCTTATATCCAGGCTAAATATACCCAATTCCCTTAATCAAAGAATGTATCAATTTTATTACATAAGTAAGGACAACCAGGAGTCAGGCTCAGCAAGCAAGGGAGCCCATGCCACCTTGGAACCCAGCTGGACCTCATTACTCAAGCAAAAATCACCTGCAAGCCCTTTAAACCCCTTAGGGTCCAGGGAAAGCCAATGGCTAACCTGGGTGGGCAGTCAAGCCCAGATCTGGACCATTCCTTACTGAGCTGCTGCAATTATGTGGCTCACCACATGAGGGCAGCAGTTCATGAGGATGCGAAGGCCTTGGACTCTGCCCTGGACTCATTAAGGAATGGTGGCACAAACACCTAACTAATAATTATAATGCTTGCTAGTAGTGGTGAGAGAGCAGCTCTGTGGGCATAGCCTGTTTTTCCCACTTCTTGTTCAGGTTTTACATAGTCATTTAGAATAAACAAAACATGTCATGTAACAACAACCGTGTAAGGCAGGTCAGTATCATTATGTTGCAGATGGGAAACCGAGGCTGAAAAAGGCAAGCCTCAAGCCACATGGCAGAGGTGCAGTTTGACTCCTGATCCAATGCTCATGATCCAATTTAATTTCAAACTGATAAGGTTTTTTATTTATTTATGTTGTAAAATTTATACACTGCTTGGTTGTTGTTGTTTTAAAAAATGAAAGCCCTCACAGCTGTCTACAGACTGCTGTCTAAAATAATCGATAAGGAGAATTAGCAACAATAGTTTTAATACTTTCCTCCTCCTAGTGGTGCAGCAATAAAATTGCTAGCACATTTGCAAAGCTAAGCAGGGTCTGGTGTGCGTTGCAGGGGGTTGGCCAAATCAGTGTTTCTCAACTGGGGTGTGGGGAGGGGTCACCTGGGAGCCCCCAGGATATTCCAAGGGGGGCACAGGTGAAAATTGCGTAACTGGGGAGCCACAGCACGAGACCAGGGGGCCATAGAGGGAAGTGAGAAGTGAAGAAAACAGAGACGTGGCCAAGAAAAGAAAAAAGAAAAAACAAACAAACAAACAGAGAAGTAAAGCAAATACAGTGGTACCTCAGGTTACATACGCTTCAGGTTACATACGCTTCAGGTTACAGACTCCGCTAACCCAGAAATAGACTGAAACAATAGACAATAGACTGAAAACAGGTTGAAACTCACATCAGCTTTCTAAACATCTGGGTAAAAAGGTAAAGGTAAAGGGACCCCATCTGGGTAGGCTTGTCTAAACAAAAAGTGTTTTCAACAGGTGCCAAAAAGAATACAGTCAAGGTGCCTGCCGGATATCAATAGGTAGGGAGTTCCAGCAATACTGCTTTTAAGCAGGACAGGGCCTAGCATGGTAATTTTAAACGGTTTTTTTTTTTTTTTTTTTTAAAGCCAAATCATCACAAAATGGTGCAGGGACTCCAGTACCCTTCGTAATCCTTCTTGGCACCTCCTGGGTCTTCCTTGACCCTCCTAAAAATATGGCATTGCTCCTGAGTCTGGATCTCCCTGACATTGTTCATTTCAGAGCCTGGAAGCCTTCATCACAAGGATGGTCCTGCTAGGGTGACTGTTTCTGCCTCCGTCCAGCTCTCTCTTAATGCTCACTTCATCCCGTGAAGGCAGCTGCTTAGCAGTTACTGCTTCCAGGATGGAGCACAGCATATGAGCAAATGTCCATATTTAGGCAGCACGAGGAGGAGCTACTTGGTTTGTGCAAACTCCCCCCCCCCCCTTTCCTCTCTTGGCTGATGAGGAAAAGCAGGCAGGCAATGCTAACTTGCTCCAGTCGCTCAGCCCCTAGCTCTGGGCCTGAACGTCCAAGCGCGTCAGCAGCTTTGCCCAAGGATATACAGAGTCCGTCTGGACCACGGCAGGGCTTCTCCAGCCTTCTGCTGATGGTGGGTGAATGTGCCTGCAGCAACAGCAGCAGCAGCAGCAGCCCTGGCTGACCACCGGTCCTCCTCAGGATGACTCCCCAGCAGAAAGCCAGCTTGTCACCACAGGGGCAGAGTGAGCAGGATTTGGGAGCCTGTCCTCCCACCCAGGAGTGGAGCAAGGCAAGTACTTGAATGGTGTGAAAGGAGGCTGAAGGTGCAGAGAGTCTGTGTCAAGAGGTACAGCTGGGCTGGCTGTTCCATGTGTCTAGAGAAGTTACCTCTCTGTCCGGGCTGGAACGGCTCGTCCCCACATTCCTTCCTGGACGTTTCACTTTTTCCAATTTGTTTTTCTTCCCCTTCCCTTCTATTTATTGCTCGTGTGCTCATTTCTCCGCCAGCTTCCCCTGATGAGCCGCTCCTGAATCCTGGCTTATTTTCTTTTACTTGATCGTACCGCAGAATCTGCTGAACCCGCAGCTGCTTCCTCCGACCATACGTATTTCCCCGCACCGGGATAAACTTTCCGTGCTTAGCTAGACGGTGTGTAACCACTAGACCTGTCCAACACACTTTCCTCTCGGCAGCCAACACATCTCTGTGCGCAGAGTACATGCTTATACAATGGTTCTCTGTGTGCTGTTCTTGTGCATGCCATATATCATGCACATGCTAAAACAGACAGGTCTACCACTTTGAAGTGCTTCTGAATACCAGTTGCTGGAAACCACAGGGGCAAAAGTTGCCCTTGAGCATCCCACTGGGGCATCTGGTAGGCCCCTGTGAGAACAGAACGCTGGACTAGATGGGCCATTGGTCCAATCCAGCAGGCTCTTATCCGTTAGACAATATTTGCTCAGCACACCCATTAGGCAGAATTCCATAAATATGTTTGTGGTTTACCGAGACTGAATAATATAATCACAGACTGATTCATGGCTTGACATTTCAGGGCCATTTCACACATTCCCTGGACAATATAAACCCAGATTTATATCCAACCCACAGCCAGTTCTCTACTCCTGGAAGAGTGTAACTGTCCAATATGCATATTTTAAAGCACCTGTCAGTCACACTGACAGCTCACATTCTGAAAACTGTCTAAGACTATCAGTAGCTACATGGTGGCTATGCTCTGATCAGAAGCAGTAATTCTTCTGAATACCAGTTGCTGGAGACTACAGGAGGGGAGTGGGCTCTTGTGTTCAGGTGCTGCTTGCTGGTTTCCCACAGGCATCTGGTTGGCCACTGGATGCTACACTAGATGGGCCACTTGTCTGATCCCGAAGAGCTCTTCTTCCTTTCTTCTGTTTAAGTAGACACCTGAAAATTGCAAAGCATAAAGAGGTATTTCGTGTAAAGCTGTTGGGAGTTTTTTGCTAACCTGGATGGTTAAGACCATGACTTTATTCTACTTGAATTCTTCATTCAAATGTTTCAAGGGGACATCTACTTAGGGTGGCCATGTGTCCTACATTCCCAGAAAAGAGTACTGTATTTGATGAGCTGTCCGCTTTAACAGCAGAAAACCCTAAGAAGCAAGAGCAAGTTGTACACCAACAGTTAGGACCTTGGCAGCAGACTAAGCAGAGATGGATATATGCATTTCTGTTTAAATTATAGTAATCATTTGCAGTATAAATATAAATTAGCACAGGGTGATGCATTTCCTCTCCTGGAGTGATGAGTAAGTGGACAGCTTATACCCACTGGGTAGGAAATGCCTGGCAAAGAAGGTGCTCAGTTGCTCCAGACCAGCTTACTTGATGCTTGAAGCATGAGCCCTCCAAAGTTTAGGTAGACCTGCGCCAGCTGCTGCCCTCCACTTGTAGAGGTGGCCAAATTTCATGGTGAGGTGAATTTCTGTCAACCAAGGCTGCTGTTTTTTATACTGTTGTTATACTGTTGTGATGCTGTTTTGTCTGCTAATGTTATAGAACTGAATGCTGTACAGGTGGTGGTGGTGGTGAGGAACAACAGGTATACTTGCAGGAGAAATTATCCCATTACCTGATGCTACTTTAGATGCCATAAAATCCCTCACCTTTCCCCTGAGGAGCTCAAGGTGGCATATGTGGTCTTCCTCATCATTTAAATCCCCACAACAATATTGTGAGGTGGGTTAGACTGAGAGGCCATGACCAGCCCCCAAGGTTTTGGAGAACGAGGTTCCTATTTTTGTGTGGGAGTGTACTGTGGTTCATGCCTTTTGGGGGAAAGCCTTTTATCTGACCTCCAAAATCACTAAACAATCTATGTCTCCTCTAATTCGGCACTTGCCAGGCGTATCACTGGATTTGACCCCAAATTCTACCCTTAAATCTAAAGAATTAATTTCCTTCCTGAAGCTAGGCTAGTTATTGCCCAATATGGAAGGAAACCTCTAATATACCAATAGTGGTTGGGGTTAATAACATCTGGAATATTGCTCTATCAGAATGCCTCACATATCACTGGTGAATAATCAGGGGCATCTCCAAAAAGATACCTTTGACACAATTCGATCTCCCTTTTTCTCTTTTATTGGGAATGGGATATTTTAATGCCATAATCATTACACAGGTGTCTGTGGCAGTGATATATTGATTGAAAAATGTCTAGTATACCAAATCAGTAATTGGGTCCCTATTGTGGGTATTTGTTGAGCCAACATGACAGTGATGAGGGATTGAGGATTGGAGTAATGTTTCTGTAGGATTATGGCAGTGGACAAAGCTGAAGTGTAACTTTTGAATAAACGTGTGTGTTTTTTAATAATAATAATAATAAGTGGCATACATGACTGTCCATAGCCACTGTATGTCAACAACCCTGGTCACCCAGTGAGCATTGTAGCTGAATGGGGATGGAGTGTCACCTACCACAGATGTATGGTAACTAATTTATAAGAAAATCAATAGCTCACCAATAATTGGCTACCTTGTAACAACTCAGAATCGTCAATACAAACAAATGTGACCAAAGGAAATAGATTTGAAATTGATATGAGCAGCAAAACCTTAATACAAAATAAGGAAGGTGTTTTGTGCCAGAATCCAACTTGGTATATTGTAAATAAGCAATAAATGCTCTCAGAGGGGCTCATCTCCAACTCCCCCCCCCCCCGCTGCCCCCTTGACTTTTAGCTCTCCCGTAGGTCCTCCCACTGTCCTCCAGGGGGCGGTACCATCCACTTTGGGGACCACTGCCATACACTACCATGCAAAGACATTTCCCTTCCCAGTGACTGTCCCTGTCACTCTCCAGCTCTTGCAGCTGCAGGCATCTATTTCTTTAGTATTACTAGCCAGAGTGGTGCAGTGGTCAGAGTGTCAGACTAGGACACTCCATCCCCATTCAGGTGAAGGTTTTTGCATATTTGGTAAGTCGTTATATATTAATATTTTGTGCTGCAAATTTGCTTCACCCTTATGTTTTTGTTAGTAAGAATATGTAAAAAAGACTTTTATGCAATATTCTTTGCCATTTATATTTTTTTCTAAGCTACAGAGCACATGCTTATTTTTACATAGGTTTATTTTTTGAATAAGGGAGCACTTAATTGTTACTCTTCTGAATTTTACTGTGTTAGCATCCTCCTTAGTGGATCATGCAAAGCCCTATTCTAAATAATGCTTTGACAGGGTAGGGGGCTCTGGTGATGATTTCAGGGAAGCAGGGGACAGTGGTCCGAAAAAGTTTAGGAACCACACTGGTCAGTGGATACACAGTGCTGCCCATTTGGAGTTTTCTCCTTTCCCCAGGTGCCCCCAGTCTGTCCACAGCACAAGGTTGGCTGCCCTCCCTTCTTTTCTTGTCGTGCCAAAGTGAGAAGATTCAGAAATGTTTAAGCCTTGTGTGAAAGGGGAGCTACTTCTAAATAGCTTGGTGTTAGCTTGGATAGCTCATTTGGTTAGAGCACGATGCTGATAACACCAAGGTTGCAGGTTCGATCTCTGTATGGGACAGCTGCATATTTCTGCATTGCAGAGGGTTGGACTAGATGATCCTCAGGGTCCCTTCCAACTCTACAATTCTATGATCCTTGCTCTGAATATTATTGCTCCCTTCGAGTCCATTCCTGCATACCAGTGCGGATATGAAAGGTCAGGTCCGTCCCGTCCCCCCACCCAGTAGGATTTACACTAGGGTAGTTACAAAATCCCCATCTCTGTTCCTTCATTTTTGCAGCCCAGTCTCAGGTGGGGGGTCATTTTGGTGATTTTTCAGAAAGGTGTGGAATTCAGCATGGTGGGGCGAATGTTATTACCATCATTATCATAGTCATTTATTTAGACCCCACCTTTTGCCCTGACAGGGTTCAGGGTGACTAACAGATAAAAACAAGAACCACTAAAAATAGGGGGGAAACAATACAGTGGTACCTCGGGTTACATACGCTTCAGGTTACACACTCCGCTAACCCAGAAATAGTGCTTCAGGTTAAGAACTTTGCTTCAGGATGAGAACAGAAATCGTGCTCCAGCGGCGCAGCAGCAGCGGGAGTTCCCATTAGCTAAAGTGGTGCTTCAGGTTAAGAACAGTTTCAGGTTAAGTACAGACCTCCAGAATGAATTAAGTACTTAACCTGAGGTACCACTGTAATCAAAAAACATTGATAGAATTAAAACTATATACACATACACAATCTTATTAGAAACATACAGATAATTACCATAAAACCAGCATGGTGACAGCCCTTTCATTAAAAGCAGCCAGTTCTCAAAAGAAGGACTTCACCTGCCAGCAGAAGGCCAGCAAGGAGGGAGCCAGTCTAACTTCTCTAGGGAGGGAGTTCCAAAGTTGTCTGGGAGCAGCCATCACCCAGAAGTCTCTCAGGTCCTGGGCCCCCATGAAGTGTGCCTGTGAGGGTGGTGGGACTGAGGGAAGGGAACCCAGGCAGGTTCCTATAAGGGAATAATGTATTTCAAATAGCTTGGGCCTAAGCTGTGTAACAATAACACCCTGCACTCCTTTCCTCTTGGTAAATGGTTGCTGGTGGGTGGTGGCAAATATTTATTTTATTTGCAATCAGAAGAATAGGATGGGCCCCTATGAAAGATATCTCATGTATCCAAGAGTAAAGAGGCGCATCTGTGGCACACTACGGAAGCTATGCCATGTGAATGCCTGACTAAATAGCACCATATCTCCTGGGCCACTTTCCCCTGCCTTGCAGCTGCCGTTTCCCTGCCAACCCCCGGAATATCCATGGAGTGACATGGGCTGCATTCACACAGCAGTCTATGCCATTTCACTTATGTTTATTTCCAAATTATTTAAATTTGTATACTACCCTTTATCTATAGATCTCAGGCTGGTCCATAACATAAGATTACAATATAAAAAGCACAAAATGATTCATTCTCTCCTACTACCTGTTGCATCTAGGCTGCAACTGGTCAGTTTCAGTGCAAGCCTATGATTGCTGGCTGCATCTTGCCTTCTCCCTATCATGCTACTTTGGTAAGTAGTTTGATAGGGAGAAGGTCCTGAGTGTGTGTGGCTCTGCTCATGGATTTTCAGAATGACTTTTTAATGGCTTAAGAAAAAGAAGGAGCTTGGTATATTACAAGACCAAACTACATTGCAAGGTGGGTCATTAACAGACTGATCAACAAAGACCTGAAATTTAATAAACAGTGTATGTAAAACATTAGAACCAAATGTTGTTTGACTCCCAACTCCCACCATCCCTGATGATTCTGGAAACCTAGCAGAATATAGTGGAAGTTTAGGACTGATTTTTGTATTAATTGCTTGCAACCTCATTGACCGAGAAAATGGTGAAGGGTAATGTGATAAAATGTCAGGCTCTAATCTGGCATGCAGTCCTTTCCTGCTGCTTTCATGGGGGGGAATCATGGGGAAACAGAAGCAAGTATGTGCAGAAATAGGGGTGGGGGCGTTGCCCAGTGATGTAGTGCAGTGTTGTGCCACACCACACCCACTGGTGTGAATGAAATTTATCACCACGTGCCAGCAGACCAGTAAAAAAGCAGCACTTCCATAACACAACAGTTAGAGTACTGCAGCGTGAAAGGAATGTTAGAAAACTACCACAGTATTTCCTGCATCTGAATGCACCCCTGGTGTCAGGAAATGTAACATCATTTCAAGGAGACAAGTTGCAGTTGCAGGGGGTGGGGGGGGTGGAGGGCAGCAAGCAAAGGAGGCTAGTGGCACCACCTCTGTTGTCAAACAGCTGGAGTAAAAACACAGAAAAAAGCAGCGTCAAGAATAATGGGCCTGTGCCCTATGGCTATGGTGTATGTAGGGCTGGATCAAAGTCTAGGGCCCTGTAGCCCTGGGACCCCAAAATGAGCCTGGCAGGTGATGCAGCACACACGGTTGCTGAGCTTTTTTTTTTTTTAGGAAAACCCCAAAATTGTTGAGGTTTTTGTTCATTGTTTTTTACTTGCCTAAGATCCAGAACAAAGCACCACCTTTAGGAAGTTCCTCCCGGACATTCATTCCGCCTCTGAAATCATGATAATGTCCAAGAAAATCCAGGCATACGGCAGTCCTACTGATGTGGGCATGCCTGGGAGTTGAAGACACCAGGGCTGATACTTACCACTGTAGCATCCTTCCTTTCCGCTTATCTTTTCTTTAAAACATTTTATAGCCACGGGGCAGATACCTGGCCGTGTGCATGGTTATAGGTGCTCATTTTATCGTTTCTAATTGGAAAACACACCGGTCTTCTTTTCTACAACAAAATGCTGATTATTAGTCCTAAAGAAATGTATTGAAAGCATAAGGAAGCATGTCCCATTTTGTTCCTTTAGTCATGATGGTGCTGTGATCTCAGTGACTTCAAAATGCAAAACTGCACGTGCTCAGAGTCCTTCCTTTATTTCTTTTTTTTTAAAATCAGTGCTGGTAAACCTTTTTAAAATATATATATATATTGGCTCTAATGTAGCAGGAATGTAGAACCAGCTTCAAACGCGGCTAGGCTGTTCTTTTTATTAATTCAGAAGCTGGGCGGGGGTGGGCAACACACATCAAACAAAATGCAGTATTTCGTAAGAAACAGCGTGACAGATACAGGATAGGTGTGGACTTTGGCTATGTTTACAACACTTCCCAAACAAACAGTGGGAGTATACTGCATGTGTCCACCGGGTCAGTTTTTATCTGAGCTGTGGCACATCCGGGCAAGGGGATTCAAACCATTGGATGCCCCTGCATACAAAACATTCCCAGTGCATGGAAATCCAGATTGATCTGCTTTACCCTGCTTTTTCTTAGTGCAAGGGAATTTGATGGTGTGAAAGTGGACTAATGGAGTTGCTCTGCCCAGACACAGGGTTAACCACCTTCAGGAGAACTTAGCCATGGTGGGCATCTGGGTGGTTTCCTCTCAGACATTTAAGGTAAAGGTAAAGGGACCCCTGACCATTAGGTTCAGTCATGTCCGACTCTGGGGTTGCGGCGCTCATTTCGCTTTATTGGCCGAGGGAGCTGGCATACGGCTTCCGGGTCATGTGGCCAGCATGACTGAGCCGCTTCTGGTGAACCAGAGCAGCGCACAGAAATGCCGTTTACCTTCCCGCCGGAGTGGTACCTATTTATCTACTTGCACTTCATGCTTTCGAACTGCTAGGTTGGCAGGAGCAGGGACCGAGCAACGGGAGCTCACCCCGTTGCGGGGATTCGAACCACGACCTTCCAATCGGCAAGTCCTAGGCTCTGTGGTTTAATCCACAGCGCCACCTGCGTCCCTCATTTAGGACATTTAGGATGCAGCAAATGCCTAACACTTTAGAACGGTCCTTTCAGCCTTGTGTCCCTAATTGGACTGAAACTCCCACCATCCCTGGCTGTGGAGGCTGGGAATGATGGGAGTCATAGGCCAACAACACCTGGGGACAGGAAAGCTGAAGAACACCAGCTTGGATGAAAGAAATTCCCTCCTCCTCCTGAAAGGAAGAACAGTAAAGGTAAAAGCACATCAATCCTACCTAGCTTCTGTGGGAAGGAAACATGAATCCCTGTGATCCATGTGTGTAGGGTGAATAGCAAGAGAATCAGCTGGGTGCTTAGATTCAAAATGTGAAGCTAAACTCACCCTCCAGCAGAAGAAATCCCCCAGTAGCAGATTTTGAATTCACAAAAGTCAAGCAGCATTATAATGCGGGGATATAGGTTATGCACCCTTTAATACCACTTAGCTGTATCCAGAGCTTCCCTCTTTCCTACCCCTCTTAGCACTGAACTGATCATAACACTTAAGTAAGTTTCAAATGTGTTACTTACGAAACATTCCAAAGGTCAGATTCATTCACGTATCCAGACAGCAGCAAGGAAAACTCAGGCAGAATACTCTTGGATACAATATACAGAAACGTTGCTTCAAACATGTGCTCTAAGCTTGGAGCCTGCTTAGGCACGTCTTCTTTGGCCATTAACATCATGTGGAGAGAAAGGGAACAGGAAGAAAAGGCTTCACTTCCTCTCTCATTTGAGAAGAGGGGGCATCACTTAGCTGAGTCTAGGAATCCAGCTCTATTGTCTTAACCCCTTCACACACTAACTAGCACTCATGCGTAGTTATGTTTGACTGCAATTTCCCATGGTTTTTATGTCCAGGCTGCTTCAGGCTGAGCTTGCAGTTGTCTTATCTGTGCCTCCCCTTCACATGGAACTGCTAGGTCCTGCATCTTTTACAGCTGGATCATTGAATCAGTTGTAGCAGATAAAGCAGGCCTGATCTCCAAGAGGTCTTGGAAGTTTTAGGGCAAGAATGAGGAATCTCTTTACAGACTGGTCTCAGGCCCAGACATAACTGCAATTTGCCACTTGTTTGCTAAATTCACAGGTCTAATGGTTGGGCCAAGTGTGTAGCCGAACAGCAGAGGGAACTTAAGAGGTGACAGGCTAGAAGTTTACAAAATCATGCAAGGCATAGTGAAAATTGACTAGAGAAAAGTTTTCCTACCTGTCTCATAACTCTAGAACTTGTGGACATCCAAGGAAACTGAATGTAGGAATAGATAAAAATTAGTCCTTATTAGTAGTATTAGTGTTATTGAAGCAAAAAAAAAAAAAAAAACCCAATACAAGAATAGAGATAGAAATGCAAAGCAAAACAAACAGTGCAGTATACTCTCCTTAAACCAGGTAAGCAGAGTACTTAAAACCTTTCCGAAAGCCAAATTTCACACTACCATGGAGAAGGGCCCTGGGTGTCTGTATTTGTTGGATATATGGAAGACTAGAAGGCCCATTGGCCTGATCCAACAGACACTTCTTAAGTTCTTCATTCTGCTCCAGTGCTTTTCAACAGCAATTTATTGTACAGAAATTAGCAGGTTGTAAGTGATTATCAAGACCTGGCCAATCCAGTTTTTCCCAGTCAGTTGGCAATCCTTTGTCAAGGTGCATATGCAAACTAGCCAGAGGGAAAGGAAGAGAGCAGGGTGTGGCTTTTCTCATGTCTGTACCTGCCCAAATTCCTTCTTAATAATGCCATTACTTGGCACTTGCCTGTAGCTTTCAGATGTCCAAAGCACTTAACATTATCCCGTCATCTTACTACAATCCTGTAAGGTACACCAGTATTATTAGTGCCAAGTTGCAAATGGGAAGTCAAGGGTGATTGGCTTACCGAAGGGCGGGGGGGGGGGGTGCTTCCAAAATTCTGCATCTGAATTTCATAGATGAGTAGAGTTGGAAGAGACCAAATGGTTATCTAGTCTACTCCCTTCAGTGCATGAATTTGTTCCCAGATTTTGGAGTTCCAACTTTACCTGAAGATTTTGCTTCTGAAGTGGAGCTGTGCCTTAGAAAGTTTTTATCTTTCCTTCCTGCCTCCCCTTCCCATTTCCAAATTCTGTACAGAGCACTGCTTTCAGTTCCTTCGCATCTCTCTCCCCTCTCCCCATTTTGTGGTGATAGTATATTTTGGTGGTTTTTAAGGTTTACCAGTGAGCACATAACTCTTGTGTACTGACACACATCTCAAAGGTGCCTTCCATCTTGCTCCCTTTTCTCCCTCAGGTGGTGTATATACACACCAGTATACACACACAAGGTGGTGTATACACACCCAGTTTGGTGTTTTCTAAAGGCGTTTTTGTAACCATTGCTTTGCAAGTGTCCTTACCTGCAGCCTATGCAGGCAGCACGAGCAATTGTTAAATCATTGCCATTTATATATTTGGGCAAAACCTGCACCCAGTTCATTTTTAAGGCAGGGTCTTGCAAAACATGTTTCCTGACCAGGAATTGAACCCGGACCATGGCGGTAAGAGCGCCGAATCCTAACCACTAGACCACCAGGGAATTTTTTTTAATTACTGCCATTTGTACCTACAGAAGGTGTATCCTCTTCGCCTAAATTGTACATTTGTTCCTTTGCACCCTCTCCTTTCAACGCTCAACACCTTTTTTGAATCTCTTGACCCCCGTAAGTTTATTGATAAACCGGAAGACTAATATCACTGTGCTTATGTTAGCACTCTGTATGTCCAGTGGTTTCCTTCCCTTGCATCATGCAGGAAACTTTACAACTACATACCTCTTTTCTTTTGGCAGGGCACTCTAAGTATGCTCAAAGGCTATCTGCTCTGGCACAATGCATGGCAAATTACAGTGTTTCATTTCAAGGTCCCATATTTTTTGCCCTATAGGATGCACTTTTTCCCCTCCAAAAATGAAGGGGAAATGTGTGTGCGTCCTATGGGGCAAATACAGGCTTTCGCTGAAGCCTGGAGAGCGATAGGGGTCGGTGCGCACCGACCCCTCTCGCTCTCCAGGCTTCAGGAAGCTCCGCACAACCCTCGGGAGCCCGGCGCAAAGCCGCGCCGGGCTCCCGAGGGTTGCGCAGAGCTGCCTGCACTCCCGGGCTTGGCGCAGCTCCGCGCAACCCTCCGGAGCCTGGTGCAGCTTCGGCATCGCTCTGGCTCCCATTCTGGGGGCTGGGGTCGGGGGAAGCTCAGGCGAAAAATACGGTACTTGAGTTTTGCTATGCTCTGAATCTCCATGCCCTGGCACTAGACAGGCTGGGACCCAGTTTAATTTATTTAACGAGGAGTGCAAAAAAAAGGGGTGGTTGGAAGGCACTTCTGGCTTCCAATATATCTGCTCCTGTTATACCTATTAATTCCATTGGGGTCATTGTGGTTTCTCAAAGGGCAACACACAAAATAGACATGCCTCAAACCTGTCCAGCTGCCACCATAAGCAGTCAGATGCCATGCTTCTCGGTTGAAAAAAGTTTATAGGGACTGTGACATTAAGTTGATCGAAGCTTTGCAATTTTAATAAACTGGATTCAGCAGCAGCAACAACAACTGAAGTGCCTTTTTGCAGAATCCACACATGATGTTGTTAGCACCAAAATACTGGCCTGTACTTTTTCATTTAATCTGGATTTACCCTTTCTGGATAAAATCCAGTGTGTTGGTTGGTTGTTTTTCAAGTCGGTTGCCGATGACCCTTTTGCAATATCCATTTACATCCCCTTTCTGCAAAAACCCTGTGTCTTGACACACAACCTTTTGGAAGAGTCTGCTCTAAGTTCAAAGCGAGACAACAGCTTCCGCCACCCTAGAGATGGAAGGTGGTTTTAAAGAGCGGTGGCTGCTTCTGATATGTGGATATCCATCCTTCTTTCACCTCTGCTCTAAAAAGGTTTTGCATGGATTCAAAAACCTGCCAAACCTCTTTGAGCACGTGTGCCAGTCAGTAATGGGAAGGAAGTATATCTGTACAACATAGAAAATGATGCCTCTCCTAACCCGACTTTTAGCCAACTTAAAATACTATTGTCTGTCTCCTGCTTTAAAAGAATGAATGCAGCATGTTTTAAATAAGGCTCTTTCCTGTAAATTGTATGCCAACAAACAAGACCTTTTCCACTTAACGTTTCCCTTAAGGGGAACATTACAGTCAGCTGCCAGTAGTTCTGTGGAGCTGCCTGGGGTGCTATTTATTTATATACAAACTGGGTGTTGTTATTAGAAACAGCTGGCAATGCTAAAAGTTAAATTTCTAGTTCATGGGTTAAAGGGCTTCAGACGTCTTTACACCTGAGGAGAAGCACTGATCTCAGTGCAAATGCTTTCACTATCATACATCCCGGAGGCATCCTGGTGGTGGAATGGTGCAGTCTTGTTAGGTCCTGCAAGTTATGGGACAAGGGGAGAGAACTTAGCATGGGATGCTGTTTTTAGGCGTATTCCCACCGCTTGTGTAGAATGAAATTCTGAGCTCAGTATTTTTTCTAGGGTCTATGAGCATAGGTATTCTGTTTAACTCTTGCCTTTATGAGTCATCAGTTGACATCATCTAACCCTTAAACACACACACACACACACACACACACACACGCCTAACTAGGCCCATGTGCATTACCACATAGAATCACGGAATTGTAGAGTTGGAAGGGACCTCAAGGAATCTCAGCTGAAGCATCCATGATAAATGGCCATCCAGCCTCTGCTTAAAAACCTCCAAGGAAGGGGAGTCTATCACCTTCCGCAGGAGTTAATAATGCACTGAGTGAAGCAGTACACACATACACTTTCCCATGAATTTATTGTCAATCAATTGCACTTGATGACACTCCCTCCCTCCCTCCCTCTCTCTCTCTCTCACACACACACACAAACACACAAAGAGCTAGGTTGTGCAAACATCACCAGCTTAAAATGCAGCTAGGTCATTATATTTCTTAATTCTGATTGAAGCTGGTTTGGGAGAAAACAAATCAAAATACAGGATTTCAGAAGAAACAACAGGTTAGATATGGGTTGTGGCTAATGTTATGTGTACACTGCTTCCCAAGCCAGAGCTGGGAGCACACTGGGTGCCAGACAGAGTAAACAGGAGGGTGCACACTAGGGTATTAGGAGTCTAGGGTAGGAGCTGTCCACTCTAACCACAGGGTGTGTTCATTTGGATGCCATATCCCCTGAATTTTGGTGGTTGAAATGGCATCCCTACACAAAGAATACTATTGTAGCTGGGGTACCAGAGTGAATATTATAAACTAATAAACAGTTGTGTTTAGATATGGATGCAAGAGATATGGGATATTGGGATATGAATGCAAGAGAACTGTTCCTCTGCCCCCACCCCTGCTCTGAGGAGTGGAAAGAAACAGGATAATTAGCAGGTTGCCTAGATGATGGGGGGCCTGATGTCACAAGAAAAAAATGTCCTTTTTGAAATCTAAAGGTTTGCTGGGAGGAAGTGGGGCAGAATTCCATGGGTTGTTGTGGAGGTGAGAAGCAGAACAAGGAGATGGTGCATGGGATGTCTCTGAAAGCAGTGCTGGGTGGTGGGGAAGGAGTTAGAAGATAGGAAGTATAGGAACATAGGGTGCTGCCTTATATTGAGTCAGATCACTGGGTTCCTCTAGCTCAGTATTGTCTACACTGAGCAGCAGCAGCTCTTTGCAGGGTTTCAAGCAGGGTTCTCTCCCAGCCCTACCTAGAGAGGCCATTGGGAACGGAACCTGTGACCTTCTGCTTGCCAAGCAGTTGCTTTACCACTGAACTACAGTCCTTCCACAGATAGTCCACTTCATGTACATTTTCAATCCTGCAACAACCTTCCTCTTTAAAACCTTTGTAGGAAATAAACAGACCGATAGGAAATAAACAGACCAATAGTGTTGACAAAAATGGGTGGAATTTTTTCCAAAACTGAATGCCCAAAATAATTACTCCCTCCAAAAATCAGGCAGGGGGGTTTAAGCTTGCAGCACTACCAAGACACAAAATGCAAAACAAAAAACAAAACAAAAGAACACCCGGATTCCTCACCCCCCCCCCACCTCATGATATAACTTAGTGTGTGTGTGTTTTCCATTGAAGTCAGTGTGTTTGGGAGAGGAGAGCTGTCCTGTTTTTAGAGCTGTTGCTTCTGTTATCAAAGGAAGAAAAGAAAGGCAAGATGGGCAAAAGCATTAAAGAGAGTGGGAGGCAATTTGCATGTTTTATTTTCCTTTAGACTAGAGAAAGGTTGCTTGTTTTAAAATCTTAGGTAATTTCTGGGGGCTGACCTTAGCAGACTGGAAACTGAGCCACAATGAACAAAATGAATCTCAACAGAGACAAACGTCATGTTCCGCACTGAGGCAGGAATAACCAGATGCACAAATATAGGATGTGGGATGCCTGGCTTTTGTAGTGGTCCATGTGAAAAGGATCTAGGAGTCTTAGCAGTCCTCAAGCTTCACACGGGCCAGCAGTATGGTGCACCAGCCAAAAAGAGCTAATGCAATTCTAGGCTGCATCAATAGAAGCAAAGTCTCATTTAGCTACGGGCAGTTTGAGGATGCTCCATCCACCATCTAGAAATGGTCTAAATGAATAAACAAAGTGGGTTGGTGTGTGGAGGGTGCAGCATAAATCCACTTCAAGTGCACAATTAATGAGTCAACACCACAGACACAGGATAAAGCACTAAGCTGCAACTTTAAACAGCTATGGCTTCCCCCCAGTGAATTCAGGGCACTGCAGTATGATAAGAGTGCTGAGTGTGGTTAGAAAACTCCCCCATTCCCCTCCTAGAACTGCAGTTCCCAGAGTGCTTTAATAATCCCTCTTCTCAGGGGACTCTGGGAATTGTAGCTATGTGAGAGGAATAGGGGAGGAGTCGCTAGGCACCCTTAACAAACTTCACTTCCTAGGATTCTTTGGTTGCAACCATGATGGCTTAAAGTGGCATAATAATGCTCCAAATGTATGGTGTGAACATGGACTCAGAATGGGAAAGAAGTGGGTGTCTGTCTGTGTGAAATGACTTGAGAACTTAGTTCTGGCACTGGTCACAAATTTTCTGGGCTCTGCATGTGCTCCTTAGGTTTCTGGTGTGTATATCTACACAGCAGGGCCACTGTTTTGCACCTGGTGCCAGTTGGTGGTCCATGGCTACACAGGAATCTGCCTTATACTGATCTATCTAACCCAGTATTGTCGATACTGATGGGCAGCGGCCCTCCAGAGTTTCAAGCAGGAATCTCTCCCAGACCTACCAAAAGGGAACTGAATGCCTTCTACATTCAAGGCAGGCAGAGCCAGCGCAATACATGTAGGCACCTAAGGTGAACCACAAAATGGCGCCCTCCCACCAGGAACAAGCGGGGAGTGAAGATCTACATCGGGAGTAAGGGAGGAATAAAGATAAACATTGGGAACAAGGCATGGAATCAAATCAACCTTACCTTTTGGCTGAAGTGTGAATCAAAGTATGGCGTGGTGGGGGAAGGGGCCCACGCTGAATCACACTGGCAGATCCAGCCTCCAAGGAGTGCACCACAGCCATTGCTGGCAGTGCAGCGGCAGCAGGGGACATTGCATTCCTTAGAGGCAGGACCAGGTGCCCCTGTAGATCCTGCCGCCTGAGGTGGTTGCCTCCCTTTGTCTCATGCATGGGCCAGCCCTAAAGGGGGGGGAGAGAGATGTGAGCCTGCAGCCGAGTTAATAGTAAAGCAGAATGTTCCTCAAAGCTTTCCATTGTACTGTAAATAGGGAGGAATCTCTTTTCCATGCCCCCAGCGCGCCCCGCCCCAAAGCTTACCTTGATTTACCATTGCCCGGTGTCTCATTAAAAACAGCCTCCCCCAGTTGCTCTGGGTTCCGTGTTATTTGTTTCCAGGCGGCAGCATCAACATTTGTCTCTCAAAGTAGGCTGCAATATAAAAGAAACCATACACTATGATAAATGCATAGTATCATTGCAATGCTTGCAAAGTATCACATTTAAGAACTCAAAAAACCCTAAAATTTAAACTTTTCCATATTGGGACATGGTCACAAGGAAGGAAGGAAGGAAGGAAGGAAGGAAGGAAGGAAGGAAGGAAGGAAAGCAGTCTCTTTTACATAGTATTTCTTTGTGTTCTTAGGAGGGGACATAAATAAAGTATACTGGTTAATATTGTCATGTTAATATTGTCATGTGCCACCCACAATCTCTGCCTCACGGTGACAAGATTTCAGGGCGTTCCAGAGACTGTATTGTCTTTAAGATATGTGTTTTTATTGACACATATATGCATTCAAGCCTACTGTGGAGAATTCCAGAGCATGCACATCTCAAGAGGGGCATACTTCCTGCAGGTGCACATCATTAGACCTCTGTGTCTCTTTGTAACAGCCTGCTCCAGTCAGTCCACATGGCTCCTGCAACCCCCTTCTTCCCAGAAACCCTTGCCAAATGCAGCTTCCCCTTCCGCTGACATCATTGCTCTCTGTAACCTTGGCAACCTCCCTCTCTGTGCAAGGCAGAGTTCTTCTGTCTTGTTGATTTCTTCTATTGATGGGTTAATGACTGGCCATTTCAGCCTTTGTTTCTTAATGGCTTATCCCTGGCAAGCTATGTCAAGCTGGGCTGGCTCGTTGTCGGGAAAACTTAACCCAGCAGTGTTTGGTACAGTAAATCAAACCTTGATTAATTCTAACTTTTACTAATTCCATAAATTATGGGTGCCCTGCGCCCAAAAACTCTGGGACTTCAGACACGGGTCCCAATATGAATGGAACTTCTTCCTTCCCTTCTGCCCTGCAAAGGCTCTGGTGGCAGATTGCTCTCCAGTCCCTGTTTCGGCAGGGAGGTGAGTCATCAGAGGCTGCTTTTCAAGGCATGTTTGCTGTAAGTGCCCCATTAGTCCACTTTTTCCACCAGCCACCTCTTCAAATGCTATTTAGCAAATCAGAGGCTGTGCCCGTTGTGTGATGCTTTTAAAGCATAAAGGGATTAATGTTCCACTCTAATGAAAACCAGATGTAGAAAGTTGCCTGGCTGAAAGCTATTTTCCACTGCCAAGCTGCAAATGAAACGATTTAATCAGCATGAAAATTGTTGCCAAATCTACAACTCTGACCGTATCTCCCAAGCTGAGATGCACCAGCACTACAGGCATCTGGGATCTGCAGGCAGGTCGTCCAGTAGAGGTGATATTTAAAGCGCAACTCCAGCTCAGGTTTTTAAATTTTATTTTAATTTTTATTACGCAAAAAGGGGGGGGGGGGAATGCAAAACTCTCATGTGTAGTGAATCCTGGAAAAGTCCAATAAGCATGAATGGATGCACAGACCGACCATTAATAACGTACAAATATTCATGCTCAGTATAATCATAATACTGTAGTAAAGGTAAAGGTAAAGGGACCCCTGACCATTAGGTCCAGTCGCAGACTTTATTGGCCAAGGAAGCCGGCATACAGCTTCCGGGTCATGTGGTCAGCATGACTAAGCCACTTCTGGCGAACCAGAGCAACGCACGGAAACACTGTTTACCTTCCCGCCAGAGCGGTACCTATTTATCTACCTGCACTTTGACGTGCTTTCGAACTGCTATGTTGGCAGGAGCTGAGACTGAGCAACGGGAGCTCACCCCATCACGGGGATTCAAACCGCCAACCTTCTGTTCGGCAAGCCCTAGGCTCTGTGGTTTAACCCACAGCACCACCCATGTCCAATCATAATAGTAGTTAGGCCTTATTAAATTAGTCATATTGTACGTATAGAAGATTGGTTGTACAACAGATCCCTTGCTTTAAGAATAATTCTTAACTAGTTCCCATTCTTGTTCAAACTCATTGATTCGTTGCTTTCCTTGTCTTGTAAAAAAAATAAAAAATCAAGTTAGCTCAGCTGGTTAAAGCATGGTGCTGATAATGCCCAGGTTTGATCCCTATATGGGACAGTTGCATATTTCTGCCTGCAGGGTGTTGGACTAGATGATCCTTATGGCCCCTTCCAACTAACTCTACAATTGATTATAAGATTCTACTTAAAGCATCAAATTCCCATAGTATAATGAACACCTCTTTAAAGAATGAATTACTGATGTTTTGCATGTAGTGTCTGCACTGCTAGCACTACGTAAAGAATTTTTTCTCTTTGTGAAAACCTGCTCTTTAAAGCTCAATCGGAGCAAGCAGAAGTCTGCAGAAAATGCAAATTTATGTTTGCTGTGATTCAGTCCTAAACAGCAGGACAAAGAAAGGCCCACGCATAACCAGAACATGAAAGCGTGGACTGTGCCTGGAAAGTGCAGGGCAAAAGGTAAGTACAGTATGGATAAAAACCCTTGGTGTTTGGTTCTCAAGTTGTGAAACATTTGGCATTAGAAGGGGGATGAGTGCTTAAGAGTTCTCTTACAAGAGTCCCCTTCCTCCACCCCCCAAAAAAGAAGCTAAAGAAAAATATGAGTCTTAAATAAAGGTAAAGGTAAAGGTAAAGGTACCCCTGCCCGTACGGGCCAGTCGTGTCCGACTCTAGGGTTGCGTGCTCATCTCGCTTAAGAGGCCGTGAGCCGGCGCTGTCCAAAGACACTTCCGGGTCACGTGGCCAGCGTGACGAAGCTGCTCTGGCGAGCCAGCACCAGCGCCGCACACGGAACGCCGTTTACCTTCCTGCTGGTAAGCGGTACCTATTTATCTACTTGCACTTAAGGGTGCTTTCGAACTGCTAGGTGGGCAGGAGCTGGGACCGAACGACGGGAGCTCACCCCGCCGCGGGGATTTGAACCGCCGACCATACGATCAGCAAGTCCTAGGCACTGAGGTTTTACCCACAGGAATCTACAGCTGAAGAATCAGAATTGTAGAGTCGAAAGGGATCTTCAAGGTCAAGTAGTCCGAAAACTCACTCTTTAAAGCTAAAGTGCAACAAACATCAATTGGGGTTTTCTGTGGATTGCTGCTTGCTCCAGTGGAGCTTTAAAGAGTGGGATTCCACAGGTAAAAAAAGAGAGCACTTGGACATAGAGCTTTAAAGCATGGACTGTGCCTGGAAAGTGTGGGGCAAAAAGTAACTATGGATAAGCCCACAGTTGCACTGAAGCATGTAAGGTTGTTTGCTTGTTTGTTTGTTTGTTTGCAGTATCCTTGCAAAATCATACTTACCTCTACAGAATATCTGATGGAAAAACCCTTTTCGAGAAATGGTAAATTTAGAATAAATGGGACAGAGAGACTTATGGGAGAGCATTTCGATGAGGACAATGTATGTACTTGGATGCATGAGTACTAAAGTGCCTATTATTTCGCAGATATACTGTTTATTGGCCATGGCTAGAAAATCAATCAGTTATGAAGAATGAACTTCCTATATTGTGATACTGTTAGCTTGTTGGTGGTGGGAGGCCAGGAATTGCTGTATTGCTGGAGTAACTGCCTCTGCTGTCTGAAAGGATTGGTTTAAATGTCTACCTCTTTTCAAAACATTTTGGACGCATTGGTCCAAAGATCTGTTGTGTGAGCCAAAGAAGTCAATTTCTGCAGGGGGGGGCAGTGTAGAGGGGCAACATGATGCAAACATGCCAGCAGGAGCTCTGTTTTGCTAAAGCCTAGAAGCTGATAATTTTTTTAAAAAGATTAAAATGATAAACCCTGTAATGCTCTTCAGAGCCCTACGTTTTGCAAAGCTTTGTGTTTTGGGGACTCTTGGAGGCCTGCAAGACTGACAGAGGTCACAAGCCCTGGAAAGGTAAAAGGCCAATGGAAAAGCTGAGAAGTTCTAAGCAAAATGTGCAAGCAAACAATAATGCAGACCAATTGGACAGCTCTTCATCGTTTTAAGGTAGCAAAGAGCAAGAGATGGAGGATTGTGGAGGAAAGTCAATCTTTTCTTTCTTTCTTCCCACAAAACAAAACCCTGTTTGTGAGGACCTATTTACCTGCAATATGGAAGGCTGCTGTGCCTATAAATTTCACCCAGTTTATACAAGAAAGAGAAAAGTTCTAATTTTGCTTCATGCAGGATGCAGAATAGCTCAGGGTTCACCTTGGGGGTTCGCCAGCAGGTGAATACTGTTTTGTTTCAGCAGGCCTTTAGGAACTGGCTGGTTTTTAAGGAAAGGGTTTTAAATAGGGCTTTATTATCTGTATTTCAATACGATTTTTTGGTATTGTTTTCATTATTTTTTAAATACTTTTTGTATGTTTTCAGCTTTCTGTATCTTATCTGTGTTATTTTAATGTGTACAAAGCACTTTGAGTCCCAGTTTGGGGGAAAGGTTGGATATAAACAAACAAACAAATAAAACAACAACAATATTGGTTGAGTGGAGAGAGCAAGAAAGCAACTTGGAAGCAGATACAAGGCAAATTTTGGGACTCTTGCACACCCCTAAGGTGTGTGTGTGTGTGTGTGTGTGTGTGTGTGTACACTTTATGCTGCCAGTTATCAAACAGGCTTGGCTGCCCACTGATCCAGGAGGACACACAAAAGTAAATATTTTTTTCCCCTATAGAACATAAATCATTTTATGGATGGCTATGGAGAGAGAAATGACACATTTGTGGTATAGGAAATGTCTGCAAATGATGGTTAGTTATAATACAGCATAAGGTATATAAATTCAGTAAATAAATAAATAAATAAAATAAGCAGTGCTATTTTTCTAGAAAAAGAGGTGCTGGAACTCAGCATGATCATTTGCCTCATTCTCTTAGAAGGGGCCAAAACTGAGTTCTGGCTGAAAATAAAGCTCTAGGCTTAAGTAAGGGAGTCAGCGACTCATGGCATCAGCGTCAGAAGGGGCGCTTAGTACATACCCTCCAACATTTTTCCGATGAAAATAGGGACATCCATTCCATAATGATAATTTTACTATTTATACCGCACACATCTTACTGGGTTGCCCCAGACACTCTGAGTGGCTTCCAACATATATAAAAACATGATAAAACATTAAACATAAAACCCCCTTCCCTATACAGGAATGCCTTCAGACAGCTTTGGGGGTTGGATAGCTCCATTCTCGCCAACATCCTAAGGACGTCCTAAGGAAAAGTGGGACATTTCAGAATCAAATCAGAAACCGGGATGGCTTCTCTAAATCAGGGATGTTCCCTGAAAAATAGGCCCAACAGGTGACTCTCAGGGTGTTGTTCTGAATGTCCAGGTGGGTACCACCTTGCTGTTCAGTGGCTGGGTGTTTACATAGTGGAAGAAAGGTAGGGTATAAATGTAAGAAAATAGACAATTGATATGTGTTCCTTTCAGTACAGATGGCGACCATTTTGCATGAGTCCAACTGATGTGCAACCTCCAATGTGTGGGCCCTTTTGGACCTCGAAGAGGGCAGAATGGGGGTTGGGGGTGGAATGGGCAAGGTGGGCTTATACACGCTCAACAGCCATGCATGGGAGCCAGGAACAGAAGCCCTCGTGCAAAATGGTTGCCATCTTTATTTTAAAATTTGAGAACCACCTTGGATGCCTTTGCAGAAAGGTGGCTTATAAATACAGACATAGAACGAAACGTCATGGCTAAGTTCACACTATGCATTTAAAGTGTTATGGTTCCACAGTCATGGTTTCCTCCAAATAATTCTGAGAGCTGTAATTTGTTCAGGGTGCTGAGAGAAGTTAGCAGGCCCCTACAGTTTTTAGCATAGTTTGACAAATCTCTCCTTTCCTGAGATCCCTGACAATTGTAGCCCTGGGAGAGGAACAGAGGCCTCCCAACAGCTTTCAGTACCCTGAACAAACTACAGCTCCCAGAATTCTGTGGGGATGTGAGCCCTGATTGTTTAAAGGGGGTATTCTAGCATGTTAAATATACAGTGTAGATGTGACCCATATTCTTTTAAGGTAGTATATCCAGTGCTTTTTTCTTAAAAAATGTTTAAGGGTACAGTGGAACCTCGGAAGCCGGACACCTGTAAACTAAAACGTTTTGGCTCCCAAACGATCGAAAACCTGTAAGTGATTGTTCTGGTTTTTGAATGATTTTCAGAAGCCGAACGTCTGGCACAGCTTCCGTGGCTTCCGATTGGCTGCCGGAGTGTCCTGCAGCCAATCTTGAGTCAAGAAAATCACCATTTTATAGTTCAAATCAGGAAAAATAAATACAGTAAATGGACAAAAGTACAAAGATTCACAAAAGGTTTAGGGATATGCATCCCCCTCAGCTGCGAGAGAGCCACAGGAAAGGAGGCTTGCCACCTTCATGTCTAGCTTGGGCTGTGGGCAGAAAATAGGATGCAGGACTAGAGAGACCATTAGTCTGACCCCGGAGCATCCTTTCAGGGGAGAGTTGATGTGGGCCTAGGGAAAGACCCACAAGGCTCCACCTCTTCTGGCAGGGTGCCACACTCCTCCCACCCCAATATACGTGGGTTCTGGCAGTGTTTTCCCTGCAGTCACCTTAAGGTGGAAGGGAGCCCCTTAGTGGTGTGACTCCTCTGCACCGTCGCATCAAATACTCCTGTGGGTGCACCCAACTCTTTTCTGGCCTTTGAGAAGGGTTGTGCTAAGAGTAAGAAAACAGCCCTGCTCTCAATCTTAAAAGACCCCAAGGAATGTGCTACATTCTTCCAGCCCTCAAGGTTGGCGCCTGCACAAAAATGCTCCTTTTGCCAAATATCAGTCCAATGAAATGCTTGTTTGCTTTCTTTAAAAAAAATGCCTCACTTCACAATTTACCTTGGCCTGGAGACGAATCTTTATAGACAGAAACCCATTTTACCTTAAGCTTTTTATACTACCCCCCCCTTGTGCTTGCGCGCACACACACACACAGAGTCACAAACATTCTCCTGACATTAACAGTAGTTGCTTCTCTTCCACTTTAAAAAATTATCAAATGGAGGCTTTGCTGCCTATTTAAAGGTTAGCCCAATAACCCTGTGCACATTCATTCAGAAGCAGGCCCCACTGCATTCAGCAGGGCTGACTTCCAGGTGAGTGGGATTGCATCACTTGTTGAAATATTAGGTCTTCTTTGGCCATATTATAATTGCAAATCATAAAATGAAAGAAGCTCATTTATGTTCACAGCCAATTTATGGAGCTGAAACAAATAGACTCTAAAATATATCCAAATAACTTTCCTCTGTTAAATTTTTAAAAATATATTTTATTGCTTTTTCACATACAGTTATAGCTGTCAACGTTTTCCTTTTTTAAAGGGAAATTCCCTTATTCCGAATAGGATTCCTCGCAAGAAAAGGGAAAAGTTGACAGCTATGCATACAGTAAACATAATTTAAAATACAATAGACAACAACAACTGGCAGCTACTCATTTATTGGAAAGTGACATAATCAGCTTAAAATGGGAATTTTGATGGTGAATATTTTACAGAAATTTGCTGGATGCTTGAATGTTTCTTAAATATTGTCTGAGTCATTCATGTGTGATATCCTGTGGGTATCTAGGAAAAAGAGTATGACAGCTGACATTTGACAACAGCTATTTTGCAGTAGTTAATAGGAGGTATGCAAGGTATCTGGTGGTGTTTGGTGGATGGCATGCTATAGTACAGGGGTTGGCAAGGTTTACCTCACCCGGGCCTGTTCACTCCAGCGAAGATCCCTCTGTGGGCTGGATCGCGTGATTTCCAGCATCTGCGATTTCCGACGTCAGCGTCTGCACACACACGATTTTCAGCGTCACAATTTTGGGCACCGCAGAAGTGAGTCCCCATGCCGTGCTGCACTGGTTTAGCGCAGCACGCGGGGACTCGCCAAGTGGGCAGCCTGGTTTGAGGCCGCTCGGGGGCTGGTTAAACGACCCCCGTGGGCCACTTGTGGCCCATGGGCCTTAGGTTGCCAACCCCTGCTATAGTAGCTGCTAATACTTGACAACTGGTGTGCACTAGCATTTAGCATTTGGCAACATCTAATATCTGACATGAAATGGTATTAGTATCTCATGGGCATGCAGTAGGAATAGTATTCCACTGTGTATGGTAGGCTTCACTAACATTTTGTGAGATCCACCTAAAAAGCAGTACAGTATATGAATACTGTAAATAAATAAATAATACGTAATGTTTTGCTATTTTAAAGGAGTGGAGGAAACTGTTCACTCTTTCTCCTTTGCACTTGAACACAATTGGAATGGGACTGGTGTTTGCCATAGCTTTCTTGTTTTTTTTTTCTTTCAATGTAATTCCTCCAGTTTATCAAAATCCTGAAGCTTTCATCAGCTTAATGTAGCATTCACAATAAATTTTTCAAACCAAGAAGCATAGCATATGGCTGCTTATGGTGGTAGTTCGACAGGTTTGAGTTGTGCCCATTCTGTGTGTTGCCCTTTAAGAAACTGTAATGATTCAGCAGAGTTACTTGGTAAAACAGGGAGCTGGTATCACCAGAAGTGATTTACTTTGCACACTTCATTCAATAAATAAACCTGTTTCTTGCCTACTTGGTGCCACGGCACGGAGACTGTGTACATATCATAACAAGTGCCTTTCAGTAAAACAGACACTGCAGTAATTAGCCATGTACGTTGCCAAAACAGGCAGCCTCTGAGCATGCTCAGAATTCCTTGCCAAAAGAAAAGAGGTGGCCATGAAGTTGCCGGCATGATACAAGGACAGGAAGCCCCTGGGCATACACAGAGGGGTATATTCAGTGTTAGTCATATTTAGAGCAGACTCGTTGAAATTTGTTTCCTGCTTGGCACGGGGTTGGACTCGATGGCCCTTGTGGTCTCTTCCAACTCTATGATTCTATGATTCTAATAAACATAATTAGCTAAGGTCCATTAATTTCAGTGGGTCTATTCTAAGTAGATATTAATTTGATATAGGCCAGAGTGCCTCCAAAACTGGAAATGAAGGCATGAATGGTGCAAGGGAGAGTAAGTGGCTTATGAGTTCTTTGTAATGTGAGTGTGTGTCTGTTGTCTTGGAGAATATTTAATAGGGCCAGTTCTGGAATGGCTTCTAATACCTGTGAAATATACTTGGAGTCGAGTGTGAATTTCATGCTCTTTATTCAGGTCATAGTAGCAATGAATGAAACTTTCCCCAAAATGTCTAGCTATATACAGTCATACTTCATGTTACGTTTGCTTCATGTTACGTTTTTTCAGGTTGCGTCCCGCAGCATCCTGGAAATACCAAAAAGGGTTACTTCCAGGTTTCACCGCTCGCACATGTGCTAAATCCCGCTTCGCGGATACGGCACTTCAGGTTGTGGGCTTTTCATGTTGAGAAAGAGTCTCCAGAATGGATCCCGTTCGCAACCAGAGGTACCACTGTATACATTATTTACACAATGGGCCCCGCATGATTGGCTAATTCCGGGCTGCTCCTGTAGGACAATCAGGTTGCTGATTCACTTCATCCAGGAGCCTGATTGGCTGTCCTGCAGGCCAAGCAAGGCGCTGATTCACTTCCACCTGGAGCTGGGTTGGGTAGCTCCTGCAGACTAATCAGACTGCTGCATTCTGGATCCGATTTTTCTAGGATTCAGCTCAGTACATAACAACAACCTGCTTTGTTATTTTGAAGATTTCTTGTAGGACTGATGTCCAAAAGGGGGGGTGGGGGAGAGGATTTGATAAATCCTCTAGTCATGATGGAGGTTATGCTGTGCCTTGACATTGGGAGGCAGCAGTGCTTACAAATACCAGTTTATGGAAAACACAGCAGGGGAGATTTCTGCTTACTGGTTTCCCACAGGCGTTTGTTTGGCCACTGAAAACAGGATGCTGAACGAGATGCCTACTGGCCTGATCCAGAAAGCCGTTCTTGTGCTCTACCATCAGTAAAAGTTTGCCTTTGTGGTGATAAAGGGACCACAGAGCTGTATTGTATTATACATTCCTGTGCATCTCACAGTTGTAGATTTCTATTTGAGGAACTGGCTGAGTGTTTTTGCAACAGCCAATGTTAGTGAAAGGGTATGAATGATTGAATGATGGACTGTGTGGCAGGACTGGTCTGGAGTGTAAGCAAAGTGTGTACAGTAAAAGTAAGATTCCTTTGGGTTTGTGATTCCTTTGTGCTAGACGTCCATATCCTAACAAATTAAGATGGGAAGACCTTCTATTTTAATAGACGGAACAACCTTGACGCAGCATTTCCCCTCAACTTCCCTTAAGCATGGTACTGCAACATTAAAAAGCTAACCCAGTTTAAAATTATCATGAAGAGGGTATGTGCAATAATTTATTTATTTACTGCATTTATGTCTCACCTTTTTCTCCAAGGAGCTCAAGGTGGCATACATGCCCTTCCTTGTCATTTAATCCACACAACAGTCTTTTGAGGTAGGTTAGACTGAGAGGCAGGGACTGGTCACACCCAGTGAGCTTCATGGCCAAGTGGGAATTTTAACCCTGGTCTCTCCCAGGTCCTAGTCCGCCACTCTAACCACTATGGGACACTGCCTCTCATAAATAAAACTCTCCCTCATTATTCGAATTCAACCCAATCAGAAAAGAGACTAAACAAATAAGCTAAAAGAAAATCTTATAGAACAGAGCATGTGGATCTCTCAAAAGGCCCCCCATACCTATTAAGCACCTGATTTTTGTCTGAAAACCCTGGGGTTGCTGGCTATGGGTTTTTGCCCCACTCAGAGCTGTTCAGATGCTCTTAGCTTCCAGCCAACAACTCACAGATCCTGTCTTCTGTTGCCAGCAAAATCACCTGAAGCAAGGGCAGTTGCACAGGACTCTTCCATGCCTGCCCTTGGGTAGTGAAGCAATCTGCTGTCCTGGAGAATGGAGCTGTAAGCACTCTGAGATGCAGTGGGGTGGAAGCTCAGGAAAACAGCCACAGCAACTGATTTTGTGAAAATGCACCACCCCAGAGCAAATGCTGTAGATTGAATGAGTTAGAAAGAGAAGTATTCCTCCCCACCACCCACTGCCATGTAATGGTACTTGATTTATTTTAAATGGTATTGGAGATCCTTCTGGGTTGAAAGGCAGCATAGAAAACAAATCTAATTAATTAAATAACATCCCATCAGCCCTTCAATAAATGATCCAGGCGTGCGTCTTCTGCCAGCCATTCATTAGGGAACTTTAAAAATATAGTCATTTTCTGCATTTCATTTTGGACAGGTTACTTGCTGACACCTCTCTTTTACTCCCTCTTTTGTAAATCTAGAGTGGCTTAGAGGATATTAAATATTCTAGACTCATTGTTTTATGCCAGCTGCCTGTTTCTCCCTTGAGGACATAGGATTGGCTTTGTTCCTCTGATAGGTCTAAACTGCTGAGGTGGCTAGTGGTGCTGCTCCTGAAGTACCAAGCCTGAATTCTGTCCTTTAAAAATCAGGAAACCCCACATCACTTGAAACCTTTATTGCTTAGGGGCTAAGGCATTTGAATTCCTGTGGCCAGGCTCAAAGGTATGCAACAAAATCATATTTGCACAATAGAAAAATGAAGATACTGTGTGATGATAATAAAAACAGTAGTAGAAGGGTTGACAAAAGCAAGCAATAAAACAGATAATAAAAAGCAATAAAATGAATAAGGAAATTATCAAACCACAGTATCCTCATGACTAATTGTAGCTGTCTCTGAAAGTGCTCTACACAGAGCTGCGCAGCAGCCAGTGCAAATAATAATAATAATAATAATAATAATAAAATAGTAATTTATACTTGGCTTGTTAAAAAAAAACCTAAAGCAGTTTTCTAAAATGCTAAAATTATCAAGTAGAAAAGCTAAAAACAATTTAAAGACATTTTTATTGATTTCTTCCTCTTGTTATATAAGAAAATCAACAACTTCCAAAAAATTAAAGTAGCAAGAGGTTAAAAACAGATTAAAATTCAAATCAACTATCTAAACATCTGGGCAGGCCTCCGGGATAACAAGGACCACAACTTTATTACCGTTTAACAGGAACTGTGGCAGGCTATTAATACCTCAGCAGCAGCAGCACGGCCAGCACTACCAATGGCAGAGTGAGGCAGCAGCCTCAGGTAGCAGATTCCAGGGCCAAGCATTCTTTGTGAGCAGTCTCATGAAGGCAAGGATGAGAAACATGTGGCGTTCGAGATTGGTTGGACTCCAGCTCCCATAATTTCTGATGTTTGGCCATGCTGGCTCTCGAGGCTGATAGGAGCCATCACGGCCGTTTTAAGCATATCCGGCACTGTGGTGCAAAGCGCCGCTCCCCCACCCCCCACCCCCGTTTCCCAGAGTTGTTGACCTTTTTTTTAGGGAGCTGACACCACACTTAATCTCTAACAAGCCCTTAGGACAAAATAAAATGAAAAGGCAGAAGGAAATCTAATGAAGTCCTCAATTCCAAAGCAAGACTCATTCAAGACTCAGCAGTTCTTCTAATGCATCCTCATGATTCAAATCACATATCAAAAAGTTAAAGCAATCACCAGTTTGCTGTTCTTTAAATAAATTGATAAAGACACAGAGAATGCAGTTCCCGGCCAATTTGTGTTTAAGTACAAAGCTGACATTTTCAAATTGTGGGGTGGGGGGTGGGTGTAAAGCAGTGACATCCTGAACCTAAAAAGGACCCAAAACTTGGGTCACAAAGGCTGCAGCCTTAACTGCACTTACCTGAGAGTACGCCCTGCTGAATCTAATAGGACCTTAAAACCCACCCCCGTCTTTAAAGGACTTTTTGTTGGTGTTTGTTTGTTTTTAACCACTAACTGCATGGAGAGCACGCTCTTGAGTTCGCCGCAGGTGTCATCACTGAGGGGGGTGACATTTGGCACACTGCCCGCCCGAGACTCCCAAGCCTACCCCGAGCTGTCGGGGGAAGGGGCGGAGCTGCACCGCCTTGTAGGCAGTCTTCCCCCTTCATTTTGACAGCTTGGGGGAGGCTTGGGAATCGCGGGCGGGTGGCGCGCCGTTGCCCCCTGCTCCCGGGCTACTTCCTGGGGGGGGGGAGGAACCTCCCCCGAACTGTCAAAAGAAAGAGGGGAGGAAGGCTGCTGGCAAAGCGGCGCGGCTCCCTCCCCGCCACCGCCGAGGAAGCAGCCCGCCAAGGGCGGCTCACTCCACACACACCCTGGGCGGCTCGTACCCTGGGACGCTTGCCCCACCCCCATGGTCCCACCCCCAGGTGCACAGCACGTGCGCTGCTCTGGGTGCCGGAGCAGCTAGCTCCGCCTCTGTGTGTGCTGTGTCCTGTTGGCACAGTGGTTGCAGCAGCACTTACCCTTCTTGTGATAGGAAATGCTTGGTGGGGATGGACTAAATATGGGGTTGAGAAGGGTCAGTTGGGAGGGGTGTGAGAAATGTCCTTAATTTCATCTGAGGAATGTTGGAGGGAATGTTATCTAAATGGTCTGTCATCCTTAGCATTATGATCCTCCTGTTAGGAGGTGGTCCCTGGGAGATCCTCTCCTCAGTTTTGCTGAGCAAACACAGACAGTTTCCTGTGGCTTTAATCTGAGGACTTTGCCCTTTTGAGGTCATGTTTTAAGCTGTGTATATGTGTGTGTATTCCCCTTCCAGAAATCTTATGAATAACCTTGCTGGCATAAATAATTTGCAGGACAGCAAGAGAGCCAAACTCATCCCTTGGTGCCATCTCCCAGAAAAATGTGTGTGTGTGTGTGTGTGTGTAGTAAAACAACAAACTGCTTTTGGCAGATGTGTGTTCCGCCCCTCCCGCATGTCCTCGTTTTGAGGACATTTTAAAATAAATGAATCATCTTCCATTTCTTGGAAGGAAAGAGGCAGCTTGTTCCTTTCAAAAAGCGTCCTTCAGATGTGATTTAGTACCTTCAGGCCCAAAATCTTTGCAAAAACTTTTGAGCTCAGATTAAGATGCTCTCTCAGGATGAGGGGGTGGGGAAATAGTAAAAATATCAAGTGAAGGCGCATTAGTCCAAATATTTACAACCAATCTCCTTAACTTTAAGTTCACATTAAGCCAGGGCTCCTGCCTTTCCCAGGCGGTGCAGCCTCCTCCTGCTGTACTTTCCTTACTGATGCCCTTTAAAGTGTGGGATAACCAGCCTCGTGTAACCAAGAAGCATAAGTTAATTAAAGCATAAAGGGGTTAAAACCATAGAGCAAACTGTACGGCCAGGCTTAGCTAGATTATCTAGCTTGGGAGGGACTAGAATCAATTATTTGGTCCCCTAAGGCTATCTAATGAACTCTGTGTGTGCAGAAGCCAAGTTGCTTGCTCCAACTTAGTCGCATGGCTCTCACAAGTAACTCTTATACCAGTAACTTAGGAACTTTCACCACTTTGAAACTAAGCCAAATTTTCTTGCTTGTGCAACTTTCTGGAGCATACTTTCTGGAGCAAATGAATCTGAACTTTGAATAGTTTGCAAGCTAGCCATTTTTAATTTACCAAACGTCTGGCCTTTTTCTATGCCAGGGGAAAAGGGAAATTTTGGTACTCACAAAGGTATATTTTAGTCTTTACGTATTTGCATGCTTTACTTTGCTGCATATTTCGTGATTTTAAATTTCTGCTGGGGCTCTCTCACCAAAGAGTACTTGCCCCAAACTTGGATCTTGGCACCCAGGAATTACCTTTTACATTTGGCTTCTTGCCAGAATGTTTTGTGTAATGCCAGAATTTTCTAAGTAAAAGTCAGCAGTCTCCTTTTACCTTAGTGTGCATTCATAGAATCACAGAATTGTAGAATTGTAGGGTCATCTAGTACAACTCCCCGCAGTGCAGAAATCACAACTAATAATCCATGACAGACGGCCATCCAAACTCTACTTAAAAGCCTGCAATGAAGGAGAGTCCACCAGCTTCCCAGGGAGCCAACTTCTTTTCCATTGCCAAACAGCTTTTACTATCAGAAGGTTCTTCCTGATGTTTGGTTTGAAGCTCCTTTCTTGTCATTTGGATCCACTGGTTTGGGTCTTCCCTTCAGGAGCAGCAGAAAACAAGCTTCCTCCATTTTCCATTGTTCAACCCATCAGATACAGTGGTACCTTGGTTCTTGAACTTAATCCGTTCTGGAAGTCTGTTTGACACCTGAAACCGTTCGAAAACCAAGGCGCGACTTCCGATTGGCTGCAGGAGTTTCCTGCACTCAAGCGGAAGCCGTGGAAGCTGCGTCAGACATTCGGCTTCTGAAAAACGTTTGTGAATCGTAACACTTCCAGGTTTGCAGTGTTTAGGAGCCGATTTGTTCGACAACTAAGCCATTTGGGAACCAAGGTACCATTGTATTTGAAGGTGATTCTCATATTATTTTACCACTGTCAGTCTGCCACCCCCTCTCGCAAAGAGGCATTAATCACCCCTCTGGCCTAGCCAGCTGTCCCCTCCCTCCTAGTTTTTATCAGCCAAGAGGGGCAAGTGTACAGAGCACCTCGTCATCCTGACCGATCCAAGCACCTTGTCCATATCCTCAAACCTTACTAACTGAAGCTCAGCCAACACAACAGGAATAGACAGTACAGTACACTGGACACCCCTTGAGATTCATCTTCTGGAATAGAATAGAATAGAAATTCAATGGCTGTAATATAGCTATATCAGAGGGCAGATCCACCCCATAAATTTAAAGCACATGAGAATGATGGATAATATAGTTTGTTAAGGGTGCTGGAAATTATAGTTTTTTGAAAGGGGAAAGCACATTTTTCAAAAGCCACCAGAATCCACAGTAGCAAATGAGACCTCTAGTATTTCTGTGACTTTGGGCAGCTTGCAGTCCCAGATCCATATTTACACTAAGTGACTGACCCTGGAAGGGTATGATGTGGAAGTGAGGGAGCAGGAGCAGGAAGCAGATGTTGGTGTTTGGAAATAGGTTATATGAACCTCATTTTGTGGACAGCTTCCCTGTCTCCCAGTTGGCCTCCCAAGGTTTTATCTGTTCTCCTTAAAAAAAATAAAATCATTTCCTTGCATGGGGTTGCAGTGACCTGCTGCACACTGATAGAAAACAAGAACACAACCCCACAATGCAATGCTGTGGGCATGTTTTTGAGAAGGGAGATTATCTGATAGCTTAGCTATAAATTACATTGGCGGGGGGGGGACGACACCCAATAACTTGATGACACTTTAAAAATAACACAGATTCCATGAAAGCTTCTGCCTTAATAAATTAGTTGGTCTTTAAAGGCGTCAGGAGATTTGGGTCTCATCCCCTACCTGTGCCCCCTACCTGCACACAACCAACCTACACAGCTGCCCTTCTGGAAATTTGACATGGAAACGCATGAAACGAGAATCTGGGAACTCTTTTATAACAGGGGAAGCCACTTTGGCAGAGGGTAGCTGGAATCAGGAGAAAGCTGTGCTTTCCCTGCACTGACACCACATTCACACCATACTTTTAAAGCACCTTGATGCCATTTCAAATAGTCATCATGGCTTCCCCCTGAGAATCCTGGGAGTTACAGCTTGTTAAAGGTGCTGAGAGGTGTTAGGAGACCCTTTATTCCCCTCACAGAGTTACAATTCCCAGTGTCCCCTGTTGGGAAGGATTGAATTGCACTCTAGTAATTGTAGATCTGAAAGGAGATGGGGGGTGGGGTTCCTCCTAGCAACTCTCAGCACCCTTTGCAAGCTGCAGCTCCCAGAATGCTTTGGGGGAAGCCATGACGGTTTAAAGTGGTATCATAGTGCCTTAAATTGTATTATGGTTTTTTTATTATTTCCCCAAAACAAGAGCACAGGTCATGAGAGAGATGCCTACACAATAATGGTAAATAGAGTTCTACATAAGTATATTAAACTAACACGTAATTTAGGAGCCGTATTTCTTTCCTAAACCATATTTAAATACAGTGGTACCTCGGGTTACATACGCTTCAGGTTACATACGCTTCAGGTTACAGACTCCGCTAACCCAGAAATAGTGCTTCAGGTTAAGATCTTTGCTCCAGGATGAGAACAGAAATCGTGCTCCAGCAGTGCGGTGGCAGCAGGAGGCCCCATTAGCTAAAGTGGTGCTTCAGGTTAAGAACAGTTTCAGGTTAAGAACGGACCTCCGGAACGAAATAAGTACTTAACCTGAGGTACCACTGTAGTTGCTTTTAATGCTGTAAGCCACCTTGGGACCTTAGAGTAAGGGACAAATAATAATAATAATAATAATAATAATAATAATAATGGTGTGAATGCGGCCTGAGTGTCCCTCTCCTTCTGTATGCTTCTGAGCATATTTTCCTCGTGTTTTTTTTTAAAAAAACACTGCAGTCCCTGTTGCTCTTTCTATAAACATGACCGCTGCTGCTGCCAGATAATTTTGACTGTGGAAAAGGTGATTTTTTAAAAAAAATGCTCTGGATCATTAGGAAAGAGTCTGAAACTTTAACTGCCCATGTCACAATGCCCTTATGCGCATCTGTGATGCAACCAAATGTGGAATGCTGCGCACAGTTCTGTTTACTTCACTACAAAAAGCTGGAGAAAGTGGAGAAAAAGTCACCCAAAGCTGACTTGTGTGGCGGCACATCCGCCGCCATAGCTAGTAGGAGCAGGGATGAGCCTGTGCAATGGTATTGGGTCTGGGGATGGGAGGAGTGGAGAGCCCCTCTAAGAGAGCTGGCTGCCATCCTGCTTGGCTTTCCTGCATTGGCAGCAGCTATTTCAGATTACCAGGGGTCTCACCTGGGTCTGCATAAGAACATAAGAAGAGTTTGCTGGATCAGGCCAATGGCCTACCAAGACAGCATCTGGTTCTCACAGTGGATAACCAGATGGTTAACCAGATAACGTGGAAAGCCCAAAAGCAGAATCTGAGCACAAGAGCCCGCTACACCCTGGGATTTCCGGCAACTGCTATTCAGAAACTTTGCAGCATAGCCATCATGGCTGGGAGCCATTAAAAGCCTTCTCCATGAAATTGCTTAATCCTCTTTTAAAGCCTTCTAGGTCAGTGGCTATCACTGCCTCATATGGGAGTAAGTTCCATACTTTAATAATGCGCTGTGTGGAGAAGTGCTTTCTTCATCCCAAATCATCCAACGTTCATCTTCATTGGCTGTATGCAATTTCAAGTGCCATGGACTGGGAGAAAAACTTTTCTTTCTCCACTTTTTCCATAAAATTACCTTGCATAATTTTATAATTTTGTGTTTTTATTTTGAATCTATGGACGAAGGGCGGTATAAAAATTTAATAAACAGAAATATCATGACACCTCTTATTTGCCTTCTCTCTAAGTTAAAGGGTCCCAAACTCTGCAACTTTTCTTCATAGGTGAGTTGCCTTTGATCAGGGGTCAGCAATCTTTCTCAGCTGTGGGCCGGTCCACCGTCCCTCAGACCATGTGGTAGATCGGACTATATTTTGGAAAAAATATATGAACAAATTCCTATGCTCCAGAGATGCATTTTAAATAAAAGGACATGTAAAAACTCATGTAAAAACACGCTGATTCCCAGACCGTCCACAGGCCAGATTGAGAAGGCAATTGGGCTGCATCCGGCCCCTGGGCCTTAGGTTGCCTACCCCTCCCCTTGATCTTTTCCAGCTCTACAATATCCTTTTTGAGGTGAGACAACCATAACTCTTCACGGTATCTCAAATGCATTCATACCATAGATTTATAATTCCCGCTGGATGCTGCAGGAGGCATGTGGGGCTAAACGTCAGACAGACTTTAGGCCACAACTCTTGTGGTCAACAGATCCTGTGCCGGTTCCACTTATTCTTCTTAGTCAATATAGTTGTGGCCAATTTTCACACGTACACATCTCTTGGTTTGTTACTGGTTTGCACTTTCACCTGCCCCAATGGGGGCCTCTAGAGCAAATGCTTTTCAAGGAAAGGTTATAATATTTGGAATTATTCAGTTTAGAAAAATCCTGAGGATGGGGAGACATGATAGAGATATGCATGGAGAAAATGGATAGGGAAAGGTTCTCTCTCTCTCTTATATAATATGGAACTTCCTAGTGATGACTACCAACTCAGATGGCTTTAAATGAAGATTAGACAAGATTTTGCAGGATAACGCTATCAGTGGCCAATAGCCATGATGGCTATATTGCCTCCAATATGCATCGGCATAGCAGTTACTGGTGACCCTGAATGAGAGAGTACCATTGCACTCATGACTTGCTTGTGGGCTTCCCAGAGGCATCTGGTTGGCAACTATGAAAACTAAATTCTAGATAAGATGGACCTTTGATTCAATCCAGTTTATGCTCCTGCAAGCTATTTTAAATTGTAGTTGCCATTGACTAGGCCAGGAACCTTTTATATGCAGGATCTGCTCTGCCATCAAGCATTGCTCACTTCTCTAAGAGTTCCTGTACTAACCAAGAATGTGCTAATGAAGTCCAGGCTTTCTGCACAAGTTTTCTTGCTTGACGTCTGTTCTGTCCCTTTTAATGTCAGAAGGAAAGCGTTCGCTGTACTGAGCAGGGCAGGTGTGTTGGGGTGTTCTTGTGCTCTGTCTTAAGTTAATTGTCTGGATAATAACACAGGAGACCATGCCAAGATCACAGCTCGGAAGGAATCCTGGCCCATTTCAGCAGGCCACATTGATAGCAGCAGGCCATACATGGGTTTGGAATGAGACTATTAGACTCTCAAGTTTCCCCCTTGCCAAGAAACACAAGGCAGGAATTGGCAGCTTTAGGATGAGTAATGCACAAACACGGTGTGGCGTGTTGCAAGTTTTCAAGTGTGTTTGAGTAAATGTGGATCTGTCGCCATGGCCACGGAGCAAATCGAGCGGGAGAGTGAGCTGGGTCTCTGCGAGAAGCCCCAGGAATGTGCACTGGGAGAGCAGAGCAATCACTCCTGCCCCTGTTCAGGGGTGGGAGTTGTGATGAAATGAGGGGGAATTGATGCACACTGCAGAACCTGTAAGGTTTGCTTGACCCGGTCACCTGCCAGAGGGACAGAACATTTTTAGGAGACAAAGACAAATGCTTTCCAGGTGGACAGCAGACTTTCTAGGTCATGTTCCACACTAGCAGCAGTATTTCAGACCTCATTTATTATGGTGATGATTTATGGCATAAGGCAGGACCTCCCCACGGTGCCAGTAAAGAGCCAGAATGGATGCTCTGCAAATATAGCCCAAATAGGCGAGGACAGGATGGGAGCCTAGTGCTGTTCTGCAGCAATCACTGGGGCATCGTTTATAGTTAAGCACTAGAGCAGGAATCCAAAGCCTGGGCAGAAAATGAAATGCATGCATAACTAGAACCTAAGTGCATACTTTGCATGAAAACCCCCAACCTGCCAGAAGGTAGAAAACATTATGGGTTGGGAGCGTTAGTCTGCATGATGTCCGGAGTTCCTTCCAGTTCTTGGGTGCAGTACCCAGTGCGGGTCAGAATCATATGCAGGAGATTGCAGACCATTGGGACATCCTACTGGAGACCCTTAGCCAATTAGGGAGGGAGGAGAAAGGTAGTGAGGATGGAAAAAGGAAGAAATAGGCAGTTCTTGTTTAAACCTGAAACACTACCTGGCAGAAAATTATTACTGTTCCTTTAATAGTGAAACCTTCAAGCTTTATCCCTCGTTGCATGTTTGTTTATAAAAAATATTTTTTTTCCATTCTCCTTCAGCTTTAATTTGTAACTAGTTCAGGGAATAAGATATCAGGAGTCCTTGTTGTTGATCTGCGTATGTCATATAGATAATCCTTGAATTCTCAGGTATCAGAGGGAGGGAGTAACCAAGGTTAAAAAACATCAGATTGGGTCATGTTGCCCAGCTTCCATCTTAGAATAATAGAATTGTAGAATTGGAAGGGACCCCAAGGGTCATCTAGTCCAACCCCCTACAATGTAGGAGTCACAGCTAAACTCACTGAGGGAGTTTGTCACAGAAGAAATGCCTGGTTTCCCACTGAAATCAAAAGAACAAGCCTTTGCTGTGTCCTGAACTCCCATTGACTGCATGGGAATCTCTCTACTCTTTGAATGGTGGCCGCCTCCTCCAGATTTCATTAAAGATTAACCCACTTTTAGTTTTTTTCCTGCTACATATTTTGGCACTTAATAGTTTTTACTGTTTGTTGTGACTTAATATTGATTGGATTTTTAAAAAACAACAAAACTAAATTTGGAAATGCACTTCATGAGTCCACTGTGTTATGTTATTAATTTCAGTATTTATATACCACTTTTCATCAGAAATTATTATGAAATGGGAAAACATCTGTGATGTTATGAGTTTGTGGGTGAGGGGGTCAGTCCCTTCCAATTCCCTAGGTCCTATACCTAGTATGGGTTATAATTTAACAGATGAGGTTGCTGCAGTAAGTCAGACTGTTTTCTTTTTAAGACCATGACCTTAGCTGGCCACTTAAGTGTCCTAATCAACAACCCCAAAAATGAGCTGGATTGCAAGAGCTGCAACCTGGTGATGCGGCCCTCCATGCTAATGGATGGGCCTTTCCTCCACTCCTTCACCTAGCTGTTAAGTAGAACAAGAGCCAGTGTGGTGTGTGAGAGATGAGCTGGGAGCCAGAGACACACAGACCTGCTTACTCTGTGCTGAATCCAAAGCTGCAACCAATGGAGAAGCAAGATCTGTTGGGATGTTAATGCTCTGAGCCCCTCCATGTTAGGCTCAGGTTGTATATGTGTGTAAAAGGATGTGGGTGGAGGTGCGGCCAAACCACTGAGCCTCTTGGGCTTGCTGATCAGAAGGTCAGCGGTTCAAATCTGCATAACGGAGTGAACCCCCGTTGCTCTGTCCCAGCTCCTGCCAACCTAGCTGTTCGAAAGCATGCCAGTGCAAGTAGATAAATATGTACCGCTGTGGCGGGAAGGTAAACAGCATTTCTGTGCGCTCTGGTTTCTGTCAGTGTTCTGTTACACTAGAAGCGATTTAATCATGCTGGCCTTTACCTATACCTATATGTGTGTAAATAAATCACACCACAGTCTTTAGGTGGTGTGTAACAGTCTGTAGAGTGGAAGATGGTAGAATGCTATACATATTTTCTCTGGGAAGACTGCTGGAGTGAAAATATGCTATTTACATGCTTATGGTCTAGTTGCATCCAATCCTATTTCCTGGGAACTCTTTTAAAAAAGCAGTCCTGTGGCCTGGTCTTAATCTTTTGTAGTTCTTGCCTCACTGAATGGCCTGAGCTAGAACAGAGTTGGCTTGTTTCGCCTGTGCTATAATCCTCCTGCTCCTGATGGAAGATGTCATGCAAAACAAGAGGATTTATTATTATTATTATTTTGCAGAGAGCTGTATTTCATGGGAAGGGCATGAAAGGAGTCAGAAGAGTTTTCCTCACATAGCCTGTAGTGCTTTTAAAACAGGATCCATGTGCAGTTTGGTTGTTATCAAATGCATATGCTGAGAAACTCCTTTCTATGATCCACCATTGAGAGGATCGCCTGTCCCCATATGAACCAACTCAGACCCTGTGATAATCATCTGAGGCCCTTCTTCATGTGCCTCCTCCACCAGAGGTCTGAAGAGTAGCAACACAAGAACGGACCTTTTCTGTTGGCTCCCCATTTGTGGAGTGCTCTCCCCAAGGCCGCTTGCCTGGTGCCTTCATTACATATATTTAGGTGCCAGGCAAAAGCTTTCCTCTATAACTAGGCCTTTGGCTAATTAAACAATCAATGTCCTTTTAAGCTATCTGTGTGTGGTGGGATGGGGGGTATTTTTGTTATTGTGGTATGTATTTTTGTGTTTTTATATTGTAAACTGCCCTGTGATCGAAGGGCGTGCTTTTGCTCTAAAGTAATCATAAGATTGCAGTGGGAATCACTATCATATGCCACAGTCTGGTTCTCAAAAGGATGATGGGATAAATGACCCGTTAATAAATAAACTGCTTGCTAAAGTTCACACTGATCCTCTTTTCATTAAATAAAGAAATCAGATTTGTCTGGCTTGATCTACCTTTTGGCAAGGCTCCAGCATCCCATTTGTTTGTTTTTCTTCCAGCTCTTGGATTGTTCTCCCCTGCCCCCCCCCCCGCGCATTTAAAGTTTATTCTGTGGGTTTTCATGCTACTGAAGGCAGAAGAACATTGTTCTGAATTCCTGACAGTTAACCATTTAGTTTTCTTTTCTTTTGTAAGCTGAAAACAGGACCCAAAAGCACCAGGCCAGAGGTGGAATAAGACCTTTAAATTAGGACCTCTGTTATACATTACCTGAATAGACTAGAACAGCTTTTGCCAAGCTGATGGTATAAGAAAATTTGGGGTTTGGCTTTTACAGACCAACTCCTCCTTTAAGGGACCCTGTATCTCCTAAGTTCGCTATCAATCAGAGAAGAATGAGTGAGGGCAGGAACAAGTTGAAGAAAGTAAGGCAGATCTTCATTTTCTGTTGCAGCAGAGTTCCCCCTCCCCCTTCCAAGGAGGTGAGGAACCAGAACAAAAATGTTTAACAACTTTTAAAGACTTTAGAAATTGCCCAACCCCACCACTTGTAAGCATCAAACAAGCATCACAGAAAGAAGTAATCTACAACAGAAATTTGAGAGTATGACTTGTCTCCTGACTGTCAAGATACCTGATAATGCTTGATGATTGCCTTTTCCTGGCCAGTCTGGCCCATTATTTTGAAATGGCAAATACCTTGGTTCTTGAATCCGTTGCCACGAACCTGCCTTTATTCATACGCAGAAGATGCTCTTTTGACAGGCCTGCTCTGCTTTTAGCAGATACTTGCCAGCCAGGTTTTTGCGGAGTGGGTAGCCCATTAATGTGAGAAATCTATCTATTTACAGGATTTGCAGATTTTTGAAGGATATTGTGAAAGGTTTTTCCAAGATACTCCTTTTCTGCTTCAGAGAAAATCGCTCTGTGAACTCAAATGAAGTGTCCTCCCCCCAGAGGCGTAGGAAGGTCAGGTGGTACTCGGTGTGGAAAATTTCTTGTCACCCCCCCCCATTGAATCTTTTTTTTTTTTTTTTTTGGCCTGCAAAAATGGTTTAACATTATTTCTTATTTTCTTACAAAAGAATGTGGATTCTGGGCCTCTGATAACAAGTAGGCGACTATGGACAGATACTTAAATCTACAGGATGGATTGTGTTTTGGCTTGTGTTATTTTATTTATAGTTATTGTTTATTTATTTAATAAAATTTATTTTAAAAAACCTGCAAAGTGGTTTACCAAAACAAAAAACCACCACAGCAGTAAAATCAAGAAAAATTAACAATCCTACTTTGAAACATACAAGAGCTAAAATATTAAGATTAAAATTACTTCAATTTCCTAAGCATCTAGTATGCTTGCCTGAAGAATGCTTTTAGCAGGTGCCCGAAAAGAGTCGAGCAGAGGCATGTGCTTTGTTGCAATAGGCGGGGAGTTCCAAAGTGCAGGTGCTGTCACAGTAAACAATGCTGTACAGGTATTTATGTGGAACCTGTAGTAGTGCTTGAAACTACTTAAGGGGAGCTTTTATTTATTGTGATTTCACCATGCTCTGTATTATCTGAAAAGGAAAACATTTATTTAAAAAACAGAACTGCACAGCAGCAATCTAGTCTTATCATGATCAGTGGGACTTATTCCCGAGCCAGACGGTGCATAAGATGGGCTGCAATCCTAAGCACCCCTTGCATCCAACTTGTACCTAAAACTCTGCACAAGCCTGCACCAGAGAATTGTAGAATTGGAAGGGACCCCTGAGGGTCATCTAGCAAAACCCTTGGGGCAATGCAGGAATCTCAACTAGGCCATCCCTGACAAATGGCCATGCGTCTCTGTTTTTCCCCTCAGTCAAGACACACAACAACGGAGACTGGAGGTGGGGAAAAAGATAAATTTTGACAATGGGGCAGATTTGTCAGGCATGTGCAGGAACAGCTTGAAGACTTTATACAGAGAGGAACCCCACACGGGTTTCCCCGCAAGTAATGTAACAGGCTGGGAGCCAGCTCAGATAAAGAGAAAGACATTGGGGGACGGGAGGACAAAAGAGTACCAAAGTCCGCCCATTTTATCTTCTTTGGGATGGTGGCACTAGGGCTCTGGGACCACCCTCCTCAAAATATTTGCTTGTCTTCAATGTATTGTTACCACTGTTATTCTATAGTACAGATCCTTTTAAAATTAAACACTTTCTCTAAAATTAAAACGGCAGAAGTAATCAGTAGCACAGATATCAAAGGAAAGGCAAGAGAATAGTCCCTAATAAATACAAGGAAGACACAGATACACAAGCACACAGAAATAAATAATCCAGCCTTGGGGAGAGGGGTGGGAATGTACAGTTTGCTGTACTTAGCCTCGAGATGGCAGACTGAAACGGCTTTAAAAATAAAAAATAAATATCTTGTGTCTAGGAATATTTTTCTGCAAAAGCAACAGACAAGTTGTCCAAAGTGTGAACTTCATTAATAGACCCTATTTAAAGGAATTGTTCAATTAGCCACAGAATTGCTTTTGCTGATTTCCCCCATCTTCTTTTAATTACACAACTGCTTTTGGGGGGTGTTAGCTTCATGTAGGTAAGACTGGGGTATGTGGCTGAGAGGGTGGGGATCCTACCTTCATCCAGGGGAGGCTGGCCTGCCGAGTGCCCAGGGCGGCGCTGAGCTGCTCCTCCCAGCACCACGTGCAGGCAAAACGAGGCGGCAGTGCTGCCATTGTCCCGTGCGCTCCACTTTTGGGGGCAGCAGAGGCTTTTCAGATGGGTATTGGGGCCCAAACGGGGTGTGCAGGGCAGGCAGCGGCCTTGTCAGGCTCCCCCAGCAGCCCAGAAAGTCAGCCTATGTGAAGAAAATGAGACTAGGCCAAGTAGAATTGGCCTTGCCTTGCCTTTGCCCCGCCTCTAACCCAGCTGGCCAATCAGCTACAGGTAGGGGGTGGGGCCAAGGCAAGGCAAGGCAAGGCAAGGCCTAATCTATTCGGCCTAGTCTCATTTTCTTCACATAGGCCTAGCGGAGGATAGGGCAGTAGGGTGGTTCATAAAAAACTTTTTTGAAAATGCCTGCTCCAAAGGTCTTATCTTACTAAACTAGGGGTTATATAGCTATATCTGAAATTTCATGCATATGAGTTAATAACTTGACCCTGCTCCACTGAATTGAAATTTCAGCCTTCAGGACATAGGAAAACAGCCAAGTAAACAGCTATTTTCGTGGAGGAGGGTCAAGATATTAACTGATATGCATGAAATTTCATATATAGCTATATCATCCCTAGTGTAGTAAGATAAGACCTTTGGAGCAGGCATTTTCAAAAAAAAGTTTTTTATGAACCACCCTAGTAGGGCAGTAATTGTTCCTTGATAATTTGTTACCCCCCTCTATGATGGCACCTAGGGTGGCCCGCCCCCCCTTCCTATGCCCCTGCTCCCCCCCTCGTTTTTAAAGAATATTTCCTAATTTCTGAAGCGTGAAGAATTGCTTTTCTGTGGAGTGTGCGTCTGCTTTGTGTTCACCTTAGAATTTGCGTAACACTGACACCCCCCAACTCCTAATATTTTGGACCACAGCTCCCATCAGCCCTAGGGAGCATGAGTCAATTCCCTATACCCAGCAGTTGATCCTTCTGCCAGATAAACTTGACTCTGGAAAAGGTAGGTTTTTTATGTCTTGGATTATTAGGAAAGCATCTGAAATTAACTGCCCATGTCACGATGTCCTTATGTGCATCTGTGATTCAACCAGACTTGAAATAATGTGCATAGGTCATGGAAACTCTCACCCATAATGATTGTGGGGCAGGAACATCTTCCCTGTAACTCACATGTGTGCTGAAAAGAGTTCTATTCCGAAATGTCAGGTGGTGGGGTGGTGGCACAAGGGTAGGGGTGGCTGGGCCCAAGGTCCTGAAACTCTCTGGACCAACCACCATTCCAGTTCATTTCCAGACTCATTGGGGGAAAGACTTTTCTAAAGACCAAATTGCACATGGCATTATTCACACTGTTAACTGTTACATGATAATTATTGTTTGTTTGTTTTTGAAAATTAATGAGGGAGGGAGATTTAGACCACCGTTTGCAGAGGGAAGGCTTTAACCATTTACCCCATAATGTTCAAAATTGGAATTAGTTCCGCCACACTTGCTCTTTGCAACAGGAGAAAAGCTGTGCTATTTATTTTCCCCAAAGGTATAAATGACATGATATAAACACCCTATCTATGGCACAGCCACAACTGTTGCTTGAATTGTATTTTGATTTTTTTGCATATTGATTAATTCCCCTGGGACTGTAAGTTTTTTCTTCTTGTTCCGCAGCTGCGCCTTGCAAAAATCCAATCTTAGCCACCGAATTTAAGCTAGGCAAAATCCCTCAGGTTGTCTGCGCTTCTAATAAGACCCAATTCAGTGGCTAAAATTTGATTATTTGCAAAGCACAGCCACAGAACATCAAGAAAAGGTCTTGTAATAGGGGAATTAATCAGTGCATGATAGGGTCAAAATATGGGTCGAGCAAAGGTATGGATGAGCCCTTGAGCCTTTGAGAAGCAAGCAGAAGAAGAGAACGTTCTATGTGGCTGTGGATGCTTTTCTGCGCATACACATACGTTTGCAGAAATAGGATGCTTCAGACACCAAGGCATCTCTAGATAAGTGTCACCACACGTCTATATGGAAGTCCTTATTTAAGCTCCACAAACTGTCTGGATCAAGTTGACTTGGGGCAGGGCAAAGCTGTTGCACATGACTAGAGATGGATCAGGCCTCTCCATATGGGAAATTTGAACATAAGAAGAGCCCTGCTGGATCAGGCCAATGGCTCATCTAATCCAGCATCCTGTTCATCCAGGTGCCCCAAACTACAAGCAGGACCTGAACACAAGAGCACTCCCCCACCCCCACCCCATGGTTCCCTGCAACTTATTCAGAAGCATTACTGCCTCCAACCCTGGAGGCAGAGCATGACATTGTGGCTAGCAGCCATTGGCAGTCTTTATCTTCCACGACTATGCCCAATCCTTTTAAAGACCTTCAAGTTGGTAGCAACCACTTCCTCCTGTGGCAGTGAGTTCCATAGTTTAACATCCTTTTTGCTGCCAGCATAGTTCAGCTTTAAGCATGTGGAAACTAGTGAATTGGTGGCATACTTACCTAATCTGCCTTTTCTTTTTTTCCTTACAGAAAATGAAGCCTCTTGGACAGCGGAAGCGCTCAACGCCTGCTGCACTCAGCAAGGCACTCAGCATGTCTAAGCATCACTCCGGGTCAGCAACTTTCATTTGCAATCCCTCCTTAGTATGCGCACATGCTTGGGTTTTATTGCCTAGATCAGCCTTTGCCAAGCCTTAGCTTCATATGACCATACTGGGTAGAGCTGAAGGGAGTTGTCCAAAGCATATTGAGGGCACTAGATTGGCAGTGGCTGGGGTGATGGTGACTGAAATTACCAATATTCTCCCAGTCCAAATGTCCAGCATTCTATTATCTTTTTTTAGCGGGGGGTGCCACTTGAAAGATTTATATACCCCCTGACATTTAAAAAAGAAACAAGCTTCAAAGTGGTTTACAAAGAGAACAAAACAATAAACATATTAAGAAAATCTGTTAAAAACAGCTATTCAAAACTTTTCAAAGAATAATTAAACTTACGGATAAGCTATAAACAGATCAAAGCACATTGATAGGTTTGCCTGAACAAAAATGTTTTTAACAGGTGCTTTAAAAAGAGTACAGCGAAGGTGATATAAACAGGCAGGGAGTTCCATAGGATAGGTACTGCCATATGAAATGCTTGAGTTCTTACAAACGGTGTGATGTGGCACCTGTAACAGGATCCAGTGCTGCAGATCAAGTGTGTGTTAATGGGGTAAGGCAATCTGGCAGATAAACTCACCTCCAGTTGTAAAGGGCATTGTACTGTATACTACAAGTTCAAGCTGTTAAGGGCAACAGCTTGAACTTGGCCCAGCAGCAGATTGGCAACCAGCACAGACCATCTTCCTCTTGTCAGCAACTGTGCTGCAGCATGCTGCACTAACTTCAGCTTCCAGATCAAGTGCAGGGGAAGCTCCACACAGCAGTAATTCAGTACCAGTTTCTCAGGTCAAAGCGAACAAGAGGGCATAAATAGGTAGTGCAATCACATAAGTAAACTGGCAAATTTTAGGCAGATCCAAGGCAACTGATCACATGGGAAAGTGAGGTCTGGATTGTGCCTACTGGCCTCACCTCCAAATCTCTGCAGTTTCACCCAAATTTATTCACAGAGGCTCTGTGCCAGGGTTGCAGACCCTGTGGCTTTCCAGGTATACGTCAGCTCATTTTTTAATTTTTGTTTAAAAAATATGTTACAGTCATTTGACCACGTGCAATCTTAAGGCCACTGCACATTTAACTGCTGATTAGTTTTTTCTCTTCCCCCACCCCATTAATCCACAGGAGTGAAAACAAAAGAACCCTAGTTCCCATAGGGCCACTGCAGAGGTTACCCTGACCTCCCCCCATCCTACCAGGTTTCCTCTTTCCTGCACCAAATTACATTCAATTTGGCTTAGCAAAGGCCGTTTTCTAGACGAGACTTATTGGAGATGCTGGACATTCCACAGAAGAAGCAGTGAGAGAGGAAACAAAAGTGCGTGGCTCTTCCTCTCCTGAAGGCAACTTCTAGGTCTCCCTGGAAAAGCGGAGGTGGGCATTTCCTCCAAGGGTGCAAAGTTCTCTTGATGTGGGTCAGGATGTGCTTCTGTTCCCTTCAGATGATTCCTAGAAACATGAATCACTTCCTCTCTTTCGCTGCTTCTGTTGAAAAATCCAGAGTGGTCGCCACAGTTTATTGCAAGCCTGTTCTAAGTATATGGAGAAATATTATCCATAACATTCCCATTGCAAAACTGAATGAACGCTGCCCATCTCTTGATAAATCTGTCCTGCCAAATGCAGTCGTACCTTGGTTATGAACTTAATCCGTTCCCGAAGTCCGTTCTTAAACCAAAGCCATTCTTAAACCGAGACACACTTTCCCTGATGAGGCCTCCCGCCGCCGGTACCCTTCCACCGTTCAGCTTCCGTTCTTAGACCAAGGTAAAGTTCGTTAACCGGAACACTACAGTGGTGCCTCGCAAGACGAAATTAATTCGTTCCGCAAGTTTTTTCTTCTTGCGAGTTTTTCGTCTTGCGATGCACGGTTTCCCATAGGAATGCATTGAAAATCAATTAATGCGTTCCTAGGGAAACCGACTACAGACCAGGTCCGGGACAGTCTGTCCCCAGCCCTCCTCAGAAGGCTGGGGGGGGGGGACAAGGGCTTTTCTTCCCACCCCCAGCATTTTAAAAAACCCCGGGACAGCGGAGAGCTTCTCCGCTGTCCGGGGCGATCTTAAAATGCTGGCGGGCGGCATTTTAAAATTGCCCCGGGACAGCGGAGGACTTCTCCGCTGTCCGGGGCAATTTAAAAGCCCCTGGGAAGGCAGGCAGGGGGGACAAAGACTTTTGCCCCCGCCAGCCTTCAGAAGAGGTCCTGGACCTCTTCTGAAGGCTGGCGGGGGCGAAAGTCTTTGTCCCCCCCACCTGCCTTCAAAAGCTGTCCAGCCAAGGCTTCGCGGACCTCTCCGCAAGCAGCGGCAGCACTGCCGCTGCTTGCGGAGAGCTGCCGGCATGCCGAAGCCTGGGCGCGCTGAGATCAGCGCGCCCAGGCTTCGCGGACCTCTCCGCGAGCAGCGGCAGCGCTGCCGCTGCTCGCGGAGAGTTGCCGGCATGCCGAAGCCTGCGCGCGCTGAGATCAGCGCGCCCAGGCTTCAGCGGACCTCTCCGCGAGCAGCGGCAGCGCTGCCGCTGCTCGCGGAGAGTTGCCGGCATGCCGAGGCCTGGGCGCGCTGAGATCAGCGCGCCCAGGCTTCGCGGACCTCTCCGCGAGCAGCGGCAGCGCTGCCGCTGCTCGCGGAGAGTTGCCGGCATGCCGAAGCCTGGGCGCGCTGAGATCAGCGCGCCCAGGCTCGCGGACCTCTCCGCGAGCAGCGGCAGCGCTGCCGCTGCTCGCGGAGAGTTGCCGGCATGCCGAGCCTGGGCGCGCTGAGATCAGCGCGCCCAGGCTTCGCGGACCTCTCCGCGAGCAGCGGCAGCGCTGCCGCTGCTCGCGGAGAGTTGCCGGCATGCCGAAGCCTGGGCGCGCTGAGATCAGCGCGCCCAGGCTCCGCGGACCTCTCCGCGAGCAGCGGCAGCGCCTGCCGCTGCTCGCGGAGAGTTGCCGGCATGCCGGAGCCTGGGCGCGCTGAGATCAGCGCGCCCAGGCTTCGCGGACCTCTCCGCGAGCAGCGGCAGCGCTGCCGCTGCTCGCGGAGAGTTGCCGGCATGCCGAAGCCTGGGCGCGCTGAGATCAGCGCGCCCAGGCTCCGCGGACCTCTCCGCGAGCAGCGGCAGCGCTGCCGCTGCTCGCGGAGAGTTGCCGGCATGCCGAAGCCTGCGCGCGCTGAGATCAGCGCGCCCAGGCTTCGCGGACCGGAGATTTCCTATGGGCTTTCGTCTTGCGAAGCAAGCCCATAGGGAAATTCGTTTGCGAGCGCCTCCAAAACGGAAAACCCTTTCGTCTAGCGGGTTTTTCGTCTTGCGAGGCGTTCGTCTTGCGGGGCACCACTGTACTTCTGGTTTTGCGGAGTTCTTATACTGAATAGTTCGTAAAAAGTTCTTAAGCTGAGGTTGCACTGTACCGCTTTGTGATCTTGTTTTATAGGTCCATTTAGTCATTAATGTTATTTCCAAAATTTCAGAAGTAAGAAGCACAGATTTCTAGTGGATGGCAAATTTGTAAATTTATTCCAAGCTTTGCTTTGCACAAAATGGAACACTAAACACCCCCACCCCTCCCCCATATGTAACAGAATGGATGAGAAAATAATTTGGAAGGAACAACTATCATTGTTACTTGAGGCCTAGATGACCTTGTTGGCTTTCCTGGGTAGAAAACCTTCAAGTTAGTCTACTGAAATTCAGTCTACTTGGGCCTGCCTTAGAAGACAGTCCAGAACATAACTGTCAAGTGTCCCTTATTTGAAGGGACAGTCCCTTATTCCAGCGCCATGTCCCGCTGCTGCCCCTTATTGATGGATGTCCCTTAAATGTCCCTTAAATGATGTCCCTTACATTTCAAAGGAAGCAGCTCCTCTCCCTCCCTCCCTCCCTGCCGGCCAGGGAGGAGGGAGGCTCCAACTGTGTTGCTTGGCTGTGTTGCTCACCCAGTAAGAAGTATAAGAACGACTGGGGGGTGGAGCTTGAATGCCTTGTGTGTGGCTAGTTAATGCAAGCTGAGGGGTTTTTTGAATGCTGGATGCCATTTTGTTGCACGTGCTGCTGCAAATTTTGCAGTGCAAAGCCAGGCCGGGGAGCCATCTTAAGTTGAGGCTGCATAGGCCTTGTGGTGCATGTGATTCAGATTCTATTCAGCTGAACCTCTGGTTACAAAGTTGGTTGGACAGTGTTCTCGAAGCTACCAGCATGAGTTTGACCAGACTGCAGGAGGACAGGAAGACTGGAGTGCCTGGAACAGGTGAGGCTGCAGGTCCCTTATTTTGGCTGCTGGTGCCTTATTTTCAAGGCTGCTGGTCCCTTATTTTCAAATCTGTAAGTTGACAGCTATGGTCCAGAAATTGCAGCTACTGCAAAATTCAGCAGCCCAGAGTGCTTATGGAAGTGGCAGACCAAGCATATCCATTGTAAAAAAAAACCTTCACTGGTTGCCACTTGTTTTCCAGACCCAATTTGAAGGACTTATACTTATGTAAATCGAACTATCTGCAAGTTAGGGACTTATCATGCATGTGAAGACTGGTTCCGGGTGGACTGAGTGGACGAGACTAATAGTGGGTCCAGTGGCCAAGAAAGCAGTTTCTGCATGTGCTGTAGAGGGAAGTGAGGGGCTGATGGGACTTGTCAACCTGGAAAGAGAGCCCATCTAGGAGACGAAAACTCTGATCCTAAACCTCCCCTGCCTTGAGGGTCAGGAGAAGAAAAGGCTAAGGACTAATCCCTACACAAATCTGGAATGGTGTCCATAAGACAGTTGGATGGCGCCTGGCATGCCTTCTTTCGGAGGGGGGGCATAGCTAAGGTCCTGGCCTGCCCCTCATTGCATGAGGGGAATTTGTGCCTGAGCCTTCTGGACTTTTCAAAAGAACAGCAAGCCCAAGCGGCTGTCTCTTTAATAGCGAATAAGTTATCACAGAGTTTGGAGACTCCCTCGCTCCCACCGGCAATGAGATGATGGATTCTAGAAGGCCATGCTCTCTGTCATTCCTGTTCCAAAGATGCCCTCACAAATAACATTTCCTGCCAGTTTATTTAATTGAAATAAATATTTTCTTTAAAGCCAAGATAAAAAAACTTTAATGATTTACACTTCAAACCAAGCAAGCTTTTATGGGAACACTATTTTTCATTTAGCACCATACTATAACCCCTCTGCTTTTGGGGAAATGATTTGTGCAGCTTCCAGCATGGTTTTTATCTGAGAGGAATTCTTGCACTGGCTGCCACTGAGAAGGCCTTTCCTTCTTCTAGCTTTCTCCATCTTCTGCAAGCGACTCGAATGGGAGAAACACATTCTTGGCTTTATTTGGATGCAGGGAAGAATGTCTTTTGCAGACTAGGCAGAGGGCAAAGAGGGGGCACTTAACATTTCCTGGGTTGGCCTGACCCTGGGAATTTGTCACAACGTCACTGGTGATTTGTAGGTTCGCGTATTATTAGTTCCCTTGCATTGCATTTTTTAAAGAACAAGATTAGATAGATTTTGGCCACATATCCAAAACTTGCACAATTGCTGGTTCAAAGTGTTAATAGATGTTGGTGTTGGATGCTGATTTAGAAATAATCAGTTTGGGGGGAAGAAGCGAGTAAGAGGCAAAATGATAGAAGTTTGTAAAATTATGCATGGCATAGAGAAAGTGGATAGAGAAAAGCTTCTCTCTCACTCTTGCGTAACACTTGAACAAAGGATTTGCTTTCATTATATGCTGGGGAGCAGCCCTGAGAAAGAAAAGAGGAAGGTGTCATGCAGATACAGTATTCTGGGAGGGAGTTCCAGGTGTAGGAAGCAGGGACAGGTTCATTTAAAGGAGCAGGAGGTTTTCAGATAAAGGAGTGCTAAGAGTAAATGAACCAAGTTCCAGTAGGACCCTGGGTGGATCTGGTCAGGTTGGGTCTGAAGTGGATGCTCAGACTCCAGAAAGCACTAATTTTGTGTATCAGCCCTGTATGGGTGATGATGAGTCTTTCGTAATCAACCAATTTGGTATAAAATAGTTAGGCAGTCTCAGTAACATTTTCCTGTTTTACAAACTAATATCTATTTGAAGTGATCACGTGGAACTTGATGATTTGACCTCTTTTATTATTGAGCAGTTTAGAACTTTTATATTAGACCTTATATTGGAGGCTGACGACTTAAAGTGAATGCATAAAGCTATGGACCACAATTAGGATGCAAGCGAAGATTTATGCATCTCACTCTGTTTTCAGCTCCCTGAAGCCTGTAACGAATCCCCACCCCCCCACCCCCACTCACCTTCCCCCCCCAAGAAAATCTTTAATAAAGATACATTTTTTTAAAAAAACTAACCGACCTAACTAACTGACCCATTGCATTGTGGATAACTTGGTTCTGCCCCCAACAAAAGCCTGCCCCCCAAAATAATAAATCCTGACTATACCCAACCTCTGGGATGAATTCACCTCTCAGCTGTCATCCACAAAGATCATTGTCTGAGAAACTTTGGAAGAACTAATGACCCCCATGGATGAGCAGCTAGCAGACAGTGTGAGGGTGAATACCATAGCTGTCAACGTTTCCCTTTTTTTAAGGGAAATTCCCTTCTTCCAAATAGGATTCCTCGCAAGAAAAGGGAAACGTTGACAGCTATGGTGAATACTTTATTGGAGAATGCAGATTTGGTCAAGGAAATTAGTCTCTGACATGAAAAGCAGATTCAATGAGTTCTTTTTTAAAAAGTATTTTTATTAAAGATTTTCTTGGTTTACAAAAGTATGTGCAGTGTCTCTCTCCCCCCCACCCCCCGGTAACATTTTTTAACAGATCAGTTTCATTTGTTGAGACATTAGGAAGAAAAGGGGGGAGATGAGTGGGGGTGGGGTCAGGTGGCGATATTTCTATTTTACTTAATATATGTGGGGTTTTGTGTCAGTGTTGCTTGCGCAGGTTCTCATTAGGTCAGTTAGTTAAGTATTTTTATTTATTTACAGTCATACCTCGAGTTGAATGTGCTTTGGGTTGAGTGCGTTCGAGTTGCGCTCCGCGGCAACCCGGAAGTAATGGAGTGCGTTACACTCAAAATGACATCACGCACATGCACGGAAGCGGCGAAACACGACATGCGCAGACCCGCCGTCGCGTCTTAACGTTCCGTTTGGGATGTGAACGGGGCTCCGGAACGGATCCCGTTCGCATCCCGAGGTACCACTGTACTTGATTTGGGGGGGGGGGGACAGCTGCCCCCCTAACTACACCCATGTCCCAGAGATTGGGGCTGCCATTGCATCCCTGGTCTCCCACACTAATTGGATCTTCTGCCAAGTTGATAATGGCCCGATTGTGTTTTTGCAGCTGGCTGCTTTTTGCTTATATCAGTCATGTGGTTTGAAGAAACCAGGAAGATTGTCTGATTTTTGTTGTTGTTGTTGTTGATTCAGATTCACTGGCATACACAAAGCACGAAGAAGAGATTTATATCCAAAACATATGTGCAGGATCCGTTGGGTGAGAGGGGTTGTTTCTGGTGTTTTCCTGAGCTAAGGATTTAAGGGGCCACCTATATCGGCATTGGCTCCACTCCCCCATCACAACTCATTGGATAATTTCTCTTTTTCAGCAGGGAAGTAATTTGTCAACCCGTCCATTCAGACAATGGATTACCAGCCGGGGCTTTCGGTAATCCAAATTCCGTTTTCATTTTGGAGGAGCAAGTACAGCTAACTGCAGGCTTACAGACGCAAGAGAGATGTTTGTTCCTCTTCAGCAATATGTTGGTTGTTGCCAAGTTCAAGTAAGTGCAGATTTGATCTACAAGGCTGTTAATGAAGTGGGTATTTCTTAGGAGTACCTTGCAAAGGTTACTTGCCCAGGTGTCTGTACTTGGAACTGGAACTGGAACTTGGAACTGGAACCTTCTTGAGTGTGGTCCATTTGTGGCCTCTCTCTCCATTCTCAGAATTAAGCTAGCCATTGTTACACCCTCCAGATGTTAGTGGACTACAACTCCTCTCACTGTTTGCCATGCTGGCTGCTGGGACTGCTGGGAGTTGGAGTCAAACAGCATCTGGAGGGCACCAGGCTGGGGGCGTCTGGTGTAAGAGCTTGCTTAGCTTATCATCAGGGGAGGAGGGCAGTGGTGAGCTTGAGCAAATCATATTTGGAAAATGGGTGTTTCCAGCTGTTTGTTGTTGTTGATTGTAGGATGGGCACATTTCACCCATGCAAAAAAATTTTTTAGCTACATCCACATAACTTTATTGGCACCAGAATACCTGCCTGTATTTTCCCTCTATTGAATCAGGATTTACCCTGCACATGGAAAATCTGAAAAGTATTTTTTTTAATGCCAGCAATCTGCTTATGATATCTGAACGACCTGTTTGCAGAATTAATGAAGTCCTCATATGGAACACCCCAAGTTTCTAAAGTTCTTTTTCTTCATATTTTAGGGTATTATTATTATTATTATTATTATTATTAAAAACTGGCCATTTTCTGAAATGGACCATCAGGATAGAAATGTGCTATAAATCAGAATGAATAAATAAATAAATAGTCAAGTCCTGACTTTCTGATTTCTTCATAAAACAAGTTAAAAATGCAGCAAATATTCTTATGAAAGTAGAACATGAGGGGCATAGGGTTGAGCGGGAGGGAGAAGCAGAATTAAAGAAATTGTGCAATATTTTGCCAGATTAGTTTTGCTACTGCTAAGTAAAATCACAACAAGGCTAATGACTCTTTTATGAAATGCCAGACCCCAACAGAAATGGGGAGACTTGGAAAACATCAGTCTCTCTCTATGCAAGGTTTTACTGGTGTAAAAAGGTAAAGGTAAAGGTACCCCTGCCCGTACGGGCCAGTCGTGTCGGACTCTAGGGTTGTGCACCCATCTCACTTAAGAGGCCGGGGGCCAGCGCTGTCCGGAGACACTTCCGGGTCACGTGGCCAGCGTGACGAAGCTGCTCTGGCGAGCCAGCACCAGCGCAGCACACGGAAACGGCGTTTACCTTCCCGCTATAAATCGGTACCTATTTATCTACTTGCACTTGGGGGTGCTTTCGAACTGCTAGGTGGGCAGGAGCTGGGACCGAAAGACGGGAGCTCACCCCACCGCGGGGATTCGAACCGCCGACCATGCGATCGGCAAGTCCTAGGCGCTAAGGTTTTACCCACAGCGCCACCCGCGTCCCGTTTTACTGGTGTGCAACGGAACAAATAATTGTGACTATTTTATCATTTGTTTTATTTGTTACAGTAATTTATATCTCACTATTCTACGAAAAAATTGTGCTCAAAGAATGTCATGATATGGTAAAATAAAACAGAAAATTTACAAGAATAAACAGATCGTACACTATTAAAAAGCAACAATTCAAAACATAATACATTCTTTAAAATTATGCTGGAAGAAAACAGCTTTCACTGCCTGCTGTGTAGATTTGGGAATTGACTGCTCCACTGGAGTCTTTTCTCTCATAAGGAGGAAATTTCTGGCCTCTGATTCCTGACCCCAACAACAACTATTCCCATTCATAAATCTGTGGGTCCATCCTGCTAACAAGGAGCGTGACTTCATTGGTGAATGTGTGTAGGGATGAATGAACCTGCCAGTTTCAGTTTCTGTTCATCTCTCATTTATCCAGTCTTCAAGTTCAGGTCTCTCTGGATTTGCACATCTGTTTCCAAGTTGCTGCTTTTAAAAGTCCTCATAAAACTTTGTCTGTATTTTAATGTATAATTTTCCTAATACAGTATACACAACTTGTATGCATTTTTGCCCTAGTAATGCATATTTTTATTAACAACCCCCCTATTGTAATGCACTTTTAAATGTTGTTTTCACTAACATATGCATTTGTTCACATTTTCCATTAAAATGTGAGTTTTTGTGTACCTTATTTGATTGGAGAACTTGCAGCACAAAATTCAGAGAAGTGTAATTCTTCTTTTTCAACTGCACTCTGTTTTTAAAAGAATATATATTATATTGCTTTTTCACATGTAATTTAAAAGACAACAACAGTAAGCAACAACAATAGCAGCAAGTCTGTCATTTCTTGGGGGGAAAGTGTGTCAGCAGATGGAACCAGCAATTAGAACAAGTCTGTGATGCATTTTAAAATCTCTAATCAAATAAGACTCTCCAGATTTTTCCATGGGGAAGTTGTGTCAAGAATTTTGTAGGATGGGTGTGTGTTTTGGTCACATATTGTTTTGGGAAGAGTGAATCAAGAAAGTTTACCTTTAAGGCAAATTCAATCAAATTTTTCTCTCTCCCCTTAAGGGTGGTTCAACAGTGGTCATAATTCAGGAGAAGTGAAGATAAATGGTGGAGAGGTCTATGGTGAGGATGCAGTAGAAGACATGGGCACCACATGCCGTCTTCCTCTTGCCAGCATTCTTAACATAACCTGTCTCTGGCTTTGGATCTAGGTCATCCTCCAACTTGAAAGTGAAGAAGCAGGTGCACCTGACTAAGGTGTGGACAGGCAGCTGCCTCAGTGAAGTGTCGGAGAAAAGATTCACCCATGAGACCTCCTTTGTGATTGGCTGGCCCACCACCAACTTTGTTGTCACTTATAGGTAACACCTTCTCTCAGAATTCATCATCTATCCCCCTCGCCCCAAATCACCTCACATTTTCCTTAAACAACATCCGATGACAACACAGAGATGTAGAAGCTGACCTCCACCACCCCTCACTCACTAATAATGTTTCCCAATCTTACTTACTTTGTTTGGCTAATTTATTTACAAAATTTATCTCCCACAAAAATTTAGCTCCCACAAAGATCTGGGCTCAAAGTAGCTTATGATAATTTTAAACAACAGAATATATAAGCAGTAATTTGAGACAGGTCAAAAGCTGTCAATGGCAAAACTACGATGGCAACAACAACAGGAATAAAGAGTTTGAACCAGTATTATTAACATGGAGATTCACTAAGGATTGAATGGTAGTTTAGCTTCCTTTGAAATGTTTGAGATTTCCTGCAGGAGGAGAAATCTCAAAATTCAACCATTCATTCATTCATTCATTTACATCCTTTGAAACATACCATGAACATGACTTAAAATACAAATAAAATTCAGTTCTGGACACATCAAAAATCACACAAGGATTACTGTCTTCAAAGAACAGTATAAAGATAACCATTCTTACTATGATTCTTACTGTTACAGCATAAATAAACAATGCTGAGTACCTCAGAGTAGCATCCTGAGATAGCTGCATTGCATCCTTAGTTTTCTTATTCTCACACGTTACAAAATCAGACCAATCTGACCCAATCAATTAAACCAACATATCATTCTTTTTATTCCCTCTAGACAACTTTATGTGTCAATTTATGATTTCTCATTTGTCAAATATTTGGGGGTCATGCTTGCTCTATCTTTCTCTTTTCCCTTTTGCAATGCGATTCCTGTAGCCATTTGACCTTTGAAATGATTGTGCCTATTTGTCCATTTCGTGGCTAATTTCATAACAGAAATGCACAAAGTATACATGCTCTGTAATTTTTCTTCCCCAGCCTGTATCCCTCCAGATATGGTTGGACTACACCTTCTGTTGGGTGTTGATGGGGGAAAGCTGCACCCAGCTGAGAGTGTTATCTGAAAATTGACAACATTCCCTCCTTCACATACTAATTCTTCACATAGCTATTCTATGGGATTTGTTACCACAAGATGGAGTGATTGCCACCAACTTTGATGGCTTTAAAAGGGGTTTGGACACCTTCATAGAGGATTTGACAAACAAAGGCACTAGTACAATGGCTGTGCTGTTCCTCCAGGGTCAGAGGCAGTATGGCTCTGAATACCAGTTGCTGGAAACACAGGAGTGGAGAGTTGCTCTTGTGCTCAGGTCCTGCTTGCTGGTTTCCCACAGACATCTGGCTGGCTGCTAAGAGAACAGGATGCTGGACTATAAATGGGCCATTGGCCTGATCCAGCTTCATAGCTCTAATGTTCTTAATGCAGAAAATAAATACCTTTAATTCAGTAAGTCACTATTCCATCACATCCACACCATATATTTAAAGCCAATGGCTTCCAAAGATTCATGGGAGCTGTAGTTTTCCCACTCATAGCTACACATAGTTAAGAACTACCGTTCCCATGGTATTTGGTGAGGGTCATGTTTAAATATATGCATTAAATATATGGTGTGGATCAGCCCTTTATTCCTGCTTCAGCAAACAAGGTTGGCTAACATTTGCCCTATGCCCCCCTCAATATCTTCCTGATTGAAGCTAAAAATGTAAAATTTCTTTCCTCATCTCATCCAGGAAATACCGTATTTTTTGCTCTATAAGACTCACTTTTTCTCTCCTAAAAAGTAAGGGGAAATGTGTGTGCGTCTTATGGATCGAATGCAGGCTGCGCAGCTATACCAGAAGCCAGAACAGCAAGAGGGATTGCTGCTTTCACTGCGCAGCTATCCCTCTTGCTGTTCTGGCTTCTGAGATTCAGAATATTTTTTTTCTTGTTTTCCTCCTCCAAAAACTAGGTGCGTCTTGTGGTCTGGTGCGTCTTATAGAGCGAAAAATACGGTGATTTCCTATTGGCCATTCAGGCTATTGGGGAGTCTTCAATTGACTTTGTTCTGCCACGCATTGCAGGATACCTGAGTAGAAGAATGACGACTCTTGACATTTGCTTTTTACAGCCAATATATGTTTGGGCAAACCTTGGTACAGGTTCTGTATCTCTCACGTCATTACAGGGAAATAGTTTCTAAGAATTGCAAGGCAAGGAAAGCAGACAAAGCAAGATATTAATTAGAGGCCGTTGCCCAACGTGAAAAAGATGCTTGCTTCAAACGTCAGAACAAGGCACTTGCCCTCCGCCCACTTATCAGAGCCTCGCTTCGCTTCGCCAGGAAATTGAGCTCAGCAGCACAAGAAAATTATTTTACTAAAATAGAACAGGAAGGGGCTGTGCTTTTGTACAGTGGTGCCTCGCAAGACGAAAAGAATCCGTTCTGCGAGTCTCTTCGTCTTGCAGTTTTTTCGTCTTGCGAAGCAAGCCCATTAGCGATTTAGTGGATTAGCGCTATTAGCGGCTTAGCGGATCAGCTGATAAGCGGCATAGCGGCTTAGCGGATCAGCTGATAAGCGGCTTAGTGGCTTAACGGATCACCTGTTAAGCGGCTTAGCGGATCAGCTGATAAGCGGCTTAGCGATCAGCTGTTAAGCGGCTTAGCGGATCAGCTGATAAGCGGCTTAACGGCTTGGGAAAAGGGGGAAAAGGAAAAAAAAACCCCGCAGGAACTCGCAAGACATTTTCGTCTTGCGAAGCAAGCCCATAGGAAATTTGTTTTGCGAAGCACCTCCAAAACAGAAAACCCTTTCGTCTAGCGGGTTTTCCGTCTTGCGAGGCATTCGTCTTGCGGGGCACCACTGTACTGGGCCTTTGTCAGAAGGGACAGTGATTTATAGTTCTGTATATCATCTATGGCATTGTCGACAAAGAAAGGGGGGGAACATCCCCAACCTGAGGGCCACATTATTCTCTGGATCATCTTCTGGGGGCCGCATGCCACTGGCAGGCAGGGCTAGAGGCAAAAGTGGATGGAGCAGTGAATGTGACTTTTACCCTTCATATGGAAGGCTACAATCCAGCCAGACAAGACGGAGATTTCTATGGAGGAGGTTTCTATTCATGGAGAATAAGTCTATCAGTGACTGCTAGCCATGATGGCCAAGCTCTGCTTCCATGGTTGGAGGAAGTAATGCTTCTGAATACCAGTTGCTGGAAACCTCAGGAAGAACTCAAGTGCTCCTCTGCTTGGGTTTTGCTCAAGGGTTTCCCACAATGAGCACCTGGTTGGTCACTGTAAGAGTAGGATGCAGGCCTAGATGGGCCCCCTTTGGCCTGATCCAGCAGGATCTTCTTATGCTGTCATGGAAACCACAGGAGGGGGAGAGTGCTATTGTTCTCAAATCCTGTCTGTTTGTCCCCCACAGGGAACTGGAGGGCCACTGTGAGAAGAGAATGATGGACTAGATGGGCCATTGGCCTAATCTAGCAGACTTTTCTCATGTTCTTAGGCACACACATCTAATCCTCTGAGACATTATCACAGTTCACCAACACAAAAGCACTTGAGGAGCAGGGCCTGGCAAGGGGTGGGGCCTCTGGAGGGGGAATAGCATAGAGAGAGTCCCAAGGGCCACAGTTGGCCCCCGAGGCCACAGATGTTCCCCACCCCTGTTGCAGCCAGAGGACTTTTGATGCTTTCTTACCATTGTGTTTACTACTCATTTTCAGATCGCCTGAAGTGAAGGACAGGTGGATGTCAACACTGCTGTGGTAAGAGTTGCATTCTTTTTGTCTGCAGCAAGGATGCCACGTGGCGTAAAGGTAGGAGTGGCATTGTGCCATGGTGGCCTGCCTGTGGCATCTAGTGGCCCTTGCCGTGGTTGCTGCTTGCTCCCCACGAAAGTAGGCTAGAAGCAGGGCTACCTCCATCAGTTCCGTTGTGGCAGGCCAGCCCCATCAGGCCTCATCTCCCCTCAGCTTGGCACCTGAGGGCAACTGCCATTCCCTCAGGCTGACTCAGTGGGAGAAGTGGGAAGCAGAAGGCTCATTCCATCAGCTTTGCCAAAAGCCCAGATCCATCAGGCACCTCCTGCCCCTGAACTGTTCCAACTGTTTAGAAATCAATACTGAGTTTGAAATTTAATTTTCTTCTTCCCTCCCCATCCCTTTTTCCTTGTATGTCATGCTTTTTGGTTTTTAGGTTGTAAGCCTGCAGGCTGTTTTGAATGTAAGCTGCTGTGGGAACCTTTTTGACTGAAGAATTGGGTACAAAAGTTATAGATAGATGGATAGATAGATAGATAGATAGATAAGCTAACTGGAAGAGGGAGGAGGGAATGTGTTGGGTCTATAATGTGCCTCAGAGAGTACTGTCTTATACTTTATCAGTGTTCTACTTTGATCCCATTTAGCCACTTTTCAGGTGTTCATTCACAAGGATAGCCAACGTCCATCAGCCCCCAGGGAAGATGGGAGTTGTAGTTCCACAATATTAGGAGGACATCTTTTTAGCTACTGCCACATAGGAAACACATGGGAAGGGTGGCATTGCAGTGACAGGCAGCACCCTAGACTAACATGCATCCGTTAAAACAGGAAGCAGGAACCATTTTCAACCTGAAAGCTACACTCCTGCTGTGTGGGTAGCTGCATGCCAGGGCTGGGTGTGGCCAGAGATGAAAGTGGGCAGGGCTTTACCTTTGTGCAGTAGGTTACATTCCTGGCACACAGAAATCAGAAATTTTGAACATACCCACATACCCACACATGTGTAAAGCATTATCACGGCCCCAGGACCACATTCCAGCCAGGTAAATGTTCTTGATGCAGGACTGCTCTAAGGAGTACAACCCAAGGAGAGGTGTCATGGGCTGAGCGGGGTCCTCGGGGCTTGAGGTTCTCCACCCCTGTGTTAGAACCTCTGAAGGGAGCTGCTGAGTGTGCACAGGACTTAAATGACATGGAGATGCTTGAGTGAAATCAACCCCACCCCAAAAAAGTTAGTCTCCCCAAAATGGTCTGTAGCAGTGTTTTTAGTGCCTTTCTCTGCATGCCCCAGTAACTATGCACCTTGTGGTTTATTTTCTTAATGGTAAATTTATGAATTACAGGCACATCAATGAAGTGAAGCAGACTGAGTATCCCAAAAGCGTACCCATGCAGATTGTGTTGATGGACGGTGATCACAGCTCCTCTGTGAGTAACAGTGGGAAAAATAGCCTGGCCTATTAGGTTGGTCCTGTTCTTCAGTACCGCCGTATGTGGCAGTGCTTAGTCTTGATTTTCAATCTACAGTAGTTTTAAGGCTCTATGTTACCTGAGCAGAACCTAAATGTGTTTTTTATTCTTTGTGTCAAGAGCACTGCAATAATCGTCTCCAATGTAGAAACAGCAGAGCATGTCATCAAGAGGACCACTGAGAAGCTGGGACTTCCTGTAAGTGCAAAATTTATTTCCTTTTAGAAATGGCTCAGCAGTACTGCATTATTATTTTTACTAGCTGTGAGGCGGGGGGTGGGAAGATGAAGTCACTTGAGCTTTCCTAAGTGTAACTGAGGCAAGGGATCCACTCATGCCCAAGAAGCAAATAGACTGGAGAAGGGATCTGGGCCACATGCTTTTGCATTCTACATTTTAAAAAAATTAAGGAGGTATTAATGAACAGGATATTATTTATCTAGACTTACTGTGTATGCATTTTATTTTTGGGGGGTATACTGGGTTCTGAGAAGGAGTGGAAAATAAGCACTAAAAGTGAATATGCATGATTTTGATAAATACATAATTATGTCAACTGTAGGGTTGTAAAATACAGATTAGTTCTTTTATGACCAACATATTCACATGAATGCTTGGGTTTCACCCCTTAGTACAGTGGTACCTCGCAAGACGAATGCCTCGCAAGACAAAAAACTCACTAGACGAAAGGGTTTTTGGTTTTTTGAGCTGCTTCGCAAGACGATTTTCCCTATGGGCTTGCTTTGCAAGATGGAAACGTCTTGCAAGTTCGTTTCCTTTTTCTTAACACCGTTAATACAGTTGCGACTTGACTTCGAGGAGCAACTCATAGAACGCGGTGTGGTAGCCTTTTTTGAGGTTTTAAAGACTTTGGTGATTTTTGAAGCTTTTCCAAAACTTTCCCGACACCGTGCTTCGCAAGACGAAAAAAATCGCAAGACGACAAAAGTCGCGGAACGAATTAATTTTGTCTTGCGAGGCACCACTGTATAAGACATGAGTGTTGCAAGTTGTAGACAAAGCCATTGATTTCTTTGGCTTTGCAAGCATTCCTCCATGAGAAAATTGGTAATGTCAGTCAAGATTCCCTAAAACTCTCTCCCCCTGATTTCCAAATCACACCTAAACTTTGCCACTGCTAAGGAAGGCAGTCTGGGAGGCACAAGGGTGAATTCTCAGTTCATACAGAGCAAGTGGCTGTTACTCGTGGTCAAACCCTTTGCTCTGGAGCATGTCCCAGAATCCCTCTATAATGTACAGGGGTTCCTTGAGAAAAGAAGAATTTGAAAGCCACTGGCCTCTTCCCTTGCCACCTAGGCAAAATATACTAGTTTATAATTAGACTGTGGTGTGCTAAAATGTGCCATGTATATAATGACTCAAGACATGTTCATTGGCCTGACTCACATGCTTTTCAAGTCTTTTGTGTGGATATTGCATCCATTTCCAACCTAGATGGCTTTAAAAGAGCATTAGACAAATTCGTGGTGGAGAAGGAGGAGGAGGCTACCGCCGCCTGCTAGCCATGATGGCTGTGGTCTGCCTCCACTGTCAGAGGCCGTAACACTTCTGAGTACCAGTTGCTTGAAACTACAGGAGGGGAGAGTCCTCTTGCTCTTGGGTTCCTCTTGCAGGCCTCCCACTGATGCATCTGGTTGTCCACTGTGAGAAGAAGATGGTACTAGATGGGCCATTTGCCTGCTCCAGCAGGCTATTCTTATGTTCTTATGTAAGCCGCTGCTGTCCAGATGCATGGCTGTGCTAGTTGGGGCTGATGGGAGTTGTAGTCCAAAACATCTGGAGGGTACCAGATTGGGGGAGGCTCCTGTAAAGTTTCAGCTTTGACTTCTTTCTGTCTGTCTGCCTTCCCCTTTCCTCAGCTGTACTGTTCCGCTTCCTCTGAATGTCAGACATGCTGGTCACTCTGTTGTATTCCATCAGGTTTGCAGCCCTGCATTTCCTGATCCTCCCTTCACCACCTGCTGCCTGGGCTTCATTGCCTGGTATCCCCTTCTGTTGTTTTGCATCCCCTTTTCCCAGCTTCTCCAGTCCTTCATTCTGCCACCTCATTTCTTTCTGTTTTTCAATCCACAGGGCCGGCCAAGAGACTATCTCCTTTGGGTAATACCAGGAAGGGACAATAATGCTTACCCACTTATCGGTAAGAGCTCTTGCTTTCTTGAGTGAACATGGATAATTCAGTATTAATTAATGTCTAAATGAATATTTGTAAGTCCTTCTGATGTGAGTGGCATCTTACCCTTTCATTTCTGTGGAGTGAAATTGTTGTTCCTTTTATCATCCAGGACATTGCACTCTGTGAGGCAGTGTAATGCAGCAGCAAAAAAAAAAAAAAAACCACACAACAACCCTAATTCAATTCTAGGTTACATCAGCAGAAGTTGAGTGTCCAGATCAAGGGAAGTAATAGTCCCGCTCTGTTTTGCCTTGGTCAGACCACACTTGGTCAGACCACACTTCCAAACAGCTCTTACTGGCAGAAAAGTCAGAATGTCCTGTATTGTAACTGTTTGGAATGTCCTTTATTGTAACTTGAACCACTGGTTCAGGACCTACCCTCCTGTTACCTCCATACACTACTGCCTCTGTCCTGCCCCCAGTAAGGAGTCACCACCACCACCAACCCTTCCTCTGGGAAGTGGCAGGAATTGTTCTGTATCATCATTACACCATGTGATCTCCCACTTGCAGTCTAAAGCACTACAGCCAAATACAGTTTGCCACATCAGGGAGAACCAGGCCCTTTCTGAATGAAGGCTCTCCCACACTTCCATTTGTCCCAGGCTTTCTGTGCGTTTGCCCTGCTGCTTTCCCTGGGAAAACCTGCTGTTTACCACTAAGTCGGAGTAAAAGTCCATCAGGGTTTTCTGCAGATTGACATGAGTTCGGATTCAGTGGTAAACATCAGGTTTTCCAGGGAAATGGCAGGGTGAACGAAGAACCTCTTGGACCCATGCCCAGAAACCATGGGACAAGTAGAAGGGAATCCAGGACAAACAGAAGTGTGGACAAGCCCTGAGTGAAAGAAGAATCAGATCAAACCTTCTGCCTAAAGCAACCCAAACATATGGTTATAAAAGTTAGGTGCCACCCCCCACTTTCTACAAGACTCCAAGGGGTTCCAGGCTCTCACCCAGGGTCTGTGGTCCTTTGGAAAATTGAGACATGGCAGAGACTGTCATAGCTTTGAGGAAAATGGTTTATTCACCTATTTACACCTTCAGTCTGCATGGAGGGAGTCCAGAACTTATGGCATGGTCATCTGAAGCAGAACTTGTCTCCCACAGCAGTGCAGCCCTGAAGTACAAGGCATCTCTCCCAGCCAGCCTTCAGCCAACCTGCCCAAGATGGATCCCAGTCTTTCTTTTCTCCCATTCTTCTTTCCAGCAAACCTTGCTAAACAACCCTCTTTTCCTGTCACCTCACACCCAGTTACGCTGACAACCTTCCAAATCCCAGACTCTGTTCACACGTCAGAGCAAGGGGAAGTTCAGTTTTCTTGTACTGCTAATGGCCCTCAACAGAGTTGTATTGTTTTTAATAGTCCTAGCTTGGCCAGGTTGTTTTGCATTGGCTAGCTCAGGAATTCCTTTGCAGCTTGTATTTCTCCCTTCACATCCCAAATAATCAAAATCCTACCATTTATTAATTTCTAGGGTTTAGCCCACCCAACCCAAATCTTTAACACCATGCTTCCCACACCAACTTAGACAAGAGCTATGAAATTCAAACTTGCAAGGAAAACAATGCCTTCAGAGATGCTGTGGGAGGAAAAATGTTGTTTCCCTTAATCAACTACTCCTGTTTAAATAAGCAAACATCCATCTTCCCATTATGAGCGTGGAATCTTCAGCTTGTTTATTTCTCCTGTTAAAGAATTCCAGCTGATATTTCAAGATATTATTTCAAGTATGATAGGCTGGTAGTTAATTCAGATGGAGTTTGTAAGGACATAAGAGCCTGCTGGATCAGACCAATGGCCCATCTTGTTCAGCATCCTAATCTCACATTGGCAGGACCCAAGCACAACAGCTCCCTCCCCTCTTTCAGTTTCCAGCATGTGGTACTCAAAAGCATTTCCTGCTTCCAACCACACAGAGAGAGCATAGCCATGATGACCGGTAGTCATTGATAGCCATCTCCTCCTATGAATTTGGCTGATCTTCTTTTAAAACCACCTAAGTTGTTGGCCATCACTGCCTCCAGTGGGAGTGAGTTCCATAGTTTAACTCTGCACTGCGTGAAAATGTCCTCTTTATCTGTCAACTTTATCTTCCAACTTTATGCTTCAATGGACATCCACAAGTTCTAATGTTATGAGAGAAGGGGGGCTTTTCTCTATCCCCTTTCTCCATTCCATGCATCATTTTATAAACTTCTATCACGTCGCTTCTTACTTGCCTTTTCTCTAAATTAAAAAGTCCCGAATGCTGCAACCTTTTTCCTAGGATAGTTGCTACATCCCTTCGATCATTTTGGTTGCCTTATTCTGAACCTTTTCCAACTCTGTGATACCCTTTTTGAGGGGAGGCAACCAGAACTAAAGACACTGTAATCCAAATGTGGTCACGCTATCAGTTTGTATAACGGCGTTGTGATGCAGGCAGTTTTATTTTCAATTTGTTTCCTGATGATCCCTAGCATAGAATTTGTCACGGCTACTTCACACATGGCTGGCAGTTTCTGCTTCATTGTGTTAAACATTGTATCCTAGTTCAATGGATTTCTGAAATAGATACAATGGAACATTCTATACATAGTGCACTGTCTATTCAGATAGTGCTGTTTTTCTTGGTAAAAGAATAAATGAATCCATTTAGCTCCTAAACAGCTTTGCGCTGCCTTTAAGGAGCCTAAATAAATGCTTGGGTTTAAACTGAGGCTAAATGACTGGTAACAGGGAGTGATTTCAGAAATAGGCAGCAAGAAATTAAGATCAACACAATATTTTTCTTTAAATTATTTAATAATAATAATAATAATAATAATAATAATAATAATAATAAATGCCCTATGAAGGCAAAAAGTGTTTTGGATTTTTTTGCCATTGGCACATATCAGAAAATGATGCAAGTTTAGATGTACAAATAACATTACACAGAGTATTTACTTTGGCTGAGAGTATAGGGCATGTCTTTTCAACTTTTTCCCATAGTGTTTCATAACAATTTCTATTATTACATGTGACATAATGACAGTATCGTATTTAGGGTTGGGCTTTCTGGTCAAAATGGGACGAAAATGAGAGCAGAACTTTTGATGAAGGCTGTTTGGGAATGTTGAAAAGAGCAGCCTTTTCCTTGAGACTTTTCAGTTAACTTCTTTCAGAGGAGCCAAAACCCTTTCACTGTTGCTTCTCTCAGGCTGTGGGAGATGTCAAAGCCTTTTAAAGCAGACTCAGCAGATTTGGGGTCAGAGCCCCTTCCACCCTCCTCCTCCTCCTTCAGATTCCCTTTCCTTTGGATGGCTAACCATGTCACATCTGTGATGGGCTTAAGGTTTGTTTATTTATATCCTACTGTGTAGCCCACAGGGGATCCCCCCACCCCACAAAATTTCACCAATGAAAATTAGATCAAAGTCTAGTGTGAGGAATAGACCTGCCATGCTGTATTACTTCCTTTACAGGTAAGGGATGATCCCATGTCTGGTGTGAAGGATAGTTCCACAATTTCTTCCTTTGGCTAGATGTGGTTGGTGGGCACAGGATTCTTCTCCAACTAACACCCCCAGGCCAGTCAGTGACCCACTGTGGATCTGAGTCTTGACTAGGGACTGGAGGATAAATTAGATTCAGGGCTTATCCACACTTATCTTTCATCTACTCTTTCTAGGCTCTGTGTCTGAGTGCCCTTCTTTTTGCCCTGGAGTGTTTCCAGTGAAAATCTGCTCTTTAAATATGAATTGGAGCAAATGGCAATCTGCAGAAAACCTGGCTCCTCTGAATGAGCACTAAAGAGTGAGGGATGGGGGGGAAACTCCAGGGCAAAAAACCCCCAATGTTTGGACATGGAGCTTTTAAGCACAGACCTGTACCTGGAAAGCGGAGGACAAAAGAAAAGTGTGCATATGTTGTAAACAAAATCTGGTCTTGATCCCTTATGGGATACACAAGAGCCCTTATAGAGTCCTTTGTAGGTTCTCCATCGGTAGGAGAAAAGAACAGAGGCCAACCAGAGAATATTGAGAAGCAAAGCATCTAGTAAGCCTGATCTTCATTAACGCTGTTGCAACAGGGTGCTCCCTTCACACACAGGAGAGTGGAAGTGGACCCAGAACAAAGGTGTGCCTCCCCTTATATAGACATTTTGAAATTCCCTGTCCTGGAGCTCTAGACCACAACCAGAAACATCATTCATACATCACAGAAGGGGTGTAGACCAAGACCACCCTCCAGATACATCATACCTACTTCATAGAAAAGGCGGTCTACAACAGAATTCTGAGTGCTTTGTTTATCTCCTGTCTGCCAGGTTATCTGATAATGCCTTATCTGATTGCCTTTCCTGGTAGTCTGGCCATTCTTTTGAGATGGTAATCACTTAATTCCCGAGACAATAGGAAGGTTCCCTCACCCTCACCGTCCTTGCAGAGAAACATTTGGTCAGTTTGGGAGTCAAAATGGTTTCAGGGCTGTATTTCTGTGCTGCTGCAGACATGTGGTTTATATATTTATGCATGTCTTTGCTTGATACATTTATGAACATTTATTATATATCTAAGACCTTAAAATTCTTATAACACATACCGTAATAAGCCCTTTGTTCTCATTTGAAGGGAAATTGTCAAATTCTTACTTTCCTAAACAATATGGGAATGAAAGCATGGGACCTTCCTTAGAAATCTGTACATGTCCAAATTTTGAGGTGCGGTTTTCTAACCAAACTGTGTTTACAAAAATGCATATACATTGGTACCTTGGTTGTTGAACTTAATCCATTCTGGGAGTCCATTTGGCTCCCGGAACTGTTCAAAAACCAAGGTGTGGCTTCCGATTGGCTGCAGGAGCTTCCTGCACTCAATCAAAAGCCACGTAAGCTGCGTCAGATGTTCAGCTTCTGATAAATGTTCACAAACCAGAACCACTGTATTAGGAGAGAGCATGCATAAAAATGGAATATATGGTGAAAATATCATACAACATGCTAGAAGTTGCTTGCAAGAAATGTGTACCTAAAACTGCATACAAAAATGCATGTGTTGGGGAAATCTGTATTAAAATGCTAAATAATTTTTGTAAGGACTTTTTTTTAATTGCAAATTGCTGCAGATATTCAGAGAATTGAGTTTAAGGTTATAAAAATGAGAAACAGAGAGATCAGAAATATAGTGGTACCTCGGGTTAAGTACTTAATTCGTTCCGGAGGTCCATTCTTAACCTGAAACTGTTCTTAACCTGAAGCACCACTTTAGCTAATGGGGCCTCCTGCTGCCGCTGCACTGCCACTGCACAATTTCTGTTCTTCATCCTGAAGCAAAGTTCTTAACCCGAGGTACTAATTCTGGGTTAACAGAGTCTGTAACCTGAAGCATATGTAACCTGAAGCGTATGTAACCCGAGGTACCACTGTAGAAAGGTCTTTCCATCCCTCGTCTTGACAGGCAAGTTCTTTCAATGCATTTAATTTCGTAAGTCCAGCTGGTTTAAGCATGGTCAGGGCTAGCGCCTTGACTGTTTTCAGAAGCTAACACCTCTTGTCGTTACAACAGGCCATGAGCAACCCTTCAGCATTATTCTCAGCTGCCTCGAAGACTTCATGCACCAGCCACAAGATACTGACAACAGAATGCCGCTCACTGATTATTATGGAAATTCCATCCTGGACCAGCTCCCCAGGGATAGGCAATGCCAGTTCATCCTGAAACTCAGACACCAAGCTCCAGAGCAGCTGCAAAGAGGTAAGAATATAGTCCCGAATTGCTGGCAAATATAGTCCCGAATTGCTAGCTTGTGGCCTACTGTTTTAATTGTGGGTAGAAATTTAATACCAACATGAATTTTCTCACTAATTAGGAATCCAGTAAATTCAGATGCAACTGTTTGAACTCTGGGCTAATTTTTGTTTCTGAATTTTTACTTTGAGAGTAAAATTTGGCGCCCCACCCCAATATTATTTTATTAAGGCAATAAAATTGTCAAATGTTATTAAACACCTTATTGGTTTATCAAATCACCAAATATTGTTAATGGAGATAGTTGAGGAGCAGGAAAAGGATAAAGGGGGAAGGCAGAGGTTCGCAATTTGTCCTCCTTCCCTAGTGGAGGCTAATAACTGCTTCAGGAACTAGAAGATTCAATCAGCAAAATGAGTTGCTGCTGTTTTTGGGGTGGGAGGACTGAACACCCCTCCCGCAAGCGAATATCTTTCTAGTCCCTCATTTCTATATAATGCATTCCAGTAGTTCACAAAACAGTTCCATCTCTCTGCATAAAGATCTTAGAGACCTCCCTGCCTCATTTCTAATAGCTGCCCATCATTCTGCTTTATTAGAAAGCAATACCGCTCAGATATTATGGGCATAAGGCCTAGTGCTTTGATGGATATATTACGATCTACATTTGTTGGGGTTAGCAGTGTATGTTGAGGGCAGAAGAGACAGAAGGAAGACAAGGAGAAAAGGCTTGCTCAGCCAGGATGGACAGCAGGGGAAGGAGAGGACATTTGGAAGTTCATGGAAGATCAGCAGTCCCACTTCTTAATTGCTCCGAATTGCCTGCCTGGTACCCAGTTTGTACCTCATGAACCTTGCCTTGGAAAGGGAACACCCTGAAACCTGAGGTACATTTGTTATTTCAGAAAAGGTACAGAAGCACACCAAGAGGAAGAAATCTTTGATCGATTGGGCACTCCGCCGAAGCACCAGCACCCCAACTAGCAGCCCAGTATCACAGTCTCCGACCACCTCGAGGAAGCTTTTTGGCCTGTCCCTGGAATCATTGTGTCCTGATGGAAACCTCCCCAAGCCAATTATGGTAAGATGGGGACCCAGGGATGTTGTTTGGGTGCCTCTGCAGAATAGCTTCTTTACTCTTTTGTTCACTGTGTCAGTGCATATTTAGATGCATGGGAAGAAGGCTGTGAAGGTGGCTTGGGCCCTATCTGCACTATACATTTAAAGCAGTATCATACCACTTCAAACAGTCATGGCTTTACCCCAAAGCATCCTCGTACCTGTAGTTTGTTAAGGGCGCTTAGAGGTGGTGGTGGTTGGCGCTTAGAGTTTGTTGTTGTTGTTGTTGTTGTTTGCATTTATGCCCCACCTTTTTCTGCAAAGAGCTCAAGGTGGCATACATGGCTCTCCCCATCCTCATTTAATCCCCACATCAACTGTGAGGATGGTTAGGCTGACAGAGGCAGCAACTGGCTCAAGGTCACACTGTGAGTGGGTTTCATAGCCATGTGGGGATTTGAAGCAGATCCTGGTCTAATACTACACAACAGCGGTTATTAAGAGACCCCTGTTCCCCTCACATAGTGACAATTCCCAGAGTGGTTTATTATGGTTGTTAGTATTGTTATTATTATTATTATTAATAATAATAATAATAATAATAGTAATAACAACAACAACAATAATTTCATTTCTATACTGCTTTATATTTCTAAGAAAAAAATCTCAAAGCAGTTTACAACACATTAAAACATCAAATAAAATAACCCAGGATAAACATTACTGAAGAAAATCAAATACAAAGGGAGCTGGACTAGAGGACCCTTAGGACCTCTTTCATATCTATGACTCTATAACTGTTTATAATACAGTGGTACCTCAGTTTTCGAACATCTCTGTTGACAAACAGTTCGGTTTTCAAATGCTTCGGTAAATGCTTCTGTTTCCAAACACGCCTCGGAAGTCAAACTTGCCATGCAGCTTCCGCTGAGTGCAAGATCCTGAGGCCTAGTTGTCGGCTAATGAGTTTTCGGTTTTTGAACATTTCAGAATTCGAACGGTCTTCCGCAACTGATTACGTTCAAAAATCGAGATACCACTGTACAGTGGAACGTCGATTTTTTGAGCATCTCGGAAGCTGAACGTTTTGGTTTTTGAACACCGAAAACCAGGAAGTAATTGCTTCTGTTTTCGAACACACCTTGGAAGTCGAACGGCTTCTGCTGAAATTGCAGACTGCCTTTTGCACTTCGGTTTTTGAACGTTTCAGAGGTTGAATGGTCTTCCGGAATGGATTACATTCGAAAACCGAGGTTCCACTGTACTGAATTTTAAATTGCAACCTGCCCTGGGACCTGCTGGTGAAGGATGGGTAATTAACAGCAACAACACGAATATTCTCTCTGTCATGAATGAGAGCTTAACCTGATTGTCTAAAATGCAAATTATAATAATTGCCCTTAGTGATCATATAACTGACATTGTTCACTTCCACACAACCCCAGGATATCCTGCAACTCCTGTACCATGAGGGCCCCACCACAAGGGGCATCTTCAGGCGCTCGGCTAATGCCAAGACTTGCAAGGAACTGAAAGAAAAACTCAACTCTGGAGATGATGTCCAGGTGGATGGTGAATCTGTCTTTGTGGCAGCTGGAGTTATTACAGTAAGTTGGACCATATTGGTAGTACTTTAAAGACCTTAAGTTTTGCTGTGCTGACTAACAAGGAACTGCTGCAGTGGCTTAAGGTGTATTGTTGTGGTATCATAGAATCAATAGTTCGAAGGGACCCCAATGGCCATCAAGTCCAACCCCTTGCAATTCAGGAATTTCAACTAAAGGGAGGGCCTTTAATTCAGAATTGATGGCAAGTGGTGTCATATAACCCTCTCAGCCTATGGGCAACAGCAGTTTTGAGTCATCCCATACTAACATTCAGGCATGTCAACTAATTAAGATAACAGTAGAGAAGTGTGAAGGGTTAAAGACTGGCAATCTGTGCAGAAAGATTAGAGGCATTCAACATGCCATTCTTCATGGCAATTAGTAAAAAATTTGACCCTCCTTGCTCCCATGATAGTGCAAACTGTGCTTCATGAAGATACAGATGATGTTAATTTTGCCCAATAGGTTTTCTTGCAAACAGTGAGGTTTCTAGTATTGTGGTGTTCTGGCCTTCTTACAGGTGGATTCTGAGAAGCCCTGGAAAATGAAACCAAGTGTGGTAGAGCAGCCTTGGGCAATAAGCTTCTATCTGCACAGCACTGCACACAATGCCATCAGACTGAAGTGCACAGGGTCCATTTTGTGCTCATGCCAAAAGGGGATTCCAGACACTGCCAGTCAGCTGGTTGGCAGCACCTGCGGGGATTGAATGAGCAAATACTTGTCAGGGCTTTGAAGCCCATTGCAAAACATTCCAGCAGGTCACCTGGTGTCATTGTGATGCTAGGTGGTTGACTGGTGGGTGTCCACATCTGCCTATCACAGGGTTTCCCAAACTTGAGTCTCCAGCTGTTTTGGACTACAATTCCCATCGTCCCAGACCACTGGTCCTCCTAGCTGTGGCATGGCCAAACTTGGCCCTCCAGCTGTTTTGGGACTACAACTCCCGTCATCCCTAGCTAACAGGACCAGTGGTCAGGGATGATGGGAATTGTAGTCTCAAAACATCTGGAGGGCCAAGTTTGGCCATGCCTGTCCTAGCTAATAATGATGGGAGTTGTGGTTAAAAAAACATCTGGAGACCCAAGTTTGGGAAGCCCTAGCCTATCAGATTTGGGCCATACGGTGAGGGATAAATAGACTTTTCCCACCCCTACCTTAAACTGTGTGGTTTTTGACACACACTCACAAAATCAGGGCTTTTGTGCTTCATTGTAGAATAAATCTCAAAATTGACTCAGTTGCTCTCTGCATGACTAACCAAATCACTCTGCATGTCTGTATTTAATATAGGATTTCCTACGCAATATACCTGACAGTGTTCTATCCTCAGACATGCACGGGCTGTGGATGGAAGCCATGGATAAGGAAAGCCGAGCACATAAGATTGAAGCACTCAAAAGGTTTGCTACTGGGGCAGTCTGTCTGCTTTGATAACCCTGGGTAGTGAATATCTACTACTACTCAGTCTCCCATTCCAACTGTCATGTGGGATCCTTTAGAAAAAATAGTGCCATACGCTACATTCTAGTAAGATGCTCTTATTTTAAGGAGAATTTCAAGCATGCCCCCTCCTCAAAATGGCAAGGGGATGGAAAATTACTTGATCCATGTAGTGGGTGGGGGGGGGGGAAACATATGTGGACCCTGGCTAATTTCTCTTAGCCTGACTTTAAGGGAAGGGCTCAGCAAGAGACCACAAGGTTTGCCAGCAGAAGATCCAAGATTCAATCCGTGGTTTCTCCACTTAAGAGGATCGGGGAGGGAGAGAAGGAGACGATGGGAAAAACCTCTGTCTGAATCCCTGGAGGGCCACTGCCAGCCAGTGTAGGCAATACTGAGCCACATGGCGCCTTCCTGTGTTCCTAAACTCACAGAGCGGTTGTGAGGATAGAATTGCAAGGGAAGAGCCTTGTCTACCGCTCTTGAGTGCAGTCGAGGAAAGGCAGATTTGGAAATGTGATCTATCAACAAGCAAGCTTCCAATATTTCCTGGAACACAGGTTGGAAGCCACTCTTCCGATTTATGCCAGCTGCTCTTCATTCAGCAGTTGATGGCTTTCCATGGGCTTTATACATGAGCATTATAACAGGCTCATAATTTGGGGTAGAATTAGAAATGCAGAAGCATTCAAGGCTCAAGTCCTGCTATGGATTCAGCTGAGGTAAGGTATCATTTGCAGGAACCCTGCTTCTCAGTTGTGCTGCCAGCTGCCCAGGACTGGATACTTATACTTTCTCGGGGGAAATGATAAAACTTTAGTCCGACATGCAGTTGCCAAAATCAAACCCAAGCAGCATGTCCAAAGGATTAAAAAAATAATAATCCTTGTTAAGAATTCTAATGTTGCATTCAAAATTAAAGTAGCAGAATTTCCTGCAAATGTTGAATGCTTGCTTTTCCTTTCTCAGTTGATGTGAAAACTTGAGGCACAAGTACATTTAGGGTATGCTTTGGCTGTGCAGAGTAGTAGTTACTGTGCCACGAAAATCCCATCAGATGTGGACCCTCCTCCAGGGAGCCGATTCGCCCTTTTTGCCTGTGGTCTGAGCTGATGTTCTTCATTCTTGTTTCTCTTCTCTTTTTTTGCAGCTTAGTGAATCAGCTCCCAGAAGCAAACCTCATTTTGCTCAGACACCTATTTGGAGTTTTACATCACATTGCGCAAAATTCGACAGAGAATCAAATGAACGCCTACAACTTGGCCCTCTGCATCGCCCCCAACATGCTGTGGCTTCCCAGCCCAACAGGTCCTGAGGAGGAAAGCAAATCCACAAAGAAGGTAACAGCCTTCTCTGCTTCTGGGTTTTTACCCACATCCCTTTCGTTGGCTTTTCCCTTTGGCTCAGACACTCTGAACTCTGATTAGACTTCCCAAATCCTTGTTAAGTTTGTAGTCCCCTTTCTCAGAGCTGGAACACAGAGCTAGCAGTTGCATGATGCTAACCCTGGCCCAAATTGCTTTGGTCATCATGTCCAGAGGATATTTGTGATATGGTATGACAGTACTGACCACAGTAGCTCATGCACTGGTTACTTCAAAACTGGATTACTGCAATGCACTCTATGTGGGACTTCCCTTTGCAGAATGCTGTAGCACAATTGCTGACAGGAGTGATATCTTGTCAGCACATAACATCTCTGCTCAGAGATGCACACTGATTGTCGATTTGCTGCAGGGCCAGGTTCAAGGTGTTACTGTATATAAAGGTGCTTAGGATCAGTTTACCTGTGAGATCACCCCATACATGCCCACTTTGACCACTTCAATCTGCGGAACCGGCTCTGTTACAGGTGCTACACAATACTTGTTCCACATTTGTAAGAACTCAATCTTTTAATGTGGTAGCACCTGCACTTCAGAACTCCCTGCCTATTGACATCAGTCAGGCGCCTTCACTGCACTCTTTTTGGTGCCTGCTAAAAACATTTTCATTTAGGCAAGCCTACCCAGATATTTGGGATGCGGGTGGCGCTGTGGTCTAAACCACAGAGCCTAGGGCTTGCCAATCGGAAGGTAAGGTTCCAGCAGGAAGGTAAATGGCGTTTCTGTGTGCTGTTCTGGTTCGCCAGAAGCGGCTTAGTCATGCTGGCCACATGACCCGGAAGCTGTCTGCGGACAAACGCCGGCTCCCTTGGCCTATAGAGCAAGATGAGCATGCAACCCCAGAGTCGCCTGTGACTGGACCTAATGGTCAGGGGTACCTTTACCTTCACCCAAATATTTAGAATGCTGATGTGTTTTTAGTTGATTGCTGGTCTGGATTTTCTGAATCTTTTAATTGTTTTACTAATAATCTTACCGTTTATTCTTTCAGTAAACCGCTTTGAGGTTTTTGACGATCAAGCAGTATATAAATTTTATGAAATAAATAAAACTAAGTGGGTTTGGGTGAGTGTCAAAGGGCAGAGCTGGATATAGCACAGATCTTGTCCTGCTGCATGCCCTAAGCAAGCCTCATGCCCTCGGGCACAATGTCCCGGTCCCAGTGTTGATGTATAAGATTCACTGCTGGTCTCATTCGTATATCTTATTCATATAATTTATACAGCACTTGATTATTTAAAAAAACGAAAACCTCAGAACGGGTTACAAAGAAAAGATAAATCAATAAAATTATCAATAAGAAAAAGTGGCATCAACAATTTAAAACTTTCAGGAAGTTAAAATTACAATAGACCAAAAGCAAATTAATACTCACACCCGCTTTCTAAATGTCTAAGCTTGTCTAAACAAGAAAGATTTTAGCAGGTGCTGAAAACAGAACAATGAAGGCACCTGCCTGATGCCAATAGGCAGGGAGTTCCAAATGCGGGTGCTGCCACACTAAAAGATTTGAGTTCTTACCAATGCAGAGTGGGTATTACGTGGCACCTGTAACAGTGCCAGTTCCACCAAGCAAAGCAGTCTTGTCCTTTGTCTCCTGGCTCATCCACACTTCCACTTGTCCTGCCACTTTCCCCCAGGAAAACCTGCTCCTTACCGCTGAATCAGAACAAACGTCAAAAAGCATTTCTGCAGATTGATGATTGTTCTGACTTGGCAGTAAGCAGTGGGTTTTCCAAGGGGAAGTGGCAGGACAAACGAAAAACCACTGGGGGCTGTGTTTTCTAGGCACAGGACAAGCGAAAATGTGGACAAGCCCTTAGACACCAAAATGTCTCGGGCCAGCCCTGCTGCTCCTCTGTTCACATCTAATGCAAATTTCCCCTGCACAGAGACAAAATGGGTTTGTTTGCTGATTGTGTGCTTCAGCTCTTAATCGCACAGTAGAATAGAGACTGGAATAATTATACATAATAACTAACAGACAAGTACCATGTTGTTGGAATTAGCCACATGAACAGCATCTAGAGCTGGTATCCTCCACTTAATAGAATCATAGAGTAATAGATATTACCTTGGCAACTGCTCCCTTTCATACAGGTGGCCAGGCTGGTGCAGTTCCTGATTGAAAATTCAGCTGAAATTTTTGGAGGGGACATTGCTACACTGTTCCAACAGTCAGAGAAAGAGAAGTCCAAGAGTGCGGGTGCCTTCCTAGGTAAGACCATGGCTGACATACATATCTGTTCATTTAATATCCCCGCCTTCTCAGGATGCTAATGATGGATTACATCCCAGAATGGAATAGAGACCAGAAAGGGGCCGGGGATTTCAAAGTAGAAAGAATCACCTGACTGGCTATGCCCACAGGATTCCTCCAGTCACTCCAGCAACCTGTTCTCCCAGTGGCCAGCCAGGTGCCTGTGGGAAACCAGCAAGCAGGACCTGAGGCACTGTAGAGGCAGAATATAGCTATTGTGGCTAGTAGCCATTGATGGCTCTCTCCTCCACGACTTTGTCAAATCCTTTTTAAAAGCCATCTAGATTGGTGGAGAAAAGAGAGAGAAGGAGAAGGGCACCAAGCTGTGGCAGAGCTGATTTCCCCATTAATCCCCACCGCCCCAAAAAACCTAACTTGTCCCATGGATTTCAGTGGACCTAAGGAAGGGGGATTCATGGAGGACAAGGTTATCGATGGCAACCTGCCATGATGGCTATGCTCTGCTGCCACAGCCGGAGGCAGTAAATGCTTCTGAATACCAGTTGCTGGAAACCACAAGGTGTGGGGAGAGGGCTCTTCTGCTTGTGGGTTTCCCATCTGCTGGCCGCTGTAAGAACAGGATGCTGGACTGGATGGGTCATTTGGCCTGATCCAACAGGGCTGTTTTTTGTGTTATTAGGTGCTCCCAGATGGGCTCTTAATACTGTGAACAGCTGAGATATTATAAATGGGTTGTTGGCAACAGGTTTTCTTTACTGAATTTTCCTCAAATCCAAATTAAAATGGGGTTAAAATCCAAATTAAATGGGGTTAAAATAGGGCTGGCATTTTGACACTTGTGTGTTGGCGCTGGAAATAAAAACCACACACACACACACACTTTGCATTCCTGAGGAGCACAGCAGATGCACATTTATCTTGATGTGGCTTCCTCTTATCCCCACAGGCCAGCTCAATGATTCCTCAGATGAGATGGAAAGTGCTCCCTCCTACCAAGGAAGGGCAAATCAGCATTATGTGCAGGAAGCAGGCGGTGAAGGCCTCTTCAGCCCATTTGATGGACTGATGCTCAATGATGATCAAGAGGACTGGGATTTGTTTAGCGAGATCACTGCCTGCTATCAGAGCAAAGCTGGGCACGCCAGTTCCAACAGCTGCAACTTCCTGAGAGAGCAGGGATCCTTTTGCTCACACTGCCCAGTCTGCTCACTGGGGCCTTCAAGGAATCGGTGCTCTTCGGAGCCCAGCGTTTGCCTGAGCTCTCAGCTTTCTGTTGAGGACCACGAGCCAGTGGCCCGGCAATCCAGTTGTGATGCCACCATCATGCACAGCCACAGTGATTACGTCCGCAGGCTCCAGCAACTGCAGATGGAGAGCCAGAAGCTCATAGATGAAGGGCTGAACCCTGGTCCGAGCAAAGGAAAGCAGAGTTTCTGGGGGGCCTACCCAAGCACCAGCATGCCCAAGAAGCTTGACCCTCTGAAGTCGTGCCTGTCTAACACGTCTAGCTTCTCCAGCCTTTCATCAACCACCACATCTGCCTCCTCGCTGAGCTCCTTGGAGAGCGCTTTCTCGTACTGCTCAGAGTCATCTACCTTCAGCCCCACTGAAGCCTCCACCCCTTCGTTCATATTTGAGACGTCTACCGAGCACCACGGCTTGTCCCCTAAGATGGCAGAGAGATCCTTGAAGGAGTGGCACAAGCCCTTGACCTCCCCATTGCCTCTGGGCCCTTGCAATGTGGGCGCTTGCTGCGGGAGACAGGTGGATGACCAAGAGCCAAGCTGCAGCAGCAGAGTGTCATCGAGGGTCTTCATACCCATAGGTAGCCCGTTTCATGAGGACAACTGGGACGAAGAGAGGAAAGAGGCAGGAGCTGCTGAGATGTTTGGACGCACTCCTGTGAAGCCAGACTTCAGAGGTCATTTCCCTAACACCAAGAGCCATTCTCTGCCAGCACCGCAAGTGCAAAGGGAGAAATCTGTGAAGCACATTGAGATCAGTCATCCCAAAGCTTCGCATCGCGGCCAAGAAAGCCTGAAGCGCACCAAGATAACCGTATTCATGGCACCTAAAACGAGCTATCCAACAGCATCTCCTGTAGGGCAAAACAAGGAGGAGACAGCCAAGAATCTGCAGAGCATGAAAATTCATATTCCGCAGACAGTGTTCTACGGGCAAAACACTCCTTTGGTCCTCCAATCTGCCTCAAGGAGATACCACCATGAATCAGTGAGCCAGTCACCCCAGGTGGAGATCTCTGAAAGTGTTCCCCTCGTGGAAGTCCCAGAGGACCCAGCTGAGCAGGAAGGGTGGCACACCAGGGTCCAGCGGAGCACATTCGGCCAAAACCTCCGCGTCTTTCTCCCGACCTCCATCCGCAACACCGTCCGGGAGTACTTCAACCAGGAAAGCTCTAAGGAATACTGCATGATGAGAGCAGAATCGGTGGAGAGTGAGCTTCTGCGCAACAGGGCAGAGTGGCTTAGAAGCCAGCCCCGCCCCAACGCCCCGCCCAAGAAGCACAGCGGTCGAATGTTTCCAGAAGAAACCATTGTCTAGGAGCAGAGCACCTGCACCTTGCGCATTTTTGTGCTTTCTTTCCGCATAGGGAGGATAGTCCTGTGAAAGTGCCTCTAAAATGCTTAGCTGAGATGTGAAGATATTCGTTTTCATGGGCTGGTGTCAAGTGGCTGTTAGTGTGGTCATTTGTAGCTTTTCCCTTGGCCTCTGTGTGTTTGTGTTTTCCCTGCCCAGAAGAAAAGACTGGAACAGATGTCTGCTAACATGAAGCCGTACTCCACACATACAAAGCTTCATCCTGCTGCTTTCTGCTGAAGATGCCAGTTTGCACAGAGAGGTGAGCAGGCAGGAGCAGAGCCACTCAAAAGGATTTTTGTTGTTGTTGTTTCAGCTCCATGCAAATGTCATGGCAAGCCTACAAGGACGCTGAGGAGACCCTTTCAATCACATTGGGAAAAAATTACAACAAAAAGAAATCCGGGCTGTTTTTTGTTTTGCTTTTCATCACTTTGTTAGGTGAAACTCGAAAGAAAAACATTTCATTTCATCCTCCCCCCATTTCTGAATTCTCATTGTTTGTGTGTTTAACTTGGGCATGACGCCCAAGGACGTGTGGAAATAGCTATGTGGTGTGGCCAAGTATGGGACAAAGCAAGAAAGCTACTGGTCTGCTAAGTTTGGTTTGGTCTGCTGGCTGCTTTCTTCTTAGGGAAGACCTACTGAAGCTCTCAAGGTATCCCAGGCTTGGCAGGCTTCGTGTGGCTTGTTGATCATACTTATGTCATCCCCATTTCATCTTGCCTTGACTCATGTGCTTCATGTGAACATTATTTCTTTCTTGCAATGTTCTTTTGAAAGAATGGACAAATGACTCAGAATGGCCCTCCTTTCGTCCACAGGGTTTTCACTTACCGTATTTTTCTGTCTGTAAGACACCCCCATGTATAAGATGCTCCCTATTTTGGAGGACTTAGATTTAAGAAAATCGGGGGGAGATGTATCTGTCTATAAGACGCCCCCTGATTTTTGACATTATTTTTAAGGGGGAAAACCTAGTCTTATACACAGAAAAATACGGTAACCTCCAAATCTCCCCTTGTCAGCACCGCCAACTTGAAAATTTCTTCTGCGGATTTCTTTATAAGGGAGGCTGGGGTCATTTACAACTTTCTACAACTCTGGCTACTTCATGAGGTCCTGTCTCAAGGTCCCTCCCTCCCCAGCTGTGTTTTGATGCATCAAAGTTACTGGTCGTTGTTATGATTATTTATTTGAACTTACTAGTCATTTTGCACAAAGGTCTTAAAATGTCTTACAACTAACAGCAACAAAAATAATATGCAGTATTAATAGTTTAAAACAGATACACAACACAAGGTAATCAGACCATGAAAACAATTCCTCTCCCTCTCCCTCCAACATAGGTATGACCACAAGAAAAAAGCCCCCAAAGAAGGGGGTGCCTCCCAGATAACTGGAGGGAAATGAACATCTTTGCCTGGAGGCAAAAAATATCAATGTCAGTCAGCGGTGGAGCAAGCCGATCAGGCTCCTGGGGCGACATGTGTGCGCTGCGCCCGGGGGTGGAGCCAGTCATCCACGGGGCGGAGCCAGTTGGCCACAGGGACACCATGGGCCCTCCAAGGAGTCTGCCTCCTCCCACTCAGCCACCCTACAGCTGAGGAGGAAGTAGCAGGCAGACTGTTTGGGGCAGCATGGAGGCTGCAGGTGCTCAAGCCACGGCATCACTCCCAGGAGAGACGCGTGGCTTGGGCGCTCTGCAGGCCCTGCAGTGAGTGCCGCCCACCATTTTGTCACCCCCCTCAGTGGGGACACCCGGGGTGGACCGCACCCCCTTTGCTACACCCCTGATGTCAGTGCCAGGTGTGTCTCCCTAGGGAGAGATTTCCATTGATAGGCCTACTGAAAAGGCCTGTTTTCTGGACAGCTGCTCTCTGGACAGCTGCTGATGGGGTACACAGAGGAGGGGCTCTTATGCTGACCTCAGGATCTTGGCAGGCATGTGTGGGAGGAAGGTGTTTTTTTAAAGTATTGGGGTCCTTCTGAGCCATAGAAGGCTATATAGATCAAAACTGATTTGGTGGTATTTACACATAGCCCAGAACCCATAGTCCAGCAAAGAAGGAAATTTGTATGTAGAGTAAAATGGGCAGAAGCAGCAGAGGTAGGGCAATCTGAAATGAAATTTTAACAGGTGGCAAATAGGTCTGGCAATACCTTAGGGCGTTTTTTAAAAACTAGGCATACTGTGCTGTGGGTAGCGCTGACCCTGGTGCAAAGAACAGCCTGCACTGATTTCAGGAGGGAAAAACAAAAGAATAGTCTGAGCCCAAGCATTGCCAAGGGAAGTGCATGGATGGCTACCCCCAAGTGAAATCATGTGATCCTGTGTGCACTGGAAAATGCTGTAGGCTTAAGGATGCTGGCTGCCAGTGCTGGCTCATCCACAGGGACAGCAGATCTGGCCTCCAAGGAATACATCACCTGCTAGCTGAACCACATCTTTCGGTGAAAGAAGAGATCCATCCTTGCTAAGGGGACAGAAGGAGTTGTGTGATAGAGAGGTTTTGAAGCAAGGTTTCGTTCAAACATTATAGAAGGTTTCCTGAATGGGACATATAGAAAAGAAAGCTGGGCCACTATTTTAAACAAAGTGTTTATTCGCTTTAACTGCCGGTTTAAGAAGCTTTAATTGTGTCTGTGGTCTGCTCTTGAGCATTTTTCAGTGAAGCTAAAAGTAAGTAGAAGATCTCTCTTCCCTTAGTCAGTGGAAATCACTGTCCTTATGTTTAAACTGGAAGAAATAGATTTTTCCTGCTGATACACGATCATTAAAAAAAAATAATGTTGCTGTTGTTCGTGTCGTGTCCCGTTGTGCTTGTTTGTTCTGTGAGTACAAGTTTAAGCTCTTTGTTGTCAATTTCTCTTGCACATAAAAGCTGATAAAGAGATTGTTTCCTTCTAGATTTCTAAGCTATGGTTGTAAAATATTTAATAAAAGAAGCACAGCTTTATTTGTCAAAACTGCCTACTCGTTTTTGTCCACTGCTTAGTAAAAGGTTGCTGGCTTTTAACACACATTTTATTTGTTAGAGACCGCAGAGGAATTGTTGCGGTAGAAAGAATCCTACTCACTTCATGGTTTTGCAGTTAGGAGGACTGGAGGTCTAAAGAGGTGCAGGGCTAGCAACGACCTATGCTACCCCCTTGCCTTTTAGTGTCCCCCATAGCAAATCCCACCGTCCTGCACGGGGTGGCACCCCCCACTTTGGAACCACTGGTCTACAGGGATGGCATTCCAAAGCTATGGGGAAAAGGCCACTCGCCGCACTGTCCTAGGGGGTGGGCACACCAAGAGGACCTTCGATGCAGATCTCAAGTGTGTGGGCAGGGTGGTCTGGGGGCAGGCAACCCAACAATCCAGACCGTATTAAAACTTGCTGATTTCATGGACAGATCAGATCACGCTTAACTCTTTCCCATTGAAATCAAGACTTTAGAGTGGCTCTCTTTGGCTGGAACATTGCCTGACTCCCTTTTATAGTTCACCAATCACCACTGCAATACCCCCCATGCAAAACCTCTTTTGTATGCTTGATTGCTAACATTCACCTACAAACCTGGCCCTTTGGGGTCCCTTCCACCTCTACAATTATATGATTCCACATATAGCTGTTCCTAGGGTGTTTTGCACTGTTCAAACAAGTGCATCCCCCCCCCCCCCACACACCTTTGGTTTCCTGATTACATGTGGAATATCATATATATTTTTCCTGGGTTGTTCTTAATATTTAACGGGCTCTTGGACCATTAAAATGTTTCAGAAGCAATTCACAGTATCGAAGAGGGCAGTGAAGATTCTTCACAGTGGGAAAGAATCTCCTTATCTAAATGTTCCAAATCCCTGTTTTCAAGATAGGAGTAAACAGAATGAAAAGTTAAGTTTTCTTTGGAAGGAAATTTTTAAATATGTATTCCAAGAATCTAGAAAGATATCAAACTGGCTCAAAAGTCATCCTGACTTCAGCCCAAACAAGGAGTTTTGGCAGGGTCTGAATGTCCCCTGCCCCTCCCAGCTGCACATGAACCATCAAACTGTTGTCATATTATTAAAGAACAACAAATAATTTAGGGAGCCGTATTCTCACATGTTTACTAAGTGGTGGAGGGATCATGTCCAGGAGGTGGAAACTAGATTTGCTCCAGATGCTTAATACACCACTCATATTCAGGGTTTTCATTTTTTTTTTTTAAAGCAATTTATTGGGTTTTACAGTAAAAATAAACATATTAAACAATATGACCTTTGTCTTAACATAATTTCACATTTTCTTTGGACTTCCTCACATCTCCCGCTCCCACTTTCATCGTTATAACATTTTGTCAGCAATTTATCATCTTATTTAAATTCTTATATCGCTTCTATATTTCATAATCTTATAACTTTCAAAGGGAGTTAAATTTTCACAGTCTTACTTATTTTCATAGAAAACTTCTAAATTTAGTGGTGCTCAGTTATTTTGGTCTAGCATCTTATTTAGCATTCACTCAAATTGCAATATTTTTGTAAATAGTTCTTGAATTTCTTCCAGTCCTCCTCAATCCTTTCTTCTCCCAGGTCACGGATTCTGCCGGTCATTTCAGCCAGTTCCATGTAGTCTATCAGTTGCATCTGCCATTCTTCCAGTGTGGGTAGATCTTGAGTTTTCCAATGTTTTGCAAGAAGTATCCTTGCTGCTGTTGTTGCATACATAAAAATGTCTGATCCTTCCTTGCCACCCCTTGGCCGACAATACCCAAAAGGAAAGCCTCTGGTTTCTTAGTGAAGGTATATTTAAATACCTTTTTCAATTCGTTATAAATCATCTCCCAGAACGCCTTCACTTTAGGGCAAGTCCACCAGAGGTGGAAGAACGTTCCCTCAGACTCTTTACATTTCCAACACTTATTATCAGACAGGTGGTAAATTTTTGCAAGTTTGACTGGGGTCATATACCATCTATAAATCATTTTCATTACATTTTCTTTCAGAGCGTTACATGCAGTAAACTTCAATCCATTACTCCACAACCTTTCCCAGTCCTCAAACATAATATTATACCCGATGTCCTGTGCCCACCTTATCATAGCCGATTTAACCGTTTCATCTTGTGTATTCCATTCCAACAGCAAGTTATACATCCTTGAAAGTACCTTAATCTTTGGTTCTAACAATTCTGTTTCTAGTTTCGATTTCTCCACCTGGAACCCTAATTTCTTATCATTTTTAAAAACTTCTTTAATCTGAGCGTAATGTAACCAATCTCGCACTTTGTCTTTCATTTTCTCCAAACTCTGCAATTTCCAATTGTCTCCATCCTTTTCTAATATTTCCCAATATTTTGGCCATTTAGCCTCCATATTGGGTCTTTTTCGGGCCTTAGCTTCCAAAGGTGAAAGCCACCTTGGTGTTTTGTTTTCCAGCAAGTCTTTATATTTTGTCCAGACATTAAACAGTGATTTTCTGACAATATGGTTCTTGAAGGCCTTATTTGCTTTAACTTTGTCATACCATAAATATGCATGCCATCCAAAAACATTGTTAAACCCTTCCAGATCTAACACATCAGTGTCTTCAAGAAGTAGCCAGTCTTTTAGCCAGCAGAACGCTGCGGCTCGTAATACAACTTTAAGTCTGGCAGGGCAAAGCCCCTCTTTGTTTTGCATCAGTTAATATCTTAAACTTAATTCTGGGCTTTTGCCCTGCCAGACAAACTTAGAAATGTCTCTCTGCCACTTCTGAAAGCACTCCATTTTGTCCAAAACCTGAAGTGTCTGAAATAAAAACAACATCCTTGGCAATACATTCATCTTAATAGCAGCAATTCGGCCTAACAAAGAAAGTTTCAATTTTGACCAACTATCTAAGTCTCTTTTAATTTCTGTCCAGCATTTTTCATAATTGTCCTTAAATAGACTTAGATTTTTTGCTGTTATGTTTACCCCTCATATTCAGGATTTTCAAAGTCCTCATGGGGCTTTGCAAGAATCCTGTGCTTGTCGCATTGTTCCATTCCCGCATTGTTTAGATGCTGAGGTCAGTGGTGCCCTGTGCCCTCCCCCACCAAAAAAAAGGGTTTAAAAATCAAGATTACAAAAGTTGGGTGTCACCCCCCCCTCTCTGCTGAGCGGTAGAAAGAACCCACGGGGTTCTGGGCACTCAGCCAGGGTCTGTGGTTCTTGAGGAGACTTGAGACATGATGGAGACTGTCATGGCTTTAAAAAATATGGTTTAGTCACCTATTTACACCTTCAGGCTGCATGGAGGGAGTCTAGATCTTACTGCTTTGTCATCTCAAGAGGGTCTTGTTCCCTTGTCTTCCACAGCATTGCAGCCCTGGAGTCCAAGGCATCACTCTCAGCCAGCCTTCAGCCAACCTGCCCAACGTGGATCCCGGTCTTTTCTCTTCCTCCTTCTTCCCGAAGTGTTTTCTTCCTCAAAAACTGTCTTTTCCTGTCCCTTCAAACACACACCTTGGCAACATCTGTCTCCCCAGGCCAAAGGATTACTCTCAGGTGGCCCATCAACACCTTTTGTCATGTTTACAGATTTGTTCTTCTCTGGGCCAGCCAGGCTAGTTTGCATAAACCAGCCCAGGTATCCCATGTCTGGCACAGCTCTGCAGCTTGTACTTTTATCCATATCCCAATTAAAATCCTACTATTCAATAATTTCAAGGGTTTGGGGAGGTCCTCCCAAATCAATAGCATTATTACTTATTAAATGTATTAGTTTCTTTTTTTGCCACAGCAACTTGAGACAAGTAACAATAAACAGAAAACAAGCACATACATATGCAAATGTGCATAAACTGCATTAAAATATCCCACCCATGCCGAAAGGCCACAGTCGAAATCCAAAGCCCTGGTTAAAAAAGGAAGTGAATGAATACACAGTAAAATAGCAAATAGAATTCAATGCAAAGAAGAAAAATCTTAATTTCATATACATGTTCATGGGGACTAAACTGAAGGTGACGGAGTAAGAATTTGGGGTCATTGCAGAGAGCTTGATGAAGATGTTGATGCAGTGCATGGTGGTCGTGAAAAAGGCAAATTCCACTCGGAAAGGAATTGAAAATAAAGCTACCAATATCATAACGCCATTACACAAATCAATTTTGGGATGTTTTAGTTTAGTTTAGAGAAAAGGTGAATAAAGGTTTTTAGTTTAGAGAAAAGGTGAGTGAGAGGCGACATGACAGAATCAAAGAGTTGGAAGGGACCCCAAAGGATCATCTAGTCCAACCCCCTGCAATGGAGGAATCTCAACTAATGCATCCATGACAGATGGCCATATGTTTATAAAACAGTACATGGCTTGGAGAAAGTGGAGAGAGAGAGAGTTGTTCTTCTCCATCTCTCATAACACCGGAACTTCGGGACATCCAATAAAGCTGAATGCGGGAAGATTTAGGACAGATAAAATGTAAATGTAGTAAAATGTATAATTAAGCAAGCAAACAAATAATAAAAGGCTGGTGGTCTTCAGATTATAAAACAAAATAACTTTGAATTTGCATATAAACCGGGAAAGTTGCTGGCCTGGCAATTTAACAAAAAGAGTAGACCAAGAGTAATCAATGACCCAAAAGAAATAAGACAGGAATTTGTAAGGTTTTACACAGATTTGTATGAGAAAGAAAAATAAGATCTCAAACAAATGGAGAACTACGGTATATAGAGAAAAGGAAGCTGGGCAACATTTCAAGAGAAAGTATAGAGCAACTAAATAGGCCAGTTTCAATTATTTGAAATTGGAATTACCGTATTTTTCACTCTATAGGACGCAGTTTTCCCCCTCCAAAAATGAAGGGGAAATGTGTGTGCGTCTGATGGAGCGAATGCACCGACCCCTCTCGCTCTCCAGGCTTCAGGAAGCTATCCGCAAGCCTTCAGAGTGTTGCGGGAGTTCCTGCCAGGCTCCGAAAGCTTGCGGATAGCTGCCTGCAGCTCGAAGCCCGGGGAGTGCAGTGCCAACTCCCGCTGCGCTCCCCGGGCTTCAGGCAGCTATCTGCAAACCTTCGGAGCGCTTCTTGGCTTCTGCCAAAGCCGCATGCCGCCTCTCCCAGCTGGAGAGGTTGTGTGTGGCTAAAGAGGAAGCCAAGACAATAATTTTTTCCCCTTTATTTCCCCCCCTAAAAACTAGGTGCCCCCTATGGTCTGGTGCGCCCTATGGAGTGAAAAATACGGTACATCAGGTGATAAGTCAGGGGAAATTGGGTAAAGCCCCAATTGGGTAAAGCTCTTGGTGGACTACTACAAAAAATTCCAGAACAAGTTAGCTGTCCATAGCTGTCCAAAGTGCTAGAAACAGGACAAGCTCCAGAGACTTGGAATGAGGCTTATATCACCTTGCTACCAAAACAAGATGACGACATGACAAATCCCCAAAAAAATTCGTCCGATCTTACTACTAAACTGCGATTATAAATTATTCACAGCAGTGTCAGCAAATAGACTTAAAAGAACTATGAGTGATATAATACATATGGACCAAGCAGGCTTTTCCCCCAGCAGACAGATAAAAGTTAATGTTAAAAATATAATAAGCATAATAGAATACCTAGAAGTGCATAATGAAAAACAAGCAGCATTGATATTTCTGGACGTGGAGAAAGCATTTGACAACATGTCTTGGCTATTTATGAAAAGAGTTCTGAGGGAAATGGATTTGGGGAAAACATTTTGAAAGGCTATAGAAGCAATATGTACTGAACAACGAGCAAATATTATTGTAAATAACATTATTTCTGAGGGGTGGAGTCATGAAAGGAACTAGACAAGGTGCCCATTGTCCCCGTTATTGTTTATTTTGATTTTGGAGGTATTGACACAAAATATAAGGAATAAAAAAAAAAGGGGTATAAGAGTGGGCCAACGAAATTATATAAAGAGTGGGGGGAAAGTAAAACACCTGGAAAATATGGTTAATGGTGAATAATCATAATATCTTTAGTGATAACTATGTACGGGTTTGGAAAGAAATAAAAAAAGCTCTGCAAATATGGAGTAGAATGGAGTAGAATGCTGGGTAGTGGTTGTGTAGCATAATTAAAAATTATTGGAAAATGATTTATACTGAACTAAAAAAAGCATTTTAAAAATCCTTTCCCAAAAATCCAAAGCATTGCTCTTAGGGTTAATAACAACAGAAGTCTCCAAAAAAGAGGGAAATCTGTTTCTATGTGCAACAACGGCTGCCCGTGTACTATTAATGCAAAAATGGAAAACAGATAAAGTATTAATGATAGAAGAATGACACATTAAACTGTTAGAATATGCAGAGCTAGCAGGGATGACTACTAGAATTAGAAACCAAATGACTAAATATATAAAGAGGACTGGATATTTTTTTATGGAATATCTGGAAATGTGTTATAAGCAAACAATTTACCGAGCAGGATGGCAAGACTTCCAGCAGAGTAAGAAATAAATAAAGTATATAAAAGTTGTTGTGATAGACGAGGTGAACTTAGAAAATGCAGGGAAAAGAGAGGATAAAAGGAACCTCAGAAGGAGAGGATAGAATTGTTTTATGTTGTTGTTTGGTTGATCCTTTGATATCTAAAATATTTTTTAAAAGACTTTTTTGTATTTCAGAGATTTTTCTTTATTGTGTCATTTTTGATTATATTTTGTTGATGTGGAATCCTATTAGAAAAGCATATCAATAATATATGAATATCTCAGCAAACAAGCAAATAATAAAAAGCTGTTGGTCTTTGCAGTGAAATAATAATTTTCACGTTCAAACCCGCATTTTGATGTTTACTTATTAAGAATATTTATATCCCACCTTCCCAAAAGAAAGCTGCCCAAGGTGGCTAACCATAAACGGAAAATGCATTGAACAACAAACTAAAACATATTAACTGTACTGTGAAAATCACACAATGAAGAAACAAACAGTTATTAAAGAGGAGGACTAGTCATAGATACAAGCAGCAGAAAGGTTTCTAAAGCTCACCAGCTTTTAAAATTATATTTATATACGTTGGTTTTTAGTGAAACAATTTATTGGTCCCTCCTGCAACAGACGCAGGGTTTCTGTGATTAGTCAAAGAGCCAAGGCTGCTGTGAACTGGCTCAAAAGCGTATCATAGTACACCACAACACTGGGATGCACATCACCTTAGCTGATAAAGTTTGGCAGTTCCCCGCATTGCTCACAGTAAGAATCACCAGCATTGTTAACAAAAAGTTGCAACCATTTCACCGTCGTATGTATTACAGACCAGCAAAATGAGGTTCAGAGACATAAGGACCCCAGGACTATCATTTAAGTATCAGGGGCATGCTATGCAGTTCCCACATATGTCATGCCAAATATCAAACTTCAGTACACATGGCAGGTTTTAAATACAGAAGGCATCTCAAGAAGTCACAAGGAAAAGCAAGCAACAGCAAAATGTTCAAGAAACATGAAGCCTGAAATGATTGCATTGCAGGAAGAGCATTCAGGAGAACACCGTATCAGCTATTATTGCTTGGTTTGCTTCTCCACTTCCAGTTCTCTCCTGATGTCTGACACATCTGTGGGGACCTGGACCGTGAGGCCATCCATCCAATTCTTCACGCGCACCTGGCAGCCTAGACGAGACCTTATAAAGGACAAAAACAGACCCAGACATCTCTTGGTTTTGTTGTGTGTGCTTTCTTGGCTCCCTGGCTTCGGAACTCACTTCCTAAGGAAGCAGCTCGTCCCCACTGTGCTTCTGCCCAACAGCTGAAGGCTGCTTTATTCCAAAAGGCCTTAGGGAACTGACTTATTTTAAAGGAAAGGGCTTTTAACAACGCTGTGCTGCTTTTATTTTTTCTTTATTTATTGAATTTATATGCTGCCCTTCATCCGAGGATCATGGGGTAGTTTGCAGTATGAAAATGACCAAAAATACACTTGGCAAATGAAAGCAAGCTTTTGTGTATGTGTAGCTGTGGAAATGGGACACGGGTGGTGCTGTGGTCTAAACCACAGAGCCTAGGACTTGCCGATCAGAAGGTCGGCAGTTCGAATCCCCGCGACGGGGTGAGTGCCCGTTGCTTGGTCCCTGCTCCTGCCAACCTAGCGGTTCAAAAGCATACCAGTGCACGTAGATAAATAAGTATCACTCTGGTGGGAAGGTAAACGGCGTTTCTGTGCGCTGCTCTGGTTCGCCAGAAGCGGCTTAGTCATGCTGGCCACATGACCCGGAAGCTGTACGCCGGCTCCCTTGGCCAATAAAGCGAGGAGCGCTGCAACCCCAGAGTTGGTCACAACTGGACCTAATGGTCAGGGGTCCCTTTACTTTTACCTTTTAGCTGTGGAAATTGTCTCAATTGTTGTTGAACAACGTAACCAAATTACAGTTACAGTTATTGATAGTCCTATGCTTTTTCCTCTAGTTGGAAACAAGTACTGGTAAGAAAAAAATCTCTTCAGCTGTTCCAGTCAAACCTTTTTATTTACTCAAGCTTCAACTGATCATTAATCTCACCACTTAATCTCTAGCTCACTTGGTTAGAGCATGGAAATGATAATGCCAAAGTTGCAGGTTCAATCCCTGTGTGGGACAGCTGCATATTCCTGCAATGCAAGGGGCTGGATTAGATTAGGGTTGCCATATTTCAAAAATTGAAAATCTAGACTCAAGAATTGTTGCGCTTTTGGGGGGGGGGGCAAAGTTGTTGAGCTGCTTCTTTCTTTCTTTCTTTCTTTCTTTCTTTCTTTCTTTCTTTCTTTCTTTCTTTCTGCCAAAGAAGACATTTTGAGCTATTTTAAAGTAAATTTGCCAGAAATCTTCACTTCTGACATGGGTTGCCATACGTCTGGATTTTTCCGGACATTTCAACGATTTAAAATCCCAGACGCCGACTGCAAGGGCCAAATCTCAGCTATGTCCGGGAAATTCTAAACGTATGGCAACCCTAGATTAGATTATCCTCAGGATAAAGGTAAAGGTACCCCTGCCCGTACAGGCCAGTCGTGTCCGACTCTAGGGTTGCGTGCTCATCTCGCTCTAGAGGCCGTGAGCCGGTGCCGTCCGAGAACACTTCCGGGTCACGTGGCCAGCGTGACGAAGCTGCTCTGGCGAGCCGAACGATGGGAGCTCACCCTGCCGCGGGGATTTGAACCGCCGACCATACGATCGGCAAGTCCTAGGCACTGAGGTTTTACCCACAGTGCCACCCACGTCCTCAGGATACCTTCCAGCAATTCTGTGATTGTTGCTTGTGCCAGAACCAGGTCACCAGATGGAACAGAGCTGCCAGAATAGCATCCTGGGAGCTGGATCACTGTTGCTAAGTAGGAGGATTGAGATGGGGGAGGGAGCAGCACTGTGCAAACACACTGGCAGGAGTGCCATAATGATGCCACTGGTGCACCTACATGGCAGTAAACCTCACTACCACCTTCATAGAATCACAGAACTGTAGATTTGGAAGAAACACCAAGGTCATCCCCCTGTTTCTCTGCCTCTCCTTCCTCATTTTTCATAAGTAATTTTGCTTCCAGTGGTTCCACAAGCTATAAAGGTATTCTTACTGCCATATTCCCCGGAGAGGAACCACTTCTAAAATTTCAGCTGGCACTAAAAGGAAATCAAAGGGGATTTCCTTGTTGCTTTTTAAAAGGCTAGAACTAAGATTCTGAGGATGCAGAATTCTGCCCCCATCTTGAGTTTCGATCCTGTGCAGTTCAATTCACCATGCAAATATGCAGTGTCTAGAAACAGGGTATGGATACTTACGTCTCGGTAAGTCCGTATGCCAGGTCCAGCATATCTATCTCGTCGTCACTGATGGGGTCCAGTTGTTGAAATGTGCTGCCCTCAAAGATGAGGTGGCAAGTGGAGCAAGCCAAGGCCCCCTCACATGCCCCTTCGGGGGGAAAGGAATCAGCATCAATGCTACATACTTGTCTTAGTCATCTGCTGCAAGAACCTACAGTGTTGCACACATATATCATATACTCTTCAACATTTCTCTGATGAAAATAGGGACATTCCAATCCATAACGATAATTTTACTATTTATACCCCACACATCTTTCTGGGTTGCCCCAGCCACTCTGGGCAGCTTCCAACATATATAAAAGCATAATAAAACATTTTAAAAACTTCCCTATACAAGACTGCCTTCAGATGGCTCATGGGTTGGATAACTCCATACCCTCCAACATTTCTCCTGTGAAAATAGGGACGTCCTAAGGAAAAGCGGGACATTCCAGCATCAAATCATAAACCGGGATGCCTTCTGTAAATCAGGGAGGTCCCTGGAAAATAGGGACACTTGCCAGGTCTGATATTCTAAAGACACCACAGTCTGTGCTGACCCTGATTCCAAGGAAACAGAACCCTGAGTAAATGCTGGAACCCCTGAAATCTGTCACCAGTCAGAGATTACAATGTGCACAAACAGTGTCCCCAAACCTAAATTACTGTAGTTGAAGAGCAATTGCTGAGGGTTGCTACTACATCCCATAAGGTTTGTTGGCTAAAATCATGAATGGATAGCCCCCCTCCCTCCCTCCCTGAGGTTGCTGAAAAAGAAGCGTTTGTAGGCTGTACATCACTTGCACCTGCTTTTGCTGCCACCTGCTGGATCTGCCTTATTACAACACATCATTTTCTTCTTCCTTACACCCCGGCAGAGAAAGCAACAGATTTGTATTTCATTTATTTGTTATTGCATTTATATATCACCCTTCTGTCCAGGAGCTCAAAGTGGCATACATAGTTCTTTCCCTTCCTCACTTAATCCGCACAACAACCCTGTGTGGTAGGTCAGGCAGAGAGGAAGTGACTGGCCCAAAGTCATAGAATCAAAGAATTGTAGAGCTGGAATCATCCAGTCCAACCCTCTGCAATGCAGGAGTATGCACTTGTCCCATGCATGGATCAAACCTGCAACCTTGGCTTTATCAGTACCACGCTCTAACCAACTGAGCTATCCAAGTGAGCTTTGTAGCTGAGTGAGGACTTGAACTCTGGCTTTTTCTAGGCCCTGGTCCAACACCCTGAACCCTGTGCCACCACTGGCTCCTGCTGCCTCTAAGGAAGACCACATAACACAGACTTGCATTGGCACATATAGTGCTTGAGAGAAAGTGGGAATCTTTGACCTAGTGGGGTAGCTTTGTGGGTTTTGCTTGTGCAATTATTTCCGTTCATTTATCTGAATAAATAAGTTGGACACACTGGTATGGTGTGTGGGTATCGGGGGGTGTGGGTGTGGGTGTGCATGTGTGACAGCTACAGAGGTGTCCAATTAGGGGCTGCAGGTCTGAGTCAAAAGGAAAGTAAAAGAAAGTCGGTCGTTGCATGGCACTTGGACCCTCTAAACCAGTGCTGTTTTTTTCTAGAAAAATTGCCATTCTAAGAGAACAAGGGAGGCGTTCGTGGTGAACGCCTCCCTTGTTCTCTTAGAATGGCAATGGTGCACACCTGAGAGGGGCCAGAACAGAGTTCCATCCGGCTAGAACCATACAATACAAGAGTCTCCCACCCACCCAAACCATGTGGGGGTAGAGCAGGAAGGTAAGAGAGAAAAGTGTAAGAAGAGAGGCGTCCATTTGTGGGGCTCATTTTGAAAGCCTGACGCATGGACTGCTTGCCTGAAAAGTGGGGACTGAGTTTATTTATAGAAGACTGCTGTGAAGAGTAAATAGTGTTTGATTCCAGCATGCTGTTAGCAACTGACTGCTTTTAAGGAAATGGCCTTTAAATCGTGCTGTGCTGTTGTTACCTATCTACACTGTAATATATTTGTTTTTACATCATTTATGATTATATTATAGGTTAATTACTTTGCTTTAATCTTTGTGAGCTGCTTTGAATCCTGGTTCAGGGGGAAAGGCAGGGTATAAATAAATAAAATTGATGATGATAATAACAACAACAACTAGATTGCTTCTCCTGACTAGTATCTAGCTCCTGCCAAATACACTTTGGAACTCCCTGCAACTTGATATCAGGCAAGCACGTTTGCTGTGCTCTTTTTGGTGTGACATTTTTGTTTGGACAAGACTGCTTATATATCTAGAGCATTGATGTGTATTCTAATCTGATTTTTGTTTATTGCTGATGTTTTTTTAATGATTTAAATTGTTGCCTTTACCTGTTTTACTTATGTTTTATGGCTTTCTCCATTTTCTAAACGACTTGAAGGTGGTGTGTTGTTTTTTTTACAACCAAGTGCTATACACATTTTATGAAATAAATTAATAAAAACAGTAACTGGAGCTGTATACATGTTACTGCCTTAAAACACAGTTAGGCTGTTCTTTTTATCAATTTGGATCTAAGCTGGTTTTGGGAGAAATGCGTCAGAATATAGCATTTCATAAGAAATGTCAGGATGGGTCTGGCTCATTACTCGCGCCATGTGTTACCACTTAGCAAATCGGTGATGGGAGTGCGCATGAGGTGCGGAAAACGACTTAAGGCTAAAGAAAGAGAAAGGGTCACATCACTTACCAAAGCCATCGATGTCGATGTTTTGATTCATCACCACCTCCAGCAAGCTTTCTCCTTCTTTAGCGGTGACTGAGAATTTATCTCCATCCCTGTTAATAAAATTTAACTTCACTTTCTCAGTAGATCTGTGGGAGGGGGAAGCGCACATTCAATAAAGTTAGGATGCTTCCAGACATGAAAAGATCAATATTATCATTGTTGCAGTAAATGCTCCCAACGGTGACGGTGGCGGCGGTAATTAAGTCTTGTTTTCATTTGCTTCCTATGAAGCATCTCAAAGGGATTTCACAGTACAATAAAAGCACATGCAAAGCAATTACGTATATGAAAACAATTTCACATCCAATACTGATGCAGCCAATAATAATAATAATAATAATAATAATAATAATAATAATAATATCCCCACCTATAAATGGCTTGTTGGAGACCTCTTCCAAGGGAGCTCTGAGAATTGTAGCTCTGGGCGAGGAATAGGGACCTCCTCACAACTCTCAGCAACCTTAACAAACTAGGATTCTTTGAGGGAAGCCATGGGTGTTTAAAGTGGTATCATCATGCTTTAAATGTGGTATGATTGTGGCCTAAGGGGCAGCAACAGAGGATGCAGGCCCAGGCAAGTTTTAACCTGCCAGGCCAAATGCAGCTGCCGAGTGTTTTGTCCTGCTGGGTCCTTGACCATCTCCCTCTCTCAGTTCAGCATGTCCCAAGCAGGGAGATTTATCAAACCACGGGTGGGCTGCCGCACAGGCTGCACATGGCCTGTTGCATCACAAGTGTGAAAGCCTGAGATAACGGTAGAGAGGTGTGAAGGGTTAAAGACTGGCAATCTGTGCAGAAAGATTAGAGGCATTCAACATGCCATTTGCACCATACCATTTTAAGCAGTCATGACTCCCCCAAAGGCTTCTAGGGGTTGCAGTTTGTTAAGGATGCTGAGAGTTGTTAGGAGACCCTTATTCCCGTTCCAGAGGTATGATTTTTAGAGTGATAGAACAGTCAGTCATTCTTTAGTGGAAGGTATGGAATCTATCTATCTATCATCTATCTAATACTGTTTTTTCAGTTTGAATGTGTGGCTACCATGAATCCAATATGGGAGAAAAGCAGGAGAGTTTTGTTCATTTGTTTTTTAGAAAAGAAAAGAAAAGAAAAGAAAAGAAAAGAAAAGAAAAGAAAAGAAAAGAAAAGAAAAGAAAAGAAAAGATGAGCAGTAGAGAGGTGAGGTTGTTCCAATGGAAGGATCTGTTCTTTCCCAGGCTCCATACATATCTGTATTCAAAGAAATTGTCATTCATGCATCTTGCTACAACCTCCTCACAGCTGGAGCAAAGGCACTCCGTCATAAAGACATAGAAAGGTGGCTTAATGGTGCAATCCTATATGTGTCTGCTCAGAAGCAAGTCCTGTTGAATTCAGTGAGATTAGCATCCACACCCTCTTCCTCCAATGGGACCAATGGAAGCAAAGAATTTAGTTAAGATCCTGACTTACCCTGTGCCCCCCGTGGGGACATATTGAAGCCTGTGGCTGGTACTGAAGCATCTCCCCAGGTGAAGGCCAGCCAGTGCCGGACTGCAAACAGTTGTCACAAAGATAACCTGGGCTCTGGCCCTGTGTGCTTGAGATAGCCCAAGGCGGAGGAGCCCAGAGATGCTCCGAGACATCATGCTGACAAATCTTGATGTCTCCTAGTCTTTCAAGGACTGCAGTGCTGATATAAGTGCAGATGGGAAGGGGTTGGGACAGCCTCCCTGGGAGGGAGGGAGGGAGGGAGGGGGCACCGTTCTCCCAGCCCATCCCACGGGGGGAGTGGGGAACTGTGGTTGCAAAAGACGTGGGTTGCAAATGGGGTCACATGCGTAGGCTTGTGTCAGCCGTGATGAGACTTGCATCCCTCATTTGTTCTGACTTATTGGAAACTACATCAGCACGAATGCTGCCTGTTGAGGAAAGCTCACTTTGCTTAATTTTGAGCCAGGGGTTTCCCCCCCCCCCCTTACATAGTAAGGCTGATCCATCATATGCATTGGTCACAGCAGTTTGGTGTAAACAGAGGATGTAAGGAGGGGCAGGAGCTGCCTGCTTTCCTGGTCTCCTTGGGGCACCACTGCAAACCTTCACCTAACTGCTGTGTCCCCAAGACAAATGGTGACCTGTTTATTTGCTACAATCTCAGGGACGTGGGGTTACTGTGAGGGATGTCTGCCTTGAGGCCAGGGAAATCCCTGATCCCATTTTGGATCACTGGTTGTAGCTGTGAATGAAATTTGGGCACATGTGCATGCAGGGTATCAATCTCTCCCTTGCTGATGCCTTAGAAACAGGGCAGGCAGGGGAGCCAGCTCTTCTCCTGGACTCCAGATGGTGAAAGCCACAAGGCCTGCACGTCTTTCACTGGCCAAGTTTTAAAATGCGTCCCTGGCCTCCTTCTGCTCCCCAATCAGAAGCAGCATCCTGCATGCTGTGCCTCAACCATCCAAAGTGGCTTATCTCACAGGCAAACCTTGAACTGAAAGATGTGGGAGATGAATGTCCATCAGTGTCCCTTTTGCCAAGGACGCCCATAGGACTGGCAGTGACCTCTCCTCTGTCATCTGAGAGATAGTTGCTCAGAAGGCAGGACAAGACAGAGGCCCTTGGAAGGGGAATGGGGGAGTCCGTTTTTATTTATTATGTTTGGTGTACATGCACCAAGCTAGAGGGATTTAAAAGAGGATTGGACTAGGAGGAGGAAGAGGCTGTCAACAGCAACTGGCCATGGCAGCTGTGTGCTTTCTCAGTGGTCAGAGGCAGCAGTGCTCTGAATACCAGTTTCTGGAACCCACAGGAGGGGAGAGGGCTCTTGTGCTCATGTCCTGCTTGCAGGTTTCCCATAAGGGGCATCTGGTCTGTCACTAGGATACTGGGCAAGATGGGCCTCCTTTGTTCTGAGCCAGCAAGCTCTTGTGCTCTTATGTCCTTAATACTCTGCAAAACAAGAAAGTGCCAACTCAGACCATTCATCCATCATGCATGGCGAAAGTGGGCAGAGGAAAGTCCTTCTGCCTCTCTCATAACACTCATGGCTATCTAATGAAGATTGTTGGGATATACTGTATTTTTCCATGTATAAGACTAGGTTTTTCCCCTAAAAAATGATGTCCAAAATTATACACGGGGGCCATCTCCCCCCATTTTCTTAAATTGGAGTCCCCCAAAATAGGGGGCGTCTTATACATGGGAGCGTCTTATAGATGGAAAAATAAGGTTTATTGCAATATATAATGAATAATGTTGGGAGATTCAGGACAGAGAAAGGGATGTCCTTGTTTATGCAGCACAGAGGTATACTGTGGAACTCACTCCCACGGGAGGCAGTCATGGCCACCAGTCTAGGCAAATACTTGGAGAAGGCTATCAGCCTTGGCTGCTAGCCAAGATGGCTATGCTCTGCCTCCATGGTCTTGAGGCAGTAATGCTTCTGATTATCAGTTGCTAGAAACCACACAGCAGGGGAAAGTGCTCTTGTGCTCCATTTCTGCTTGAGGGTTTTGTGTTGGGGCATTTGGTTGGCCCCTGTGAGGGCAGGATGCTGGACTAGTTGGGCCATTGGCCTGATCCAGCAGGCTCTTCTTAGTTTAGTGTTGGCTATATGAGGTGTGGAGAACCAGTTGCTCCTCTGATGTTGTTGGACTCTGTGACGCCCATGGGCCGGGCCAAATGGCAAGGATGACGCATAGTCTAACAATGTCTAGCAGAGGAGATCCCTGGGATTGCTCCTGGGACCTTCTGCAAACAAAGCAAGGGCTGTCCCACAGAGCTATTCAACCCTTCCCTAAAAGCACCCTAATGGATGTAGCTAATGGATTAATGTATTTATTGCAGCTAAGATTTGGATTCCATTGGGAAAAGACAGAAACACCAACTATAATATCATGGGAGGTTAAGGGGTGGTCTCTGCCAAAATATTTGAAACCCACTAGTCTTATGCACATCAGAGAAGGCATAGGCGCGAAACATGGACTGTAACAATTAGATTTTCTCAGAACTGGAGAAATCAAGATCAAATGAGAGTTGATAGCTGGTTTGGGGGGGAGTTGTTAAAAAAATAACTTTAGGATGCAGAATGATGGATGTAGTAATTTAAATTATATATTTTATTGGATTAAAGTATTGTACATTATAAAGGTAAAGGTAAAGGTACCCCTGCCCGTACGGGCCAGTCTTGACAGACTCTAGGGCTGTGCGCTCATCTCACTCTAGAGGCCGGGAGCCAGCGCTGTCCGCAGACACTTCCGGGTCACGTGGCCAGCGTGACAAGCTGCATCTGGCGAGCCAGCGCAGCACACGGAACGCCGTTTACCTTCCTGCTGGTAAGCGGTCCCTATTTATCTACTTGCACCCAGGGGTGCTTTCGAACTGAAGGTTGGCAGGCGCTGGGACCGAACAATGGGAGCGCACCCTGCCGCGGGGACTCGAACCGCCGACCATGCGATCGGCAAGTCCTAGGCGCTGAGGTTTTACCCAGGGCGCCACCCGCGTCCCTTTATTGTACATTATAGATTATATCAAATGCTCTTTATAAGACATTGTTATTGATTAAGGGGTGCCCATCTGGATGATGCCCTGAGTACCTTCCAATACTTGGTGACCTTTGTCTGTGGAGGTAGAATGTAGAAGTGCAAGCTTCCAAACCAGTCCCCTTGGCCAGGCAATGGTTTTGGTACTTTGATTAGCATAACGCGACAAGTTGCTCTGTGTCATAGAACAAATGGGTGGGCCTTCCTGGCTCACTGAGCTGTTAGGTTGGAGAACAAGTGCCAGGGTGGTGGGGGTGAGCTGACCTGGAAGCCAGGTGGAAGCTGGAGACACAGAGAACTGCTTGCTCCGTGCTGGATCCAAAGCTTCAAGATCTGTTGAATGTTAACACTGAGAGCCCCTCCATCTTAGGCTCCGGCTGTATGTGTAAACAAAGCTGTATATCCTAAAGTCATCATAGCCTCTGCCGACCTTCTTTCCAAGGAAGCAAAACCCCGAGTAAACACAGGAACCCCCAGAGTGCCTCATATCTTGGGGGTTGGGGTGGTCTGTACCAATATTGTGCATGTTTTGTATTTATTTCAACAATTATTTTTAAAGCCTTTCCAGGCCTGTACACTGGTGCATGGAAAACTACAGCTCTCCACCACTCTCCCTGCTCTTCAGATCCAAAAGTGCTGAGGCCAACAAGCCAGGGTTGCACTTCTAGGAAGACAGAAGATGACACCCAGAGAGGAGCTGGAAGGGCATTGAACTGGGGCCAGAAGGTCTGAGTGAAGGTTGCTGCAGCTGATGTTTTTCCTCATTCCTGTGGAATCCTTGAGTTGCCTAATAAGTATTTGTAGCCATAAATCATTAAGGCTTGCCTGTGCCCCTTGGAAACTCTTTCCTTGACTCTACTATAATCACACCCCAAGGCAGAAATGAGAGAGGCCAACACTGTATCTGTACAAGGTGACCAGTTTCAGGAATCCAGTATTGTTTTGCAAGTGATTATGTGGAGATGAGTTTTCCCATTAAGGAAGCCGAAGGGACAGAAACTTGGGAGTAATTACATAAATAGAAGGTGAAAGGCAACATGACAGAAGTTTATAAAATTATAAATTAAAAGATAATGCTTTCTCCTGCTCTGGAGGCTAGGAACAGAACCTGAACCAAGTTACAAAAAGAGATATTCCTACTAAACATCAGGAAGAACTTTTGGATGGTAAGAGCTCTTTGACAGTGGAACGGACTCCCACGAGAGATGGTAGACTCTCCTTCCTTGGGAGGTTTTTAAGCTGAGGTTGGATGGTCATCTGCAAGGTATGATTGAGAATCCTGCATTGCAGGGGGTTGGGGGTTGGACTAGAGGACTCTTGGGTTACCTTCCAACTCTGCAGTTCTACGATTCTACTCCTTTAATTACTTAGCATGTTGCAGAAAATGGTTGTACTGCACACAATAATTACTTAAATAGTCTTTCTCAAGCCTACCTGGAGATACCAGGGATCGAACTGGAGGCCTTTCATGCATTGAGGCACCTGTTCTTCTAGTGAGGTATGGTCCTTCTGCATAAGATGTAACCCAAACCTGCAGCACTATACAGAAATTCTCTTATCTATATTGTTCTACAATGCCCCCTAATGGTTCAATAGAGCACATGGCAAAGAGTTTTCAATTTCACCAGATTCAAAGGGAACAAATGTATGTGTATGACTTCTTATTTCAAGGCAATTTAGGAGGGTTGAGTTTTGCAGTGGATTAATAAATTAAAATGCATTCAATTTTATTTTATTTTTATTTTTTTTAAAAACAACCTTGAGTGTTTCAAGATGTCGAAGGGCCTGAAAACAAGGAAGTGAAAAGAGCTGAATATGATTAGCCCATTATATGGCTTTAGTAGAAATGTTATAAGGAATTAAGTATAAATAGATTAATAGAGTATTAAAGGAAAAAATAAGGTTAGAATGTGTTAAGATAATTATAGGATAGAAAACAGAGGAAGATGGAAAGGAATTGCTGAAACAATTAACAGAAGTGGAATACAAAAAGGGAGGTGTGAGAAGGTCGTGGAAATAAGTGAATGAAAGATAAGATATTGAAATTGTTTGAGGTGTTTTAAACTGTTTTTGCTTTGTTTTGTTAGTTGAATGTGTTAGTGTTATGTAGTGTTTTTGTATTGTATTGTTTTTGTAGTGTTTAAATTGTTGGAAAAGTAATAAATATTATTTTCAAAAACAAAAAAAAATATGATTAGCCCGGAGAAGAAGAATTAAGATGGCGTGACAACCATCTTCAGGACTTCTGCAGAGGATGGAGCGGTTAATCAGTTGTCTATTACTGCAGGTGGCCTTAACCAATGGTGGAAATGGGAGAGATTTCAGCAGAAATTCAGAGAAGCTTCCTAATAGCAGGCACAGGCAAATTCCGTCCCTCCAAATGTTTGGGACTACAATTCCCATCATCCCTAGTTAACAGGACCAGTGGTCAGGGATGATGGGAATTGTAGTCCCAAACATCTGGAGGGCTGGAGTTTGCCTATGCCTACTAATAGCATGAGATGTTCAACAGTGGAACAGACTGTCTCATGAAGAGAGTGGGCTCTCCTGTGTTGGAAATATTTGAGTAGAGTTTGGGCCACCAGTTAGGGATGCTGGAGATGAAGACCTTGTACTAAGCACGGGGCAAGACTAGAAAAGTCTGACCTTCCTTCCAACCCTGATTCATGCCAGTGACAGCTTTCATCTAACAACACCCAATCCTTGCTGGCCTATAGAGTAAGTAGTCCTTTTGCTGTAGCACAGATCATCATTCTAGTAAATTTTCCTAAGCTATAATAGCACTCTGGTTAATCAACAGGCTGTATTCCCATCCCAATTCTAGGCTCATCTTGCCCCTACTCCTCTGCTGACCCCAGTACAGAGGCAGCTTCCATCTACAATGGATTCAAGTTACAAGAAGGGAAATTTTGACTAAAACCTTAGGAAGAACTTTCTGGCAGTAAGAGCTGTTTGACAGTGGAATGGACTCCCTCAGAAGTGGTAGACCCTCCTTCCTTGGAGGTTTCTAAGCAGAGATTGGATGGCCATCTGTCAGGGGTTCTTTAGCTAGGATTCCTGAGTTGCAGGGGGTTGGACTAGATGACACTTTGGGGCCACTTCCAACTCTGCAGTTCTATGATTCTACACTGAAAGATCAAACTCTCAGAATCATGGGTGTGTACAGGTCACTAACTGGACCTGCAGATTCAACCACCACCAGAATAATGCACACACACAAACACACCAAGGGTTCAATTGACCTAAACTTTATTGGCACTGAATGAAGAGAACAGGCTGTGGACTTTAACAAAACCCCTTTGCAGGCAAGGCATCTGAGTGGCAAGGATCAACATGGCTGGCCTGCCCCACAGAGACACAGATCAACCTAACAACCCCACCTGGGAAAACTGGTGTTTTAACAAAACATGTAAAAAGATAGACATAATTTACAGCCAAAAAAAAGAAAAAATCCAAAACACAAATATAAAGCCAGACACAAAAAAATGCATAATAGGGTAACCCCCTCTCCCCCAGGACAGGATATATCCAAAGTAATAGCAAGTAAACAAGTTGGGAGGGGGGAGTGGAGGAGGGGAAACCTCCATGAATCCCAACAAATAATTAAAAAAGTGTCTAAAAATCTCATGGTAATACTGAATGCTTCTTACATTAATTTCCTGCAAAATATCAATCTCTTTACAATACAGTATACATTTGTCCATGGAGAAGGGGGGCATTTCCCCCTCCCCCTCCATATTTCCAAGATTAATATTTTCTAATCGTGCACAGCTAGAAAAAAAGAGAATGAAATCAATACCATTAGATACCACTGGAATAACATAATACTGGTAGGATCAGGGGACAGCTGAACCAACTACACGAGGAGTTAAGGCTTCTTGGCATAGGTTGGCTTGCTCCTTTTCTAGAAGTGAAAGGGCAGGAGGAAAAGCAACTGTGCCAGTGGAAGGTGTCAACAGAGCTCCATGACCCAACCAGGAGTGATGCAGAGATGCTTTAACTACTTCATTAGTTCAGCACAGACCTGGGAGGCTCTGTGCTGATTTCTCTTGTGAGGATGTAGTTCTCTGAACCAAAGTGTGCCAGTAATGTGGAGGAAAACTGCCAAATTACAAGTCTGGAGCACAAAACGTTTTCAAAGGTGATTAAAAGTGATAAGGAATCACATATTCTTCAGTTTAAGGGTAAATGAGTTGTGACAAGTTCAACTGCAGTGTGTGTGTGTGTGTGTGTGTGTGTGTGTGTGTGTTAAAGTGTTCTAAGTAATGAGGTTGCATATTTTCAGGAGGAGGAGGAGCTGACAGTTCCTACTCTCACTTCCTAAAGGCACTATGTATATATATATACATATATATTAAAAAAGAGAGAGAGAGAGAGAGGAGAAAAGGGGTGCATAACAAACTCACAGAAGACATTTAGACTGTGCTATTTTGCAAGCTGAGGGAGTCTTGCCTCCATGCAACTAGGGCTGCCAACACCAAGCTGCCCAAAGCAGGCTGACATGGCTTTGGGACAGCTATGGGAGGTTTTTCGCTGCCCTCACCGGAGCGAATCAGGGCAGGGATGGGGAGCCTGTGCCCCTCCAGATGTTGCTGGATGACAACTCCCATTGTCCTTGGAGAGCCACAGGATCCCCACCCCTGAACTGCAGCTCCTGTCTTTGTTCCACTCTCTCCACACAACTTTCCTGTTTCTAGTGGCACTGTTGGTATTAACACACTTTGGGAGGAAAGGGGCGGACAGAGAAGATCAGAAGAGATTATGCAGTTCAGGAGTTTAGAGGTGCAGAAGAGCAGGGCAGCTTCTCTGCAAAAAAAACTCCTTTGAAAAAGAAGCTTCTTTAGACTGGGGGTTGGGGTGGGGAGACAGGCAGTCCCCAGCTGTACCTGATGCGGTCATGGCACAGGTAAAAGTGAGGTAACAAACTCTCTTGAGAAAAGGGAAGCCCTGCCCAAAAAACTGGTAGCCAAAGTAGCACTAGAAGGTTCTGTCTGGACTTAGGAGGCAAATAGGAGCAACCTCCTAAAAGAAAAGCCGCATAAAACTTATTTAAAAATTCTGAAAAGCAAAAGGCACTCCAAGGCAAAGAAGGAGGAGGAGGAAGAGTTTGGATTTGATATCCTGCTTTATCACTACCCTAAGGAGTCTCAAAGCAGCTAACAATCTCCTTTACCTTCTTCCCCCACAACAAATACTCTGTGAGGTGAGTGAGGCTGAGAGACTTCAGAGAAGTGTGACTAGCCCAAGGTCACCCAGGAGCTGCATGTGGAGGAGAAGGAATCGAACCCGGTTCACCAGATTACGAGTCCACTGCTCTTAACCACTACACCGCACTGGCTCTCCAAAGAGATTTGGGGACAAGATCTGCTGCATTCCAACAACCAAGGCAGCAGAGACAGAAGCTTTTTCTTAAAATCAAAGGCAGGTTTTGTGACTGTGCAAGTGGCTGGTGATGTGAAGAAGACAGGGTACTTTTTTGCATTTGGTCACAAGTAAACATGAGGACTCTATAAAAACTTTACACCCATGGAAAAGGATGTCATAAGGCACCGATAATGTGGGCTGTGTGTGCTACAGACCTCCCTTGAAAGGGTCAGCTGCAATATTTCCCCACATCTGTCTTGCTCTCTGGGGTTTATGGCTGATGCACATCCTCTTCTGAACACTTAAGTTGGACTGTGCTGGTCAATATGAATGGGACCAAGTATGTTGCTGCTACCAATCCCAAACATCATCTCCTTATTGGACAAGGTTGGGGAACCTGGAGCCCTCCAGATACTGTTGAAATCTGCAATCTCTGGTGGGAATCGGTGGTCAGCAAAGTTTGGAGGCCAGCAACACACATAACTGGATATGGCAACATTTCAAGAGGGGAAAACAAAATATACTCAGATCACAACATTTATGGAATCCTGCCTCTTTCAACTGCTTAGGCAGTGGCATGTGCAAAGCGATAAAAAGATCAGGGTGATCCGTTTGGTCTGCTAAACCTCTGGGAATCATAAAAAGCTTTGGTCTTTCGTGTGTATGTATGTGTGGGTGGGTGGCACAAGAACATTAAATTCTGCTTCAGTAACTTTTCCTTCCGAATTACTTCTTTTTTAATTATCAAAACTAGACAGGCTTAAAAAGTAAAGATACCCCAACACACAAGTCTCTTCAAACATTGGCTAGAGAGACTAGTGGCAGGGATGGGTCCTTGGGGGGGGGGGGTCACAGGACCAGCACAGATGTTTCATAAAGCTGCATGGAACAGATTTCTCTCTTCAACCCAGGTTGAGAAAAGAAAATGGGGCATCACCATAAAAAAATATATATTATTATTTTTAAGGCACAGCTGACTAATCCTGTTTCACCCTATGTTGGATGGCACCCAACTCTCAGACAGACTGTGGTGACTCTTCTGTAGTGGTTCCAGCACAATGCAGTTAAACACAGAAAAAAGGTGGCGGGGGAGGGAGGAAGAGTGCAGGGGAGGCAGCAGAAGGCTCACGAATGATTACATGGACTCAAACTCATCAATGCGTTGCTTGGTGTTGCCCTGCCGGATCTGGCGGAGGGTCTTGTATTTGTCACGGCCCAACCTCATGTTCTCGGCATGGATCATATCATTGGCAGTCTTCTTTGTTTCGTCGCGGGCATTGGCCAGCTCGGACGTGAGAGCCTGTAGGTACAAAACGTGAAGGGAGGAAAGACCAGTTTTAAAATGTTATTTGCTTGTTTTATTTCATAGAATTTATACAGTACTTGATTGTAAAAACCCTCAAGCAGTACACAATAAAATTATAGTAAAAGCCATAAAAAGCAACATACGAAAGATAAAATCAGCAATAAAAGAAAAAATAGATCAAAACATCCATATGTTTTAGTCAAATGTGTTGCACTGTTTGGTGCAAGTGGAATCCCAGTTGCCTGAGGGCAGAGAGCCCCAGAGGGGAATGCTTCTCAGTGAAGGCCATTCACAAATCCAACAGTGGAAGAATCAAGTGACATTGCCCGAGCCAATCCAAGAACATAACAAGAGTCTGCTGGATGGGGGCAATGGTTGATCTGGTCCAGAATCGTGCTCTCATCGTGGCCAACCAGATGCCTGTGGAAAATTTGCAGGGATGACCCAAGCAGAAGAACACTGAGCTTCTTTTTCCAAGGCTGAATTTTGGGGACAGTAATTGTCTCCCAGCCTAACTCACCTCACAGGGTTGTTGTGAGAATAAAATGGGGGAAGGGACCATGTATGGCACCTTGAGCTCCTTGTAGGAAATAGAAATCCAATAAAAAATACATAGCTCTCTTCTCCTCTGGCTCCCAGCAACTTGTATTCAGAAGCGTCTATATGGGGTCAGTAAATCCCAACAGGAAAGGATGCTGGACCAGGTGGGCTCTGCCCTGGATGCTCTTAGGCAGGTAAAGAGCCAATAATAGCACTCAGAGAGTTCTGATACTCCAAACGTCTGAAACTTTCACCCACAGCTCCAATGTTTACATTCTCACACTAAAACTCTCATCTCAATTCATTTTACTGTATTATTATTATTATTATTATTATTTAACTGGAAGCCACCCTCAATGTTTTACTGAAGTGCAGGGTGAAAATATTTTGCTAGAAAGAAGCCAAGATAAATTGCAGATGTGTCTGTACAATGGGGACTGGATCCTTCAGCTCTGTTGTGACAGGGCCCAAAATAGCATTTTGCCAGAAGAGGGTGTAGAGTCCAGCTGGCCAAAGAGACAGATGCATTTCCACCTGGCCCTTTCATTAACTTTATTGTGAAAGCCATCTGAAAATATTTACTGCTGGGAACAAAGTGGGAACTTAAGTGCAAGCACTGGATGTTACAAGAGACACATAGCCTCCTGCCAAAAACAGAAGCCTGGGACATTTCTCATCCTGTTTCCCACAATGTGCCAACAAATAAAAATCCATGTTATGATGAGATATTATGGTTGTTCAAACTTCCTGCCCCAATCCACCGGGCTGACAGGATGGGGGAACCAAGTGTGCTGATGAAGCATCTTTTACCACCAAGGTTTATGGGAAAGACATCATGGTATTAGCTATGCTACTCTTGTACCACCTATAGGTGGATCAAGCCCTTAACAACCTGGGACCAGGTTACCTGGGAGATGGCATTGCCCTCTTTATGGCCACTAAACCACTTGCTTCATTCTGTGTAACTGGCACTATTACAAGTGCCACATAATACCCATTCTGAATTTGTAAGAAATCAGTATTTTAGCGCGGCAGCACCTGCACTTTGGAACCCTCTGCCTATTGATAACCAGCCAGGCACCTTTGCTGTACTTTTTCTGGCACCTGCTAAAATACTCAGGTATCTAGAAAGCTAGCTTGTTTTTATGTTTATTGTTGTCCTTCATGTTTTGAATGTTTCAAATAATTGTTTCTACAGCCCCCCCTTATTGTTTTGTCTTTTTGGTAAATGGCTTTGAGCCTCGCCCCCACCCCCCACCCCGTACAATCAAGCAGTGCATAAAATTTATGACGTGAATAATAATAAATAGGTGGTGCTAGACATTTGAGGGAAGCGGGTCTCAGGCCCACACCCTGCCCACCAGCCGCACTCCCCCTCAAAGTAGTGTTGGCCCCACATTACCTTCAAGTGCTTCTGGACCCGCTCGTTCTTCTCTGCCTCCGTAGTCCGCTGCTCCTCGCTCCGGTCCTTGGCAGAGGCATGTGCCCTCAGCTCTGCGCTGGCCTCAGCAGCATTTTCATCCTGCTCATCATCATGTTCGTTCTCAGACTGCATTGGTTCTGGAACATGCTGTGTGACCATGGCTGACTTCAACTCCTCTTTAGTCTTCTCTAGGTCTTCCTGGACCATCTGGGCCTGAGGGAGGATATCAACCCACCAATGGGTTAGTGGAGCTGGCGTTTGTCCACAGACAGCTTTCCAGGTCATGTGACCAGCATAACTAAGCTGCTTCTGGCACAACGGAGCACCATGATGGAAGCCAGAGCACACGGAAATGCCATTTGCCTTCCAGCCACAGCGGTACCTATTTATCTACTTGCACTGGTGTGCTTTTGAACTGCTAGGTTGGCAGGAGCTGGGACAGAGCATTGGGAACTCACCCTGTTGTGCAGATTCGAACCGCTGACCTTCTGATCGGCAAGCCCAAGACGCTCAGTGGTTTAGACCACAGCGCCACCCACGTCCTTATGTATAAAGACTCAATTTCTCAATGAATACATTATATTGTGGTCTGCCCTCTCCAGTTCTCACCATATATGTAAGCTTAGCATTGCACACTATGTCCAAGGTTTAATATAGCATTCTCTTAAGAAGGTTGATCTCATTTTTGTCAAATTCTGACAAATCATAATTCTAGCACCACTTAAGAGATTCTGCATTAATTCAGTCAGTCAAGAAACCTACTGGGTGACCTTGGGCTAGTCACTGCCCCTCAAGTCTAACCTACCTCACAGGGTTGTTGTGAGGATAAAATCAGGAGGGGAGAACCACATACACCACCTTTTGTTCTTTGGCAGAAACAACGGTATATAAATGCAATAAATATATAAATAAAATCAGGTCAGACCAGTGGGCCAAAGGTTCCCTCATTGTTGTTCTAGAGCAAGAGTCAAAGTCATGCATCACAGATGATCATGCATGCGTATACTGGAGAGGGCCATGTCTATTTTACACAAGGTAAATGCACATTTGCTGCAACACTGACATTGTGGAAGGTGGACAATATGCCTTGTAAGCAGGATCCCCTGCCTCTCTGTGCAAATGGGGTGTCTTTACTTTTCCCCATCACTGGGACAAGGGGAAATGGGATGGTCACTCCTAGGCACAGGAGAGGAAGGAAAAGGCTTGTTTCAAGACAGGACCAAGTCATCCCACTCACTTTCTGCTGCCACTGCACAGCCTCGCTCTCCTTCTTCTGCCGAGCCAGTTCCAGCTGCAAGATCCTATTGGTGAGCTCCATCATTTCAGACGACTGCAGGAATTAACAGAAGATCACAAGTGAAGTAGGCAACCAGGCTCCTAAAATGCTACATTGCCCCACTACTCCCCAGTCTGGCCCTTGCTCAGCTGTAAGGTATAAAGTGTACTTTCCACACCCCTGCTGTGATCTTGGGAAACAGTTAAGAAAACTGATACAAAAATCAGATTCATGAGTGTGCACGATTCTTCAAGAGAAGAACCCTGGTATACACACATACCACCCTAAGAGAATTACAGTTCCCAGGTCTCCTTTGGGGAGGGAATAACTATTAAACCAGTTTAAGCCTGCAGTGGAGCCTGGTTTCCTCTAGATAAGGGATCACCAGCCTACGGCCTGGGGGCCAGATAAGGCCTGAGGGACTTGTTTATCCTGCCTGCAGTGACCCCTGCCACCGCCGGCCGGTCTTACCAGCTTGTGCGCATGCACACAGGCCTCCTCCAACCCGGATGTACACCGTTTATGCATGCTCCCCCGCCCTCCGCGCAATCATTGCTGGAGACACCTGGCCCGAGGCAAGGAAAACTTGGAGACCCCTGCTCTAGACCAGTGGTTCCTAGACCTCTTCGGCCCACCACCCAGTTCCCCTGCTCTCCCTATAAAAAGCATTATTGAGATTAGTGGTTTTCATGACCCACTAAGGAAGATCATAACACAGCAAAATTCAAAGCAGTAATAAAATTACACATAGAATCCAGTTAAAACTATTTAGTTAAACTGATTCAACAAAACTGATGGACTTATCCAGTGGTGCCAACTTTCCAAAGTTTAATAGTAATTCACACCTCCAGTATGCTTCCCCCCTTGCTTCTAAATCCCCCCCCCCCAAATCCCACCAGCCTCCACAGTTAGAGTCAACAGCTTTTGGACTAATGGCAACTCTAGCTCAGTACAAATGGCGGCCATTTCCTGCCTTTATGAGGACCCAGCTTCTGGTTAAATTATTTATTAACACTTGACCACCCTGGAAAGGCTTAGCAGATCTAATTTTTATATTCTAGCATAAATAATTCCTGTTGATGTGATGAACAACAGCGCCTATTCTACATTGGAATTTAAAATGTGTCAGCGTTATCAACATTGTTTATTTATTTGGACTACTACATTATGTACTGAAATGAACTGATAATGGGCAGTTGTATCAATATGCATGTTTCCTTAGTGTGTTGTGAGCCACTTTGGGGTCATTTAAGTGGAAGAGCAGCATACCCTGCCTACTGACACAAGGGACATTCACTGCACTCTTTTCAGTGCCTCTAAAACCATTTTTGATTGGCCAAACCTACCCAGAAAGGTAAAACACGGACATATTTTTATCTGTTTTCAGTTTCTCACTGATTTTAATTTTTAAAAAATGTTTTAAGTAATTGGTTTCACTGATAACTTTATCATTTTCTTTTTGCAAACCGCTTTGGGTTTGCTTTTTTTTTTTTTTTACAGTCAATGTGGTATATAAACTTTATGAAATAAAATAACTTAGCTGCTATTGCTGGGGGTTGAACTAGATTACCCCTTTGGGTCCCTTTCCAACTCTACAATTCTATATAATTCCATAAATACAATGACTTCCTAAGAACCCCAGAAGGGTCTGGCTGCTAGATCAGACCACTAAGCCCTCCCCATCCAGCATCCTGTTCTCGCAGTGGCCAACGCAGGCGACGCTTTTGGAGAGCCAGCCTACCAGCTGCTCCTGGGTCTTCTTCTGGTCATTGGAGGCCTTCAGCAAGGCTTCTTTTGCCTCTTCAGCTTCCTGACGCTCCTTCGCCAGCTTCTCCGCTTCTTCCTGAGCTCGCTTCCTTTCTTGCTCCAACTCTAGTGCCTTGCGGGTCTGCTCTTCCAGTTCTAAAGAGAGAAAGAGAGATAGGTCTACAGCTTGCCCACCAACTCTGTAAATCAGCACCAAGCTCCCCTTCCCACCACCTGCAAGGTGAGCACCAGAAGCTTCCCCTACCTAGCTGAGCTTTCTTTGTCTGCTCTTCAATCTGCCTGAGCCGTTCCATCAGCTCCTCCTTCTCGCGTTCAATCTTTTCCTTCTCCTTCTCTGCCAGCTCCCTCTTCTTCTTCTCATTCTCCAGCAGGGCTCTAGGCAGGGAGGAAATGTGAAGGATAACACAAAGTTCAACCCCCACCTGGCTGACAGATTTCCAGTTCTCTCTTGTGCAACAAAACTCTTAGTTGAGGCATTCTCGTCTTGCATCAGAAGTTTTTCAGTCATCGGCAATCAATATTTTGTTTTTAGCGTAAATTAAAAGAAAAGTAATTTTCTAAACTTTTAATGCTGATGCTGCACTCGTTTGCTCAAGTGGTTGCCTTCTGAGCCAACTTTTAAACACTAGCCGAAAACTTTTCTGTACTGCCAGGCCTATGCCGGAAATTAAGAATACATCCTTCCACAATGGTTAATTGGTGTCTTGGTTTTTAAAAAAAATCTTTTTAATGGTTTTAGTTGTATAATTTTATATTTTTATTGCTGCAAACCGCTTTGATATATGTGATATAGCAATATGCACATTTTTTAAAATAAATAAACAAATAAGCCTCCATCAGAACAGGAGTGGGGCAGGATCCAGCCAGTGGGCTGGTTCCTGAGCTTTTCCCCACCCCTGCAGGTTATTTTACAAGTGGGCAGGGCCACCCAGCTGTCAATCACCCGATATCACAACAACACCACATTCTTCCTTTGCGGAGGTAGCTTGAGCTGCACCCACAGAGCAGCATCCTTTGCATCCAATGCAAACAGATATTTGGGCCTAGGAGTTAAGCACCACCATTTGGCTACACAATGGAATCCCCAGCTTGGAGCTCCAAAGCACAACCAATCCCACCAGGGCCTGCTGTGACTGCCAATCAGCTGATGAACACAGACAGCAAGGCCTGCTTGCTAAGGAACAATCCACAGCATTTTAAGGCTTCCAAATGTTCCTTTGCAGCTTCCTCTCTACTTGCCCCACACCTATAAGGCAAACGAGTGTGGTGTGAGGAAAACAGACTTCTAAGCTGAATTGTGACCCATGGTGAGCCTATTTGACCTATCAGCTGGAGCTTTCTCCCACTGTTACATCCTTCTCCCTGCAGCTACAGGGAAATGCTGTTCACATATGTTACGGGATAGACCCATTACACAGAAAAACCATACACTATGCATGCAGTGGGAGTCAGAGTCCAACAGAATCCAGAGAGCCACAGTTTCTCCATACCAATGTGAAACTAAGAAAAGACTGCTGGATCAGACCAAAGGGGACCCATCTAGTCCAGCATCCTGTTCTCACAGAAGCCCCAATAGGAAACCCACAAGCAGGATCTGAGCACTTCCACCCTCCCTTGTGGCTTCCAGGGGGCGTAGGCCTCTTCTACTATATTCCAGCTGCAGGATTTGCCTATGGAAAGAACACATGCCACACCCCAATCACTAAACTCCAATCTTGCCACAACTTTTCCTACAGAAGATGGCCATGACTAAGACACTGTGCACCAGTATTCGGGAACCAGTTATGTCAGCATTTGGCACTCTGTTCAGAGGCGTTTGCATTCAGTTGAACGCACCTCTCCATCTGTTTTTGATGCTTCTCCTCTCGGGCTTGAGCCTTCATCTGCTGCACCTCAATTGTGTCTGGCTTACGCCGACGCATGTAGAGCTCATGGTTCCCCATGCAAAGAGCCAGAATACGCTTGTTAATCCTTAGCCGTGGGGCATAGAATACAAAGTCCTTTGAAAGAAAGATGAAAAATAAAGAATGAATCATGGATGCACCTGCGTCACTTCCCTTTCTTCTCCAGTAGTAGCTAATGCCTCAAGTACATGCAAAATAGCATCCAATTAATTAGGCAATTTCCCCCATGCAAAAAGACAAAAGGAGCAAAAAAGAGCTAAATGGTTGTTCAGCAACCTTTAGCTTCAATGAGTCAGGAAGCTGGAAATCTGGATAGGAATTTAAATCTGAAAGATGGCCTTTAAATAAACCTCACTCGAATATTAGTGGAGCATGTCTACATTGTGTTTCTGTTGAAATGTTGCACACAACCAGCTTTGAGTGTTGTCTAAAAACCAAACATTAACACAATAAAATATCCCATTACTGGAAAAAGAAAAGCACAACCAATTAATACGTTATCAGATTGAAGTAGCAGAAGTAAGTGAACTTTTCGCTAATCAACAGGAACCACCATCAAGTCCCCCCACCCCCCACCTCTGCACTATTGGTGCCCCAGGCAGAAAATTCCAGGCACAACCCTTGCCTCTGAAAAAGAGGGGATGCAGAGCAGGACTTCTACCACAGGTAGAAAGAATGGTGACTGTACACACACATAGCCTTAGAATCTGAAAGTCACCAGTAAGCACTTTAACCTGGGTTTGGGAGCAAACAGCCAGTGCAGCAGAATTAGAATGGGAAAGCTGAGCTGCAACTCGCCTTGTCAAAGAGGCAGGCCACAAACCCGCTTCTCCCGCTTCTGAGCTGTCTTCAAAAGACATGCCCCAACCAACCCAGAGGTGTTGAACAACTCATTTTTCTTTTTTACTAAGACAAAATCCCGAAGAAGAACAGACACCCCATCTGATAGAGAGTGCATGTTCAACTCTGCAGCAGAGAGACCCCAGAACTTCAGTCCCAAAGCCTCAATATTTTGGCATTGGCTACTCCAAAAAAAACACAACAAAAGAAAACCGCACAAACAAAAATGTGTGCTCCCCGGGGCAGGAGGGAATTCAGAATGCTTTTATGTCATCTGGTAGGACTTTTATCTCCTATACTTTGGACTTGTATGTGCAACACTCACCAGTCACACCATCTTAGGAAATACGGATGTCTTTGTTTTAATGGTGCCTCTCGCTATTTCTTTCTCTTATTATCTACTGTTTGCTTGCTTTGCATATGGTATGAGGTAATATCCTGCAACTGCACTTTTGAGTTCTTAGTAATGGTAATAAATAATTATTTAAAACAACAAATTCTACCAATCAGCTACTTGTTGAAGAAAAGGGGGAGGTAGCTCTGTATGCAAACCCTGGATATGCTGAAGCTATAACCAAGGGATCCCATTAAATCAAATCAAATCAAATCATACACCCCCATAAAGAAAAAAGGCTTTGGAAGAATTCCATGCATCCAGACAAGGCATTCAAGTGCCAGGAACCATTCATCTTTGCAGCGATATTGCTGTTACTTACACACAGCAAGGTTCACCCCTTCCAGAGTGAGCTGTCTCACCGCAGGAAAACTGTTCTGATGAAAATGAAGGGAAGACCTTTTTTGGCACAATTGCTGACCCAGAAAAACAAAGCAGACATCCAGGAACCAGTTAATCTAAAGAGTCCTGAAGCACTTCTGCTACCAGAAAGGCAAGAGCAATCCAGAGATCTCAATGGTATTCAATTGAACAGAGTTTGAGGGTTCGCTGCTCACTCAGCCCCGCAGATGAAAACAAATGTACAACTTCTCTCTAGTTTTTATTTCAAACACCCGATGAATTTACCTCATCTTTGGAAGAAGACGACACTTGACTAACCACAATGGGCTTTTATGTTCTATCACTAAACTACCAAGTAGAAAACTCTTCACACAAATGACTGTTTGAAAAGCTCTTCGTTCCTTAGAGTGCCCATCAAACCAGCTGTATACCCAGTTGTGTGAGGTTTATTGCAGCCCTCTGCAATCGGCTGAGCTCCACACGTTTTAGACTGCAACTACCGTATTTTTCGCCCTATAGGACGCACTTTTTCCCCTCCAAAAATGAAGGGGAAATGTGTGTGCGTCCTATGGGGCGAATGCAGGCTTTCGCTGAAGCCTGGAGAGCGAGAGGCGTCGGTGCGCACCGACACCTCTCACTCTCCAGGCTACAGGAAGCTATCCGCAAGCCTTGCGCACCCGGGGGGGGGGGGTTCCCCCAGGCGCGCAAGGCTTGCAGGCGGCAGCCTGCAGTGCGGAGCACGGGGCACCCTCTGGAGGACACCCCATGCTTCGCGCAGGTGTCCGCAGCCTGCCGCCCGGCGCGTGGGGTGCCCTGAAGTAGAGCGCCCCTCGCGCCGGGTAGACATCGGCCAGCCCCACAAGCTCGGGGGACAGCAGGGAGGCGCAGCGCCACCATCCCACTGTTCCCCGACCTGGTTTTGGGGGGGGGAAATAAAGGGGGGGGAAATTCCTTTATTTCCCCCCCCCCAAAAAAGTAGGTGCGTCCTATGGGACGGAGCGTCCTATAGAACGAAAAATACGGTGCTACCAGTCTCAGCCAGTTTGAGCACAGTAAAACAAACAAACAAACAAACAAACAAACAAACTGGGAGTCACTTGTTTATGAAAATCTAAATGTTCATTCTGTCACCAGGGGATTTCCCATCACAACCAACTGGCTTTTTTGGTTATGTAGATAGAGCAAAATAGAACAATCCCAAATTACTGATTTTCAATTACATATTTGAATAGATTATTAACTAAAATATTTTAAACCACAAATGAAATCTTACTGGGGCTTTCTTGTCAATGGGCTTGATAACAAACTTCTTATCATTGAATGAAATGTTTCTAATCTCACTCCAAGGGAATCCGATTTTTGGTGTTAACCTGAAAAAGATGAAAGAAAGGATTTAATGTTTCAAAAGCTGAGCCCATTGGAATACTTTGGCAGTTAAACAACCTGACTACACTGATGTGGCACGAATGGTTTTCTATCACTGAGACAAAAGAGGTAATGTTGCTCAGAATTTACAAAACCAGATACACTGAATTTATGTAAGATTTGCACAGAATGCAATGTAAGTGGCTTGGACAGTGGCTTGTCCAAATTGCCCAAAGCAACATACTAAATCTCAGGCCTCAAAAGCATACAGGATTTGGAGCCTGGAGAAAATATACACAATCTTAAATGCAACTCAGGCTATTAGGTGAGTGCAGACCCATTCCATGTGATTTCCATCTTATATGAAGACACTTACTGAGGAACTGGTGCCTATACAGTGGTACCTCAGGTTACATACGCTTCAGGTTACATACGCTTCAGGTTACAGACTCTGCTAACCCAGAAATATTACCTCGGGTTAAGAACTTTGCTTCAGGATGAGAACAGAAATTGCACACTGGTGGCACAGCGGCAGCAGGAAGCCCTATTAGCTAAAGTGGTGCTTCAGGTTAAGAACAGTTTCAGGTTAAGAACAGACCTCCAGAACGAATTAAGTTCTTAACCCAAGGTACCACTGTACACACAATATTATTAATCCAATGACTGGATGCTTTGGTAGATGTGCTACTAGCCTCTTTACACAGTGCATTTTGCGTTACATTGCAGAAAGGGGACACCCAACAGAAGCTTGCACCGGTTTGGTCCACAAGGTTTGGAGGTCCCTGCAGTTACCTGCTTTGTTAATACTTTGTTAATTAAAATCAGTGCCCAGAGGAAATATATAGGGCACATGAGGTCAGGAGTACATAATCAGTAATTACCAAAGAAGCACCAGTCCAGATGTGGATCACACTGGGCACCACAGGAAGACTCAAGCATGTAAACTACTACAGAAAATAAACTCCCACTTCTTTCTGGGATCACTTGCCCTATGTGACCTGATAAAAATACTTCCTTAAATTGAAAGGATCAATTAAATTGGGAGTATGAAAGCAAGACATAATCACAGAGCATCTCTCAGGCTCAAGAAAGTCCAGATGTTGCTGGACTACAACTCTCATCACCAACTCTGTTGTCACAGGTGAGCCCCATCAGGCCTCCTCTCCCCTCAATGGCGCAGTCATTCCCTCAGGCTGCTTCAGTGGGAGATAAGCCCAGTTCCAACAAGCACCTCCTCCTACCACTGAACTATGTAGGCTGGTCATTATAGGAACAATTGCTTGAGAACTGGTACGGGAGGTTTCCACCCTGCTCTCTTTCCTCCCTATCCCCTTTTCCTTGTGTGCCATTAAAAAAAAAAAAGATTGTAAATCTGTGGGAGATGACTGCCTTGTTTTAACCAATAAGCCATTCTCAGAGCCATTTTGGCTGACGAGTGGGGTACAAATGATCTAAATAAACACAATAAATAAACACAATATGGCCCCATGTCACGCTATCTAGAATGGATGGTGCTTGGGATTCAAGCCTTCCCATACCCAATCTCAGGTTCCAATCCCAAATAAAATTTCTGGGAAATAAACACCTACCCATCAGATTGGGATATAAATATTACACCGCATTATCTCTCCCACTAAATAAAGACTCTCCCTAGGAGGCTAAGGCTTTGCATTTAGTCCCCTATGATGGATCTAGCAAAAGCTTTTAGCTGTCATAGACAAAGAGGATATGAACTGCACAAGGTGGGGACTGACATGAAAGAACTGCTGCTGTGATGGTTTTCTGTGAGCCTCCTGAAAACATCTTGGTAGCCAGCTGGCAAATGCTAGAAGAAGGTTGCTGGACTTAGATGCACCTTTGCCTGATGCAACAGATGGCCCTCTCCCCTCCCAGTCCCCATGCAAGTTTGAAGGACAGTCTTGTTACCTGTCATTGTGCTCATAAATATTGAGTCCAAGGGCATCAACTCCCAACCAAAGTTCTGAGCCCTTCTTGTTCTTAATACTGAAGTAGTTCACACCATACATCTCCAGATCTTGTGCAATTTTCAGATATTCCAAGATGGCATCTTCTCTAAAAGTACACAAGAGAATGGATTTTTAATACAATCTTCGCAAAGCTCGGCAGAGTTTAAAAGTAGTTCAAAACACAACACTTCTGACCTCCTGTAAATACAATGATGGGTTTTTCCAACCAAGCCTCAAAGCATATTTTTAAACTACGAAGAGGTAGCAAGTTGCCTATATTGACAGCATCCCTTCCAGAGGTTGTCACGCCCCACCCAGTCCCACTCAACACAGTCTCAAGGGTTACAAGTGATGGATTTTGTAATCATCATCAGGAGGCGAAGGGAGAGCTACAGGTTAGCAATTCTTTGTCAAATCATTACTGCATTAATACTATTGCAATGCCCAAAGATCTACCAAAGCTATTATAAGGTTTTTCTATGGAAAAGGGGGCCAATATATTCCGGCAGCCTCCCAGGTCTTTGCTGCAAAAATATTAACACAACTGACATATGGCTCTCAGATCTGCAGCTTCTTAAACCTTGCTCCCTTAGAATAATTCCAAACTAAGTTCTATCACTGCCTGTTAGGGATCCCTTCTTGTGTGTCTAAACATAGCTGTCCGCCTGGAGGTCTGGCAAATCCCTGTTAGCGCTCGGATATGGATATGAAGATCCATTATTGGTTAAAACTTATCTTTTTCCCTGTTGGGTTGGCACCCTTAACCCTACTGGATTCCTACCAATCCAAATGGAAAGCTACACTGCATGAAAAGCTAAGAGGCTTGGGGTTTTCCCCACAGACCCTGATAGTTGTAGGTTATGAGAAAGCTAGAGCAATAATCCGCCAACGAATTTGGGATGTGGAACTGCAATGCCACGTGAGCAGGATGAATAAACACCCAGCAATAAAAGATAATGGGAGAGGATTTACCCCAGCCAATTATTTGTCAAAATTACAAATACCTAAATACAGGCAGTCATTTACCCTTGCTAGATTCAACGTGCTGCCATCTGCCTTATTGCAGGGCAGATTCAAGGGTAAACCATACGCGGAATGAGTCTGCCCCTGTGGCTTGATGGAGGTAGAAACTGTCTCTCATGCCTTGTTACGCTGCAGTTTCTACAGGGATATACACTCGGTATTTATTACCCCTGCTATGCAAAAATCTTCAAATGAATCCAAACTTCAATGTCTAAAATCCCTGGTAGATGACAAGGATCCTGAGATTACGTTAAGGGTAGCCAAATTCTGTGTGATTGCCATAAAACTTAGGGAACAAGCTGTGCTATCATAATGATTAAGGCCTTAAATGATAATTTTAGGTTATATGTTAGTGACTAAGTTTTAATTTTATTTTTTTTAACTGTTGCTATATCTGTATTATCCCTGTTATATCTGTATTGTCCCTGTTAATATCCCTGCATTGTCCCTGTATCATCCCTAATTGCAAATTCAAATGTATCCCTATTGTGTTTTATGACTTCCTTGATATTGTATGTGGGCTGGAACTGGTCTGTGACCGAAATAATAAAATTCATTCATTACTGCATTGACTTGTGTGACGCACTTTGAATATTTAAAGATGAAGCTATATTATGAACAAAAGATGCTCTTATACAACACAAACCAAGTATTACTATAATTTCAGCCTTACCTGAGCATTCCTCGATGTTCTTCATGCCACACCTGGATCCTTTCCTCCCACTGATCCTTGTTAAGTTTGTGCTGCTCCAAAACCCTAGGAAGCAAAGAACAGCAAAGCACATCAGGAGATAAGCAGCTTCCATACATGTAAAACTGTGGCAAAGGAAGCTTTATTTTTCAAACTTCCTCTATCTGTACAGAGGAAAATGTAGTCCCCTAAGCGCAATCAGTGGTCTGAGTATTGTTCTCTGGTGCTTCTACCTAATACAAAGGTGGGGAACTGGATACAGGCAGTTGGCCAGATCCTTATCTCCCCTAGGAGATATGGGCCAAATTGCACATGTCGGTGGGGCCTGATCATCTGTCAATCAGGTGAGAGCCCCACATTTGGAATATTGTGTACATGTACACTTTTGGTCTCCTCATCTCAAAAAGGATAAAGCAGAGTAGGAAAGGGCTCAGAATAGGGCAACTAAAATGATCAAGGGGATGGAGTGACTCCCCTTCGAAGAAATGTTGCAATGTCTGGGACAGTTCAGAGAAAAGGCAAGTAAGAGGCGACATGACACATGTTTATAAAAGTATGCATGACATGGAGAAAGTGGAGAGAAAACTCACAGACATCCAATGAAGATGAATGTTGGAAGATGCAGTACAGGTAAAAGAAAAGGCTTCTCTTCAAGCAGTACAGAGAAACTATGGAACACACTCCCACAGGAGGCAGTAATGACCACCAATCTAGATGGCTTTAAAAGAGGACTGGGCAAATTAATGGATAGGAATAAGGTTATTGAGGACTACTAGCCATGATAGCTATGCTCTGCCTTCATAGTTGGAGGCAGTGATGCTTCTGAATCCCGGCTGCTGGAAACCACAGGAGAGAAGAGTGTGGCTGTTGTGCTTGAATGTGGCAACGCCACAGTGCTGCTATTCCAAGGGAGTCCGAAGTCAGTGCTGACAGGCAGTTTTGTGAGCAAGCAAGGCGAGTCCTTCTCTTGAACCTCCCATGCCTGCTCAATGATTGGATGGAGAGGGAGTGCTTGTTCAACCTTGCAGGAAGCTTTGGAGTATGAATGAGAAGGTGCTAAGCTATCTTTTTCTGCTGCTTCTATATTTCCCAGTCTCTCTTGTTTTTTGCCAGCAAGGCTTGGAAAGAGAATTCTACCCAAGCAGGAAATACAAGACCCCTGATTTTCCTTAGCTCTGCCACACTGCAGCACAAATTAGAGAAACCCAGACTCTAGGGAAGAGGGGAGAGTGGGGAATTCTTAGCAATGACTGAGAAAGGCCCAGCTAGTACACTAGTGTTTGCCTCCATTGTAGGAGGTGGCGTGCCTCTGAATATGTTGTTAAGGAACATGAGCAGAAGAAGTTGCTGTTGTGTCTTGCTTGTGTGCTTCCTAGCAACATCTGGTGACTGTGGTAAACAGTACACTGGTTGAAATGGGCCTTTGGACTGATCCAGCAGGACTCTTCTTATGCCCCCCTGGATTTAAGAACTTAAGAGGAGCCTGCTGGATCAGGCCCTATAGTCCAGTGGCCAACCAGATGCCCCCAAGGGAAAGCAGGACCTAAGCACAAGTACCACACCCTCCCCTCCTGTGGTTTCTAGCACCTGGTATTCAGAAGCATTGCTGCCTAGAACTGAAGGAAGAGCATAAAAAATGTGGCTAACAGCCATCTGTAGCCCTCTCCTTCATTTAAATGAGAATTTTCTGTTTCCACACAAATAGAAATGTGACTACAGAAGGCAATTATGTGTAACAACATGAATGAGGCATAGACCGAAGATAGACAGATAGGTCTATCCCCAGCTGGAGCAACTTACGAACATCTTGTGGGGAGCAGACAGGACTGAGTCACTCTTAGGCTAGCAGCTGATTGTCTTTACACTGAGATCACCAGTCACTTATGGAAGTTAACACACTGCACCTTTTTTTACTGCCATTTAGATCCACTGGAAGAATATGAGTGGTGAAAGTCACAAGGAAGTAGTACACTTCCGATAAGGCTAGAAGCATGTGTCAAATCTGACCTACCTTAGAGGAAGCAGTTTGTCGCCAGTAAGGTAACCAGGGTTGTGCACCTCCTTGTTAAAGTCACCATATTTGGACTGGACAGCATAGGAAGCCAGCAGGACGGCAGTTTCTGGGGGACAGTAGATGTCATCGTTCAGGATGCCCTCCTTCACTTGGAGGAAGAACAGGCGCTGGGTTATATCCTGGATCAGCTCCTCTGCCACATCCTCTGGGTAGAATTTGGCACGGAATTTGAAAAGCAGCGGGCTCTCTTTGCGGACATCCTGTGCTGTTACCTGCAGCGAATTGGTAACAAGGTCTAGATCAGTGGTTCCCAAACCTTTTCAGGCCACACAAATACACACGGGCCATAGACTCAAGCCCAGTGCCCACCCCATAAAAAGTGTTATTCAGAATAGTGGTTTAAATAAGACGGTAGCACGTTTCAAAACAGTAATGATTCACTGCACATTAATCAGAATCCATCAAAACTGTTTAGTTTAATTAATTCAACAAAATTGATTAACTTGATCCGGCAACACTAGTTTTCAGAGTCTGGTAGTAATTTAGCAATAGTCTTAGACACCAGATTTAGTAACTACTTAACTGTTCAGCAAATTCTTAATGCATTGGGTGATAACAGTTTCCCAAATGTCTGAATTAAAGTTACTTAGCAGGAGTCTTATATCATCAACTCCAGTGCCCCCTAGATAATCCTACCTCCCCCTGGGGGCGATACTGTTCCCTATGAGAACATTTGTAGAATGACACTTTCATCCAACTATTGTACATTCAATGAACGACCACTTTTGTGATGGCTCTGTACAGCTGTTGTTATTGTAGATATTACTTTTTCTTTTCTCCTTTTTTATATCTACAGTGGTGCCTCGCAAGACGAAATTAATCCGTTCCGCGAGAGTCTTCGTCTAGCGGTTTTTTCGTCTTGCGAAGCAACCCTATTAGCGGCTTAACGGATTAGCGCTATTAGCGGTTTAGCGGCTATTAAAGGCTTAAAGGCTTAGGGGATTAGCTGCTAAAAGGCTATTAAGGCTATTAAAGGCTTAGCAGATTAGATAAAGGGGGGGAAAAGCGAAAAAAAAATCTCAAGACTCGCAAGACATTTTCGTCTTGCGAAGCAAGCCCATAGGGGAATTCGTCCTGCGAAGCAACTCCAAAACGGAAAACCCTTTCGTCTAGCAGTTTTTCCGTCTTGCGAGGCATTCGTCTTGCGGGGCACCACTGTACTGTATTTTCCGCCCCATAGGGCGCACAGGCCCATAGGGTGCACCTAGTTTTTTGGGGGGGAAATAAAGAAAAAAAATTATTTTCCCCCCAGGCGTGGGGCTGGGGCGGGGGAAGCTCTAGCTTCCCCAGCCCCCAGAACAGGCTGCTCTCCACAAGCCGTGGGAGGGCTCCCGTGGCTTGCAGAGAGCTACCTGAAGCCCGGGCGCGACTGCTCAGCGTGCCTGGGCTTCGGGAAAAGAGGCAGCTCTGTGCAAGCCGTGGGAGGGCTCCTGCGGCTTGCGCAGAGCTACCCGAAGCCCGGGTGCAACTGCTCAGCGAGCCTGGGCTTCGGGGTGCAGGCAGCTCTCCGCAATCCGTGGGAGCCCAGCGGGAAGTCCTGCGGGCTCCCAAGGCTTGCGGATAGCTTCCTGAAGCCTGGAGAGCGCTCTCTAGGTTTCAGCGAAAGCCTGCATTCGCCCCATAGGACGCACACACACTTCCCCTTCATTTTTGGAGGGGGAAAAGTGCATCCTATAGGGCAAAAAATACAGTAATTCACTTGTAACTGAAAATCATCAAAAACATGTTTTTTACAAATAGAACATACCCAGACCTTTTCTTCCTAATAAAGTCAGAGTTCAGGAGTACCTATTTATCCTGAGACTGCAACTCCTGTTAAGTTAAGGCAGCAATTTCTTGGTGCAACCTGATTTTTTAAAAAAAAAAAAAATTGCTGGGGTTTCTCCTACTGCTCTGGAGAAACACTAAAAAAAGAAAAATAAAGAAACTGCTGCTTCTCAAAAAAGTGGGACCCTGTCTTTTTGTGGGTGAGGCAGCAAGCAAACTGGTATGTCTATAATTATATTTATTTATATCTTCCCTTTCCTCTGACTGGGATTCAAGGCAGCTAACACGAATTAAAATGACTCAGATAAAATACAGAAAGCTTAGCTACATAGATGATAGATAGATAGATAGATAGATAGATAGATAGATAGATAACGACAGTTTAAAAAGTCATTAAGCTCTAATATAATTAAAACAATATAAAAAAGAAATCTATTAAAATGCAGACAATAAAACAAAGGATGACATACGCCCACATCAGTAATTACCTTTTTGTTGAGTTTCAGCCATGTAGAGAAGCCCTTGGTATCCTGGTACTGGAGTCCAAAAAACCAAACCTCTCTCAGACCTATTGTTTTCACAACCTGTTTGGGAAAACCAAAGAGAAAGGTACTTTTTAAGCAAAAGTTACAGGTGGTTGTATTTGAGCTCAAATGTGGCCTAGGAAAGGTGTTACATATCTCCAGGAACACCCAGTGGCATAAAAACAGGGGAAAGTTCAACAAAGGAAAGAAAGAAAGAAAGTGCTTACCAGTGAAACACCACATTAAGATCCAGGGGTGAAGATTTTAAAAGCAAAAACAAACATTTTAACTTTTGCTTCCCCCCTCGCTCCATAAGCTCATCCCCAGCGCCCCCTACCCTGTAAGAAACATTATTCAGAATAGCGGCTTGCACAAACCATTAACAACACAATAAAATTCAAAATACTAACAATGAATTGCACATTTATTTAAAATCCAATTTAAACTGTTTAGTTTAACTGATTCAACAAAACTTATGAACTTGATCCAGTGATTCCAGCTCTTCAAAGTCTGGCAGACAAATATTGGGGGGACGAGGGAAAAGACACGAAAGACTTATAAAATGCTGCTGTCTTAAAGCACAAAACTCTAACTGCATTAAGAAAGGCACACATAATCATTCAAGTTATGGTGTGTTTATGGATGCTAACAGCCTGTTTTCTTCTTAGGAGTAAGGCACATTAGATCTAACAGCATTGAGGCCAAGAATTCATAGGACTGCAAGAAAACCAAGAAAAATGCAGCTGCCTCGTCAGCTTGAATGTCTAGGGCCTGTTTTTCAACTGATGATGTTATGAGGCCCTAAAATCCTCTTGTAAGAAGCAAACCTCGGGGGGGGGGGGGAGGGACACACCTTCTGTTATATTTTACACTATCCAATATGGTCTAGTTTTTTTAGCTGTTCTTATACCAAGACTTTTACTTACTAATTACATTTCTAGCCCTACTTATTTCCTCCAAGGAACTCAAGGTGGTGTACATGGTTGTCTTTCTCCCCATTTTATCCTCACAAACAACCCTGTGAGGTAGCCCGGCTGCCCCATGTTTTTTGGGGGGCGGGGCGGGTATCATACACTGGCTCAGAGCAACAAAATAAGCCTCCCTAACTGCACCCCGTCTCAACAGCCCACACAGATTACACAGCCTTTTTCCCAAGGCAAATGGATGACTCTGGGCCTACCTCACAGCCTTGTTATGGGGAGTAAGTGGGGGGGGGGGCCATCTATGCCACCTTGAGTTTCTTGAAGGAAGAGGTGGGACAGAATCAAAATAGGGAATTCAGCCCTCTCATACGTTTGAGGGATTGGCAGGCCTGATTTATAGGAGTGTGGGAGAGGAGCAGGCAGAACTCGTATGGACCTGTCAAACTAGTTCCTCAAAACCACCTTTCACATGGATAGTGATCGCTACAATGGTGTAGTGAATTCTGAAGTGTAACTGTTCTTCATGACAACCCCCACAGAATTTAAAGGGACCCCATGGCTCATCTAGTCCAACCCCCTTGCAGTGCAGGAATCACAACTAAAGAGAAATGCATTTTTTTACCAACGTATGCATTATAGCTGCAGAACCAAGGCAGTTTTCTTTTCTCACACCCTTGATTAGCATCCCACCTGATGGAAGAGTTCTGGTGGACTCAAAAGCTTGCTGGTTTATTTTGGGTCACATTTTGGCTAAAGAGACACCAGAATCTTTCCCTCAGCTGTGCAGGCTCATATAACCGCCACTTTCTTCTGCCTAAGATAATTTTGTGGGTTCCTGTCTGATAAAAAGCTTGCTTATTTAAGCCACTTTGGTGCAGTCATTAAGACTGCTGAGCTATGACCTGTGGATGATTAGGGTTCAAATTCCCACTTAGCCATGAAGTGACCCGTGGTCACAAGTCACTGCCTCTCAGCCTAACCTACCTCGCAGGCTTGTTGTAGGGATAAAATGAGGACTAGGACCTGGGAGGAACCAGGGTTCAAATCCCCACTTGGTCATGAAGCTTCCTGGTTGTGAAGCTGCCTCTCTCAGTCTAGTCTACCTCACAAGGTTGCTGTGAAGATAAAATGGGAAGGAGGAGAAGTATGCATGCCACCTTTAGCTCTCTGGAGGAAAGACGGGATATGAATATATTACAAATAAAGACTTGCAAACAGCACTGCAGGATATGACAGTCATCTTCCCTGCTGTAAAATAAGGGGTAGTGTTAAAAGTGCCGGGTGTCAAAAGCGGGCTCCCCGCTCCCCGGCAAGATCTGAGAGCGAGGGGGTCAGAGCTGCAACGCAAGGATAGAACGCTTTCTTTGATGGTACAAAGCTGCGAGACTGTGAGGCATTAGCGGTCAATTCTTCCAACGCTAAAATCACTTAAGAACTGTACCGTGAGTACTTTTTACATTTGGATTAAAATTTGGAACAATTAGGAGATGGGTAAAGGAATTTAAAAACGACAACACACATAGTAGCAGCAAAGATCTGGTAGCCGTTGTAACTCTCATAGGCTATGCTTGAGTTTATTTAGTTATTATTATCTATTGCATTTATATCCCACCTTTCCTCCAAGGAGCACACTTCTCTCCCTCCATTTTATCCTCACAAAAACCCTGTGAGGTGAGTTAATCTGAGAGCAAATGACTGGCCCAAGGTTACCCAGTGAGCTTCATGGTGAAGTGGGGATTTGAACCCTGGTCTCCCATGTCCTAGCCAAGCATTCTTAGCCATTACACTGTACAGGCTCCCCTCTCTCTTTTGAGGTGCATCACCCACGCAGCGCCCTCACCACTCCCCTTGCTGTGGCAGTGCAAGGCAGGCTTTAAAAACGTTTATTTGGTTTCAGAATGAGACAGGTTTAACAGTGGTTAAGAAAGTGAAATACCTAAGGATTAACATGACAGCTAAAAATGGGAATTTATTTAAAGACAATTATGAAAAATTCTGAAGTGAAAAAAGATTTAGAAATTTGGTCAAATTTGAAGCTTTCACTGCTAGGCCGTATTGCTGCGATAAAAATGATTTTGCCTAGAATGTTGTTTCTGTTTCAAACATTGCAAATTTTGGACAAAATGGATTGTTTCAAGAAGTGGCAGAGAGATATCTCTAGATTTGTCTGGCACGGCAAGAAGCCTAGAATAAAATTTAAAATACTAACGGATGCAAAGGAAAGAGGTGGATTTGCCCTGCCAGACCTTAAACTTTATTATGAATCAGCAGCTTTTTGCTGGCTGAAAGAATGGCTGCTTCTTGAAAACACAGACATTTTGGACCTAGAAGGTTTTAATAATGTATTTGGATGGCATGCATATTTGTGGTATGATAAGGTCAAAGCACATAAAGCATTTAAAAATCATATTGTCAGGAAAGCATTGTTTAATGTCTGGATAAGATATAAGGATCTATTGGAAAATAAAACCCCAAGGTGGCTGTCACCGATGGAAGCGAAAGCTCAGAAAAAGCTCAATATGGAGGCCAAATGGCCGAAATATTGGGAAATTCTGGAACAAGAGGGAGATAGATTGAAACTGCAGAGTTTTGAGAAACTAAAAAACAAAGTGCGAGATTGGCTTCATTATTATCAGATAATGGAGACATACAATTTGGACAAGAAAATTGGCTTCCAGGTGGAGAAATCAAAATTAGAAACAGAACTGTTAGAACCCAAAACTAAGATTTTGTCAAAGATGTATAACTTGCTGTTGAAATGGAATACTCAGGATGAAACGGTGAAATCTGCTATGATTAAATGGGCACAAGATGTTGGACATAACATAATGATGGCTGACTGGGAACAGTTATGGACCACAGGTATGAAGTTTATGGCATGTAATGCCTTAAGAGAGAATATTATGAAAATGATATACAGGTGGTACATGACACCAGTCAAGCTTGCAAAAATCTATCATTTGCCCGATAATAAATGTTGGAAATGTAAAGAAACTGAAGGTACATTCTTCCACCTTTGGTGGACGTGCCCAAGGATTAAGGCTTTCTGGGAGATGATCTATAATGAAATGAAAAAAGGTATTTAAATATACCTTCTTGAAGAAACCAGAGGCCTTTCTCCTGGGCATAGTTGGTCAATTGGTGCCAAAGAAGGATAGAACGTTCTTTATGTATGCCACAACAGCAGCAAGAATACTTATTGCAAAGTATTGGAATACACAAGATCTACCCACCCTGGAAGAATGGCAGATGAAGGTGATGGACTATATGGAACTGGCGGAAATGACTGGCAGAATCCGAGACCAGGGAGAAGAGTCGGTGGAAGAAGATTGGAAGAAATTTAAAGACTATTTACAGAAATACTGCAAAATTAATGAATGTTAGAATGATGTCAGAATGAAGTTAAGTGGTTTTAGCAGCAATGTTATAAAGGTGTATGTAAAATGGATTGTTAACAGGTGAGAATCCAAAGTTATAATATATTAAGTTAAAGGATTAAGACAAAAACAAAGAGGGAAAGGAATTGCTGAATTAACTAATTGAACTGGAATACAAAAAAGGGAGGTGAGAGGAGGTCAGGGAAGCAAGGAAATGAAATGTAAGGTATGGAAAGATTGATTTGTTTTTAAGTGTTTTTTTATCTTTTTTCTGTATTTTGTATTTTGTATTTTTTCTCTCTTTTTTCTTTTTTTTTCTTTTCTTTTTATCTATGTAATCTTTTTGAAACCTTAATAAATATCATTAAAAAAACAACAACATTTATTTGGGTGATGTGAAGTGGTGTCCGTTTGCTAGTTCTGTTTTGGAACACCCAGCTATGATTACACAGAAGCTTCGTAGTGAACCACTGCTGTGGTGAGGGCACAGCATTATATTTTATATAGTTTTAAAATCGCTTTTTAAGTGTTGCAAGTCGCTGTAGGAAGATTTTATTTTGAACAACAGCTAAGAAATAATTAAAATAAATTATGGCTAGAGAAAAGCTAAGGAGTGTCGTCTTGGCATGCCGGCCCATTTTTTCCAGGATCACCTGGCAAAGTGAAAATGGAAAATCTAGCATCACCTCTCATTAATATCAATGGTTATTGCCTTGAGTAGCCCAGAATGTTCTACATACCACAATTTTCAAGAGGACCAGGGGTGACCTGCATTTCTTAAACTACCCTTATACTGCCAAGTATGACCTTCAGATCCTATTGGTAGGGCAGATTTCAAAAATAGTATTTCCAGAAGAACGACTGTTTCCACACCAAAAGGCATTTTACACAGACACAGTTTTAGTTATAGATTAATTGGTCTTGGAGCTGGTGATACAATCACTCAGACACACCCACACAGTTAATAAAGAACATAGGATATGCTCCCTTTCAGAAAAAAACAAAAAAACAAAAAAACAAAAAAAAACCACAAGTTCTTGGCAGCACATGTTCAAGGCACATGGGGCCACCACTTTGCTAAAGCTAAGCAAGTTTTGGGTCTGGTCAGTGCCTGAATGGGAGACCATCTTCATGTGTGCCACTCTGGATTCCATGACAGATAAAAGAAAGCGGGGTAATAAAAATAAATGAATAAATGAATGAATGCGCATTTGTGTGAGCTATTTGCTACAGCATTGCTTTCACATACTCCCCATTTTAGCACAAGACACATCAATATAAAAAACCCTCCCATCCCACCATATCAGTGTGTTCCCTTAATTTTTGCTAGGCCTGACTGAAAGGACCATAGGGACCATCTTGAGAAATCAGGAATTCTGTGATACCAAGTTGGGAGGGTCAAAGCTACCTTCTCACTTGAGAGGGATAGTTAACCCCCCCCCCCTGCAAAAAACAAAAACAACCCTCAAGAAAACAAACAGCAATCACTCTAAAGAAAACATTGCACCTAGCTGCCCAAGGTGAAAGCAAACCACTCTCCTAAAAAGAAAAGAAAATCCCTCAAAACCTAGATTGGACTATTCCCCTCCAGGTCATTTTACATCCCTGACCATTGATTGCCTTCAGTAAAATTCAAATGCCATGTAATTGTTTCATTCATAGGGAAGAATGGAATTCCAAAGCAGTGACTGACTGGAACTTGGCCTATCTCTAAGGTGCTAATTAAGCAAGCCAAGTCTCAAAATAGACATTAGTCATACAATATCCAAAAGTTGGGCTCCTGCCTCAGTTGGGGAATTTCCATTATCTTCAGGTTCACACACATGCAATAACAAAAACTGCTCCATTTTTATCTCACCCTTCCTCTAAAAGGGCAACATAGGGTTGCTTCGGTTTGTCCTCATAGTCCTGTCAAATAAGGTTGTAGCAGTGGTAACCATCATGGTGCTTGAGAGACAGCATTTTCTTTTGCACTGCCCCTGGTATCAGACAATTTGATCTAAATTTACTAATCCTTCGATTGTTAGTAGTGAGTGGCATTCAGACGCTGTTATTCAGAATGCACCACCCACTAAGGAAAATAACAACACAATAAAATTCAAATCAAATAACAATAAATTGCACATTCATTCACAATCCAGTTGAAAATATTGAGTTTATTTAAGTCAACAAAACTGATTAGCTTAATCCTACCGCTCCTTTACCACCCACTTTGGGAACCGCTGATCTAAAGCCTACTACTTATAGCTGAACATGCCAAACCATGGCTTTTTAATCTCCAGTGTAGATTGGCCCTTAGAACCAACAGAACAGTTAAAATGATTGCAGCTGCCACAGGGTGAGGAACAGCACAATTTCTGCAATTTGAGCTTTACTGTACTTTATTGAACCAGTCACAGTACTAATGATAAGGAACATTTTCTCAAGAGCACAGGAAGGCAATCAGGAATCAAGTTGGTGTGGTGGTGGAAATGGAATTATTTCCATGACGTACTTACTAGGAATAATGCATAACTGGACTAGGGTATTACTCTTGGACCAAAGTAGAATTCAGAGCACCAACCATCATAGGGCACCTGGTGCCACCTGCCAGCCCTGCCCTGTTGAACAAAGTTCCACTGGTGGCAACAGAAGCACTGCCGGCAAAGACCAGGTAAGGCGGCAGGTGGGGGGTGGCGCTCTGCAAGTACCGGTATGCTGCATCAGCTTAGGCTCAATGACAGCTGCAGTCCTTGTTTCAGATTTAACCTGCTTGGCACTATGAGGCTGCTGCCCCAGGTAGAGGCTCGATCCTCTTGCAGGCTTCCTTAGAAGATCATCTGGTGGGGCTGAAGAGGACTTCACCCTAAGCAAGTGTCCCAACTAAATCTGGATATCTTTAGTCCGATATTATTTAGCTGTGATTCCTGCATTGTAAGGGATTGGGCTAGATGAGCTGTGGTGTCCCTTCCAACGCTATAATTCTATGACCTTCCTCTCTCAATCCACACTTGGGACCTTTAATGAAACTCCTCACAAGTCTGCAGTGCATCATTCTGTGGTTCGTTCTACATTTCTGACTTGTGGGGGAGGTCATTCGAAACAGACACAGAAGGAAAAAAGGCTTCTGGCATTCGGGATGAAAGAAAATGCCCACCACTGCGTCAGCATAATGGTTGGAGGGTGACTGTTATGTGAGGTGGGAGGAAAATGGCCTGATCCAAAGGGCTAAAATGACACGCTGTTCTCAAGGCAGTCTTTCCATCTAGATGGGGGCAGCCACATTCACACCTACAGGCCTCTGTTTCAGTTTCCCTGCTGAAAGGCTAACAGCGGTTCAGGAGGCTGTGTTGCTTCAGGAGAAGCCATAAGAGCCCCCACCCCAGCACAGTAGGGCAGTTTTATTCCATATAGCCATACAAATTCAACATTTCTAGAAGCCAGAAGCAGCCTCACATTAGAGGAGGAAAGGAAGGTGACTGAGGCCATCTCCAACGGGAAGATTGTGGGTGCCAATAAGAGAAGCAGAAGGAGAGAGATCAACAGAGCTGGCCCATGGAGAAGTAAGAAGAAGAAGAATTTTATTATTTTTATCCCGCCCATCTGATTGAGTTGCCCCAGCCCCTCTGGGCAGCTTCCAGCATATACAGAAATGTAATAAAACATTAAAAACTTCACTATACAAGGATGCCTTCAGATGTCTTCTAAAGGTTGTATCTCCTTGACATCTGATGGGAGAGCAGTCCACAGGGCAGCTGCGACTACTGAGACGGCCCTCTGCCTGGTTCCCTGTAACCTCACTTCTCGCGATCAGGGAACCACCAGAAAACTATTGGAGCTAGACCTCAGTGTCTGGGCTGAATGACGGGGGGTAGAAGCGCTTCTTCGGGTATTTTTAGAGCAGCAACATCCACACTTTGGAACTTCCTGCCTGTTGACATCAGGCGTTTCTTCACCATTCTTTTTGGCACCTGCCAAAAACATTTCTGTTCAGGCATGCCTATCCAGATACACAGAATGTTGACAAGCACTTTTAATCTGGTTTTTAGCTTATCATAGATTATGTTCTGAAGGTTTGAATTTTATTTTATTTTTAGCTTTTTTTAACTCTTGCTTTATTCTTTTGGTAAACCACACTGAGTTTTGAGGGGTTTTTTGGTCAAGTAGTATATAAATTTCATGAATAAGTAAGAATGAACTCAGTGTACTCACTTACCTAACTACACTGCTTTGTTTTGTTTTTTAAAGTTATGTCACCATGAATTAACCTGAGCTTGGAAGGGGTGAGAAGGAGTTGTAACAGGCACAGTCTGGGACAGAACTTCTCTATAAAATTGCCTAGTCTTAGCAAAGATGAAGAAATATCTTGTAACATGTGTGTGTGCGCGCACGCGCTTGCCTATATCAACACACACAGGTACAGGCCTGTCCTTTATATCCACCTTAGGGCTACCATCTTGAATTTGAGGCAATCTGCAGCCATGCAAGGTTGCAAAACTCAAGAGGAAACATAAGCTGTTTCAAAGCAAGGAAAACCTTGTGTCATAATTTCAGTTTCCATCTGCTGCTGTTTCTCATTAACATATTCCCACAGATAATAATAATAATAATAATAATAATAATAATAATAATAATAATAATAAATTTTATTTATATCCCGCCCTCCCTAGCCGAAGCCGGGCTCAGGGCGGCTAACAACAATAAAACAGTACAAAAGTACAGCATAAACAACAGTCTAAAATCATTCGTTATAAAATTAATTAATTCAAGCCACTGGCAACCATTGGGCCAGAGCTCCGCGAAGATTGCCGAGGGAGGGAGTCAGGCTGTGCCCTGGCCAAAGGCCTGGTGGAACAGCTCTGTCTTGCAGGCCCTGCGGAAAGATGTCAAGTCCCGCAGGGCCCTGGTCTCTTGTGACAGAGTGTTCCACCAGATCGGAGCCACAGCCGAAAAGCCCTGGCTCTAGTTGAGGCCAGCCTAACTTCTCTGGGGCCTGGGACCTTCAAGATGTTTTTATTCGAAGACCGTAAGTTTCTCTGTGGGGCATACCAGGAGAGGCGGTCCCGTAGGTACGAGGGTCCTAGGCCGTATAGGGCTTTAAAGGTTAAAACCAGCACCTTAAACCTGATCCTGTACTCCACCGGGAGCCAGTGCAGCTGGTATAGCACCGGGTGAATGTGATCTCGCAGCGAAGACCTCATAAGGAGTCTCGCTGCAGCATTCTGCACCCGCTGGAGTTTCTGGGTCAGTCTCAGGGGCAGCCCCACGTAGAGCGAGTTACAATAATCCAGTCTGGAGGTGACCGTCGCATGGATCACAGTGGCTAGGTCAGGGCGAGAGAGGTAAGGAGCCAACTGCTTAGCTTGGCGGAGATGGAAAAATGCCGCCTTTGTTATAGCTGCAATCTGCGCCTCCATGGAAAGGGAGGTGTCGAAGATTACACCCAAACTCTTAACGGACGGTGCTGGCACTAATTGCGCCCCCCGCAAGAGATGGGAGTTGCCCCCCCCAATCCCATATCGCCCCGTCCCAGCCACAGGACCTCTGTCTTCGAAGGATTTAGCTTCAACCGGCTCCCACGAAACCATCCAGCCACAGCTTCCAAACATCTAGTCAGTGTGTCTGGGGCCGAGTCAGGATGGCCATCCATCAACAGATAGAGTTGGGTGTCATCGGCATACTGATGGCAACCCAGCCCAAAACTCCGAACAAGCTGGGCGGGGGGCGCATAAAGATGTTGAAAAGCATCGGGGAGAGTATCGCACCCTGAGGTACTCCACACACCAAGGAGTGGCGCGATGACAATTCCCCCCCAAGCGCCACCCTCTGTCCCCGACCAGAGAGAAACGAGCGCAGCCATTGAAGGACTGTGCCCTGGATCCCCACGTCAGCAAGGCGGTGGTCTAGAAGTTCGTGATCGACCATGTCGAAAGCTGCTGACAGATCTAGAAGAATCAGCAGCCCTGACCCGCCTCGATCCAGCTGTCTACGAAGATCATCTGTTAGGGCAACCAGAGCCGTCTCGGTCCCATGACCAGTGCGGAAGCCGGACTGGAATGGATCCAGAGCCGATGTTTCATCCAGAAAACCACCAAGCTGTTCAGCAACCGCTCTCTCAATCACCTTACCCAGGAACGGAAGATTCGAAACCGGGCGGTAATTGGATAGATCTAAAGGATCTAATGATGTTTTCTTTAAGAGCGGGCGCACCACTGCCTCCTTCAGTTCCCCTGGGAATGTCCCCGTGCCAAGGGACAAATTGATGATATCCCCCAGGAGGGCCCGCACCTCGTCTGGACACAGATGTTAAGAAAACTGCTCAGCTTGTGCTAGCAAAAACTTTTAGGAAATTACAAACACTTGCATTGTTAGTCTGATCCTCTCATACCTCCAAAGGATAGGTAAAACCTTAAGGTGAAACCTACCACTATCTGAGGGGCAAAGCTGGCTAATTAACATCTAATCTCCACAATTTTACACTACAAACCAGATACAACCAACATTCGTCCACTTCACAGAAGCTCCTGCAAGAGCCACAGAAGGAAATATTTCAGGATAAAATTATGGAAGGGGCTGGAAGCTGGAAAGGTCCGGGAGACGACGTCATTCAGAGGAAGCATTTAGTCACCAGTTTCCTCTGAGTTCTGGAGACTGGCCAGAGGGAGTCTCCTAGCTGCCCATGTATTTGCAGCATGGAGAAGGGATGCTCAGGCCACAAATGGGTTGGGTTCAAAAAATAAAGGAGAAGAAGAGCCTTGAGGTCCAAACCAACTGACAGAGCACTTGGAAGTGCACACACAATTTTGGCTGAAGAGCTGCTCCTTCCTGCCAGGCAGATGAGGAGAGAAAGGCCCACTGCAAGCTAAACAGCAGTGCAGTTTCATGGGACACGTCTCAAGCTCAGGACTTCCCCTCAAAGCTGCTGCCTCATTTCCTGCCCAGAGGGTGGGGCTGGGCCAGCTATGACAGGGGCTCCTGCACAGCTCCCTCCTTACCAGGCCTCATTGCATTGCTCTGTGTGAGCGAGTTACGTTTCCAGATGGGACTGACAAGATTCAAATAAAAGGGAGCAGCAATCGAGCATGACTGGGCAGGAGAGGGACTGCCTGCCTAGGTTTCCAAAACTGCCATAAGAAGCGGGATAAAGATAAGGCTGCTGAGACAGCAGTGCTTAGTTAAACTATGGAACTCACTCCCTCAGGAAGCAGGGACGACCACCAACCTAGATATAGCTTTAAAAGAGGATTAGACAAATTCATGGAGGAGAGGGCTCTCAGTGGCTGTGCTCTGCCCACAATCAGAGGCCTACCTTTTCTCTATAAAGATAGCATATAAAACACATGATTCTGGTCCCTGCACTAGGAAAATATTGCAGCCCTTCAAGAATACAGAACTCATCCTGGAGTTATCTTTGAGGAGAGAAGACATATACAGTGGTACCTCAGTTTACGAACTTAATCTATTCTAGAAGTCCGTTCTTAAACTGAATCCGTTCTTAAACCGAGGCGTGCTTTCCCTAATGAGGCCTCCTGCCGCTGGAGCCCTTCCACCTTTCAGATTCCGTTCTTAGACCAAGGTAAAGTTCAATAACCGGAACACTACTTCTGGTTTTGCGGAGTTCGTAAACCAAATCATTCGTAAACAGGACTGTTCTTAAACCCGAGGTACCACTGTAACCAGCTGCAATTCGAAAGCCATGTGAAACACATTGCCTTAAATTATCTCCATTAGAATAACGTGGCCTATTTAATTTTTAATGCAATTCTAGGGTTTCATTCACATACGCACACAGTTCACATAGATGTATAATTTGAGTACAGTGGTACCTTGGGTTACAGATGCTTCAGGTTACAAACGCTTCATGTTACACACTCCGCGAACCCAGAAATAGTACCTCGGGTTAAGAACTTTGCTTCAAGATGAGAACAGAAATTGTGCTCCGGCGGCGTGGCAGCAGCGGGAGGCCCCATTAGCTAAAGTGGTACCTCAGGTTAAGAACGGACCTCCGGATCGAATTAAGTTAAAACGTTCTGGAGGTCCGTTCTTAACCCGAAACCATTCTTAATCTGACATGCACTTTCGCTAATGGGCCCTCCCGCTGCTGCCACACCGCCGGCATACAACTTCCGCTTGCATCCCAGGGCAAAGTTCGCTACCAGGAGCACCTGCATCCGGGTTAGCGGTTCCACTGTATTTCACGCCGCAAAATAAGTCGTTTGCTTTGAAACACTCTTGTTAACTTATCACTTCCCTAAGGCCTTATCAGTCTGGAACAGAAACAAACCCACCACATGCATCAGCATTTCAAAATCACAAGCCAACTACAACTACGGTACTAATTCGGCATTTTATAAACACTTACAGGAGAATCTGGGCCAATGAATTTTAAGCAGAGTTACTGATTTGCAGAATGGCCATCAGCTGGCCCCCAAAGTAGCGGCCAGATTACTGGCAGCTAGAGTTGGTCTTTAAAGCAGATGCATTGGCTGCCAGTCCAATTCTGGGTGCAAAGCCTTAACCAAATCAGGTCCCAAATATCTGAAACACTGCTGCCTTTCCTACAAACCCTCCGAGTGTTAAGGCAGAAGGGAACCCTGTTGGCAGTTCTAACAACCTTTTGGGATGGTAGCAGCCCAGGAAAGGGCCTTCTCTGTGGCAGCCCCTAAGTTGTGGAACTCCCTCCTCACAAAGCTGCACCTGACACTTTTGCTATATAGCTTCTGGCAAATGCTTAAGACACACCTCTTTACTCTGGGATGTGGTTGTTTTCAAGGCCCACCCTACCTATTCCTGTGATTGCAATAAGTTTTAACTTTTTTTAAAAAAAAAAATTTGTTGTAAACCCTGCTAATGAAGGGTGGGCAATAAATTTAATGATGATCATCATCTTTCACCATCCCCATTATTTAGGGTACGAAGTGGCCGGCATGGTGGTGGCTTAAATAGCCTGATACAAAACCGGGGCGGGGGGGCAGAGTCTGTTATATTGCCTGGCAGCCACCATGCCTTTGTTTTGGGAGTTTGTGGCTACTAGCCACGTAATCTTACTTCAGTCCTCCATTATGCTAACAGCCCAATGCAACTGCGTCATTTGTAAAGTTGCAGAACTGAAAACAGGGCTCCCACAATGTTCTGTCGGGGAGAGAGAGAGAGAGAATGAGAGAGAGAGAGAGAGAGAGAGAGAGAGAGAGAGAGAGAGAAGAGTCTCTTAGCCAAGCTGTTTTTATTTTTCTTCTACCACAGGGCAGGCTGGGCAAGCCAGAACATTCAGTCAGGCAGCAAAAATAAAGTATGGAACAATCGGTTTTATTTCCCATTGTGGACAGAGCTGAATGGGTTATTTCCTTTGCAAATCAACTTCCTCCCGTTGCAATTGTCCAGAGACAGTTGCCGAGTTCCAGGGCAATGATTTTTTTTTTTTTAAAAAGGCAGATTAGATTTTTTATCAAGGCATTGGCGTAGCAGCAACTTCCTGGATTCATGAGTCTTCCTACAGAAAGGCAACTTCAGAAGCCAAAAATAAGACATCACCAGCCCACCAACTCTAATGCCTCCAAGACTCCTGGGGCCTTTGCCCTGGAGAATCTATTCTGAACTCCCTTTTGCCCAAGACCTGCAGTAAAGGTAAAGGGACCCCTGACCATTAGGTCCAGTCGTGACCGACTCTGGGGTTGCGGCGCTCGCCAAAAGTCAGGTAAAAACCTTTCCTGGGTACTTCTAGTACTCTGAAGGCCTAGACCAGTGGTTCTCAAAATGAGCGGTACCTCTCCCTGATGGTGGTGGGGTATAATCTGGTACTAAGAGGAAGGTTGGAGCCAGGGGGTGCTGGAGGTGTAAATGATTATCAGACTTTGGAAAGTTAGTATCACTGGATCACACGCATCAATCTTGTTGAATTAACTGAACTAAATATTTTCACTTGGTTTTTGAACAAATGTACAATTAATTGTTATAATTTTGAATTTTATTGCATTACACGATAGACAGTTAAACTGGTGCTAGACCACTTTTTATGTACTTGACAGTAGCAGCCAGGATCTTAATCACAAGAAACTGGAAAAGTGAAAAAACACCTACAATAAATGAGTGTGGCCGGTCCAAATGATAAGAGTATTTGCAGTTGGCTATGATGACAGGGAGAGTTAGAGGGTATCCAATACAGAAAGAACAGAACGAATGGAAAAATTTAAAGAGTATTTGAAAAATTATTGTAACACCAACAATCTCCTGGCAGAACTCAAATGATTCTTGTAAAATAAAAGTATAGATGACAACTCCTTTTTTTGATAAGAACAAAGAAAGTAAATGGTAATTTGAAACTGTGTGTAAAACAATAATAGGAACAACAATACAGTGAGTCTAATCGGAAATCAAATTTATTTATTTCCCCCCCATTTTTTCTTTATTTTTTATTATTGGGCCCTATTGATTCTTCCTCTGAGCTTCCTCCTGCGACTGAGCCCTGAAGATGGAGAACTGGGAGAGGGGAGGACAGAGCAGAGGAGGACATGACACCCCCCCCGAGGGTCTATGCAAAAATTTGAAGCCAGCTGCTCCTGAGCTGAAGCTTGCAAGATGCACACATAGTCTTCTTAATACAATAATATTAGTAATAATTTAAGGCACTCCTTAAATTAGGGAGATGGGGGGTAGCTCAGCCAGTAGAGCATGAGACTCTAGGGTCAGGGTCTTGGGTTCGAGCCCCACATTGGGCAATAGATTCCTGTGTTGCAGGGGGTTGGATTAGATGACCCTTGGGTTATCTTCAAACTCTACAGTTCTACGATTCTATGATCCTGCTCATGTGGAGATCCAAGCTCCCCCTGCCCCTGTAGGAGGGGCCAAGGCAAAATGAGAGACTTCTGATCAGCCTAGTAACCCTATGCATGACACACTGCTAAAGGAATGCCCTGCTCAAATCACTGGTAATATGGACTTAAGCTTAACTTGGCCAAGTTGAGTTCTGTCCCTGCAGTGTCCACAATTGGGGTTGACTTATACATGATAGTAGCTAGGAGCAGCTGACAGTGTGCATGGAGCACTATGAACAGTCAGGACACATTATACAATCTGTTATTATCATCAATAATAACAGAGTGGCCGGGGAAGCCCAGCCAGATGGGCGGGGCATAAATAATAAATTATTATTATTATTATTATTATTATTATTATTATTATTATCATCATCAAGAGACATGTGTGCTTCACGTCCTCAAGACTCTGGTAACTGCTTGAAGTTTATCTCTGACATAGCGCTGAATGTTGCTGGAAAGCAGTGAGACTGACTTTTGAGCATCCCTGTGCTCTGATATTTCTAGGACAGTAGAGGCCCAGTAGAGCTCTCTCATCATTTCCTTTTCCAGCTAAATCATGTGGCCTTGTGACACTAGAAATCATGGACATCCAGTGAAGCTGAAGGTTGGATGATTCAGGACTGATAAAAGAAAAGACTTCCTCACGCAGTACATACCGTATTTTTTGCACCATAACACTCACTTTTTTCCTCCTAGAAAGTAAGGGGAAATGTCTGTGCGTGTTATGGAGGGAATGCCTACGGGTGGCACGCCTACGGATTTTCCTCCTCTAAAAACTACGTGCGTGTTATGGTCGGGTGCGTGTTATAGAGCAAAAAATACGGTAGTTCAACTGTGGAACTCACTTCCACAGGAGGCAGTGATGACCACCAACCTAGATGCCATTAACAGAGAATGGGACAAATTCATGGAGAAGAGGGCTATTGATGGCTACTAGCTAGAATGGCTATGCTCTGTCTCCGCAGTTGGAGGCAGCAGTGCCAGTTACTGAAATACCAGTTGCTGGAAACAACAGGAGAGGGGGGTGCTCTAGATCAGGCTTCCTCAACCTCAGCCCTCCAGATGTTTTGGCCTACAACTCCCATGATCCCTAGCTAGCAGGACCAGTGGTCAGGGATGATGGGAATTGTAGTCTCAAAAAACATCTGGAGGGCAGATGTTGAGGAAACCTGCTCTAGTCAGTTGGCCACTGTGAGAGCAGGATGCTAGACTAGATGGGCTGCTGGCAATTTTATTTTCAATTCATTTCCTAATGAATGATGCAATGAAATCTGAAGCAAAGATGGGACAAGAGATTACAAACACCCACACCTACATCCGCATATGCACACAGTCACAGCACGGGTGGATCATGCCGTGGCCCTTTCTTTGTGCTCATGTCAGCCTTAAGATGTTAACCAACTTATTTCTTAAAAAACACTAGTATATCTCATCCCCAGTAGACAAGGTGTATGAATATAAAACCAATGCAATTTAAATCATCATTTAGATAACCAAAGATAAAAAGGGCCATTTAAGCAACTGAGTTAAAATCAATCCATTATTTCCTCAACAAGTGGCCATACTAAATTTGTTGATACAACAACTATTAAAACATGCTTGCAACTTAACTTTCACTGAGTGCTATCTAGCACAGCGGTTCTGAAAGCGGGTGGTACTGACCCCTAGAGGGTAGGGGGATTACCTGGGGGGGTGCGTTAAGAGGCAAGAGGGCAGTAGGGGTCACTGGTGGTGCAAATGACTATCAGACTTTGAAAAGCTGGTATCAGTGGATCAAGTTTGTCAGTTTTGTTGGATTAATTAAACTAGTTTTAACTGGATTTTTAATTCTTACTGTTTCAATTTTCATGGTGTTACTATCTTCCTTAGTGGGTTGTGCAAACAACAATTCAGAAAGATGCTTTTTATAAGGTAGGGTAGGGTAGGGCAGGGAACCCTGGCGGTGAGTGCATTGAACCATGGGAGCGGTGGCCCGAAAGGGTTTGGTTGCTGCTGGGCTAGAGCATAATACAAATGCATGCATTTTGCATGAAAGGGTTTTGTGCCTGCTTTGGGAGGAAAGCGGTAAGGATTTTAGGGGTTTTTTTGCTGCAGCAAGTTATAATGGATACTAACAGAACAGTGAGGTTATATTGTAGAAATCCTCTATGTGAAAGCAAAACTCTGTTTTGACAGATGCAAGGAGGAAATATTAGGGAGGAGGCCATACTGCCACAGCTGTCTGTAAACAGGACATAAAAGAATGGAAAAAAAAGAAACCAAGGACAAACATTTTTATTCAGGAAGACCCCATACTTACTTTCCCATGAAGATGTTGTTCAGGTGATGGAGCCAGAACAGACATGCAAGGTTGTGGAAAGCAATAGTTCTGTGCTATCCTTCCTTTTTGGACCACCTTCCCCAACCTAGAGGTTTTGGGATACAACTCCCATCAGTCCCACCCAGAACAGCCATGCCTCCATCAGCTCTGCAGGCTAGACCAAAACCTCTGGAGGCCCCCAAATCGGGATGACTGGCTTGCCCTCCCCTTCACCTCCCATGACCAGGAAGTTATGGCTACTTTGTCAGCCCCAACCTGCATAGCACAAGAGTCAAAACAATCCTCTTCGCCAGGGGCCATTTGACATGTTTTGAGTTCCATCTGATGTTTTGTTGCTAATTTTGGTGTTGTTTAAGACTTCTGCATTGTTTTAAATTTTCGTTAATTGTTTTGTGGATTTCTTTTGAACTTGTGAATTCTGTACAGTTGGGACACCTTAGAATATTTATATCCTGACTCTTGGCAAGTCAAACCATATACTTGGGAAAGCGGTGGTCATGAATGTTGGTCACTTGATGACCCATACATGTGATTGGGGGGTGAGGGAGAGTGTGTTTATGGAAGGAAGTCGAGCATGTGAGGAAGCAGGGGATGGGCCTCTTTCAATACAGACTCCCTTTTGACGAGAGAAGTGGAAGAGTTGCTTTATATCAGTGGTGCTCTCTCAGGCTTCCTCAACCTCGGCCCTCCAGATGTTTTTGGCCTACAACTCCCATGATCCCTAGCTAGCAGGACCAGTGGTCAGGGATGATGGGAATTGTCATCTCAAAACATCTGGAGGACAGAGGTTGAGGAAGCCTGACCTAGAGGGACACTAAGAGGCAAGGGGGCAGCCAGAATGGGGCAGTGGGGTGTATGTGTAAAATAAATAATTTATTATTTATACGCTGCCCATCTGACTGGGTGGCCCCAGCCAGATTATCAGGTTTTGAAGAGCTGATTATCACTGGATCAAGTTCATCAACTTCGTTGAATTAACTAATCTAAATTTTAATTGGATTCTGAACAAATGTGCAATTAATTGTTACTGTTTTGAATTTTGTTATGTTATTATCGTTCGTAGTGGGTCATGCTAACAGCTGTTCTGAATAATGCTTTTTATAGGATAGGGGACACTGGGGGTGAGTTTACAGAACCAAGAGGGAGTGGCCCCTAAAAGCCTGAGATCCACTGTTTTTCGGTCGGTGAAAGACAGCCAGAGTAGAAGAAAACACTTTCACCTGGTAGCAGCCAAAGCATCCAAAGGAAAAGGTAGGCCAAAAGAGAGTCATTGGACTTTGCTGCAACTCCTTTGCAGTACATGACCCATGGAAGCTAGGGTGCAATGACAGGCAGCAGCACGTAAAATAAATAATATACATACCCCGCACCCCCAGTCACATCTAGGTTGGCATGCACTCTAACAACACACTGTTCTGCTTTTTATTTGGTAGCACATTCAGCTTCATGAGTCAGTATATGAAGAAACCAGACCCAGTCATGGTGGAATAATATTACACCATACATAGAGCATTAATATGCTGTAATGGATAAGCATTTCAGAGTGTGGCATGGGGTACAAGAATTAAAACCACTACAAGCCCCAAATAATAAAAGTGCTTTATGAGTAGGTTAACCACAATGAATCTATTTCCTCACAATGCCAGAATGTCTAATGGAGGGAAATATAAGCCCTGAGGAGACTTAAGGCTTTATTGCGAGTCACGCCCCATTCTAATGCAATCTATAGGAAACCATCAGGCCAGACATCTAAGAGCAGATAGGAGAGTTTGTCACCAAGGTAGAAAGCTTTGTTGGCTCTAACTCAACCTTTTGCCAACTGGTGCCCTCCAGATGTTTAGGACAATAACTCCCATCAGCCTCAGACAGGAGAGTCATTTCCTGCGATTATGGGAGTTATAGCGCAGCAACATCTACAGGAAACATGGCATAGTCCTCTCCTCCTCCATGAACCTGTCCAATCCTCTTTGAAAACTATCCAAGTTTGCGGCTGTCACTGCTTCCTGGGGGAGCAAGTTCCATAGGTAGACTATGTGCTGTGTGAATGAGTCCTTTCTTTTATCCTTTACTATCTTTTATTTACCTTGCATCTCACATCTCACCCATGTATTTGGTTGCTGTAGCTAGCTGCACCTACTAGTCTTAACAACAAAGGCTGCTCCGCACATTGTTATTTATTGCTTGATGAAATTCCTCATCATTCAATATCCAATTCCACGCAGACAAAAATGCTTCAGATGATACAGTCCGTACATGGCTGGTCTACTTACCTGGTCAAACAGCTGCTTCCCTGTGGTGTTGGGCTGGATGGCAAACTCCAGCTCAGCATCCATGGTGGTAACTCGGACAGTAATCTGGAATATAAAATAGGAGGGTAGAATTAGAATCCAGATACCTCATGAAAATCCGTTCAGCCATCCAGCAGCATGGGCCAAAATTTCTTTCTTACTATAAAATATTTATATGCTGCTGTTTCATAAAACATATCAAAGTGGCTTACAATGAAAGTACATGTTCAAAACTCCTATTGTTCTAGGCGCATTTTGCGACAGGGAATTTCATCAGCGCATGCCGTTTCTGAGCTCTGGGCACAGTGCTACGCCGAAGATTTCAGATTAAAACTGCAGAGTGGAAGGAAATGAGGATCTTTTCTGCTTCCCCACTTCCAGCTACTCTCTGAAGACTGGAAAGAGACCCTCTTAAGAATATTAGGGGGGGTGGTCAGGGGAAGGACTAGATCATGTGAAAAATGAACATATTATTTTAGCTGCAGTTCATTCATTTTCAGTTTTGTATTCTTGTTATTTTAAAAAAGTGTGCCTAGACATTCTGTTGTTACGCTCATAACCTAGGATTAAGGTGCCATTTAGCTCCTAGCTTTCATATCTCAGTTTCTAACACTGAAGCCATACAGTAAAAAAAGAGATTAAAATCAGACATTGATTAACCATTGTGAAAAGATGTAGTCTCAATTACCTGCATAGGCCTTGGCAGAAAAGAAAAGTTTTCAGCAGCAGTTTAAAAGTTGAAACAGCCTTTATTGAATGACTGAAACCCATCACCATTATCTCAAAAATGTACTAGATCAGCTTTCCCCAACCTGTTGCCCTCCAGATGTTTTGGGCAACTGTCATCAGCTCCAGCCACCATGAACAATGTCTGATGTGAACTGAAATCCAAAACAGCTGGAGGGCAAAGAGGTTGGAGGGAATTAAATGGACACACTTTGGAGAATGAGAAAGCAAACCTGCAAATCAGAGTAAGAAGCAGTTTTGTGCTATGAAAAGCAATACATTCCTATCAAATATTAAGAATATATTGAAATCTCTTTCCAAGCTCAATAATATGCAATCAAGCAAGATTCTGTAAAGCCATTGGTGGATCCAGGGGATCCAGGTGGCATGGGCTCGTGGCTCTTGCAAAGTGGGTCACCCTAAGCAGCTGCCAAAGGAGGCGCAACTGGCCTTTCATTCTGGAACAAAGAGGCAGAGATGAAACTAGAAGGTGGCTTTCTAAAGTTCCAGGGTGGCCATACCCATTTCCCTTCAAATACCCCCTCTGGGAGCATTCTTCTCTACAGGATGTTCTTGCAGGGGGAGATAATGAGGGACGTGGGTGGTGCTGTGGTCTAAACCACTGAGCCTCTTGGGCTTGCTGATCAGAAGGTCGGCAGTTTGAATCCATGTGACGGGGTGAGCTCCCGTTGGTCTGTCCTAGCTTCTGCCAACCTAGCAGTTCAAAAGCATACCAGTGCACGTAGATAAATAAGTACCACTCTGGTGGGAAGGTAAACTGTCTCCATGCGCTCTGGCACTCGTCACAGCGTCCCATTTTGCCAGAAGTGGTTTAGTCATGCTGGCCACATGACCAGGAAAGCTGTCTGTGGACAAACACCAGCTCCCTCGGCCTGAAAGCGAGATGAGTGCTGCACCCCATAGTCACCTTTAACTGTCCAGGGTTGTTTTTCATTTTTTTACCTTTTACCTTACTGTCCAGTGAGATACTGGAATGACTTTTCAGCTTCACCTGCCCATGCAAGTTTGTTTTATACTAGCCGGTTTCTTCACTGGCACTCAATTAATAAGTTGGCTTGGCAGCTATGGTTGGATTTGTAAAGGGGTCAGCAGTAGGAGTGCTACATTAATACAGAGGGCTACACCAAAGTTAATACTATTTGCAACCTACATTTGTGGAGCCTCCACACACAATGTGCTTTGTGCCCAAAGACAGAAACGTTATTCTTTCTAAAGGGAATGAAATCAAAGTTGTTTTTCAGTGATCTAGTGTACACTAACACCAGCAGTCCCTAACCTTTTCAGAATCAGGGTGCACTTTTACACCAAACATGCATGTGGAGGCCCTTTTCTTAAGCTTCTCCCATAGAGGTGCATGGTGGTAGTTCTCCTGTTGTGACCCATCTTGGATCAGGCCATGACCCACTAGAGGGTCCCAACCCACCAACTGTAGACCAGTGGACTACATTAACATAGACAGTTCTCACCCTGTGGGACGCCTTGCCAATACAAGTTTGACAGGAGACATGCCCACTCATTTTTAGAAGTCTTCTATAAACTATATAACTTAGACAGGGCTTTCAAACCTGAGGTTCTCTGCAAACCAGCTCTTACTGATAGATTTTGTTTTTATCATTTTTATCGACCAACTGGCAAGGTCAGTGTTATCCTCCTTCCTGCAACATTGTCTTAAACTAGGCTACTTGAAGAACCCTTGAGAATGTCAAAGCCAAGAGGTTCTCAACACTGACTCTTTTGGGACACCCACAGTAACACATGAAATATATAAATGCCTCCCTTAGATCAACACCGAGAGAACTCTGCTTGCAGAGTGCCCTGTGTCATTCAAGTTGAGCAAACTCTGTTACATGAGCTCACAACATACTTGGAAGGAGTTGAAGCAAAGAGCTTTCATCAGAAGGAGATTGATTGGTTATCCACTCTTCACCCACACTGGCAAGCAACACAAAAGATTGTGTTGGCATTCAGTTCTTGGCTGAGTCTCGACATAGCCTGAGAAAAGGAGCTTCAGCTGCCTTTGGCACCTGCCCAGGCTCCTCTGCACAGACATCCATGCACTTTTAACAAAAGCCAGACTCCTTTACTACCTGGGTGCCTTTGACACACCACCATCTTTGCAGAAACAGGCCTTGTCCCTCTGCAGTTGAGCTCACTCTCCACTCATTGCAAGACTCTGGCAGTAAAAGAGACCTTATAGCCCCACCAGAAGCAGCAAGAATCTTGTTAGATTAATGATGGAGCAGTCATGGGCTGCTATGCCAGTGATCAATCACTACATAGCAAAAGTTAGGAGATGTGCCAAAAAAACTGAATTGGAGGTGCTTCCTTTCTGAATTAGGTAGGAGCCTATTTGCCAGTGATTACATGGACATGTAGATTTGGTATGTTTAGCCTGGAAAAGAGGAGACTGAAAAGAGATAAAACAGGTAAGCTTTTAAGAAACAAGACATGGATTGTATGCTCATCTGCTAGGTGGCTCATGGCTACTGAACAAAACATTGTTAAAACAAACCATTGTTTCATGTGCTTATACTTGATGTGTGTTTGCAGATATTAAGATAAAAAAACAGTGTCACTGCAGAGGCATTCCGGGGTTTAGAGTATTTAAGAATCAGCTCAAAGTATTGCAAGACACAACTGTTTTGGCAAAGGATATTTTGCAAGCCTGCCTCAGGAATTTGCAACATGTCTTAAGGAGCATCACAGACTTTCCTAGAAATTCATCAAGTTGCTTTGAGCAATCTAGACCTTCACAATATGGACCTACCTTAGCAAGTTATCATGACAGCCTTCAAAGTATTTTAATGCCTGCTGCAAATTCCAGAACACACTTTGAAAACAACAAGCCCCATCAAATGCAAACAATAATTTTAGTGCAGGGATAGTAACCTTTGGCCTTCCAGTTGTTGCTGGACCACAACTCCCAGTCCCATCATCCATGCCCACTGGCTATGCTGGCTGGGACTGATGGGAGCTAGTGGCCGACACTGGATGGGGGGCACATCTTAGCCACACCCAGTTTAAAGATTGCAAATGAGTGGGACTGTCAAACTTCCCACAAACATCTGTGTTACCTCTCCATAATCCCCCCCCCCCCCCCCCGTTTAAGGAGTTCAGCTGGGCCATCCACAGTGCAGCCAAGAAGCATCACAATTGACCATGACATTCAGTCAAGGCTTCATAAACTGGAAGGTCAGAGATTTCTGCATAGATACCCACAGTATAAGTCAGGCATGTCCAAAGTCCGTGGCATGTCCTGGGGAAAAAAGCTCAACAATTTCAATCCTAAAAAAAGCTCAGAAACTTTGGTTGGCCCTCACGCATGTTCACTTCATCAAATCTGGCCCTCTTTGAAAAAAGTTTGGGCACCCCTGGTATAAGTGTTTGATTGTTCATTCACTATTTCATATGGTCTCGCATAGGAAAGGAAGCCTCTGGCTAGAAGTTTTAACATTTGAATTTTTAAAGGCAAACATTTGTCTCCCATTTTCTGAAATATCCTCAAAATAGAAGCAACTTTAAAAAATTTAAAAGAAAGTTACAAGGAAGCCTAAAAGAGCCTGAACCAACAGATAATCACAGGGAAGGAACAGGCATTTCATTTTGGTAGTTTTAACACTTTTGTAGTTTACTTCAACACAGAAAGATGGCTATGGAGGCGTATTGTTACGTGTGCCATTTATTTTCATCCCACCCTTTTTCTCCAAGGAACTCAAGGTGGCATAAATGGTTCTCCCCATCCTCATTTAATCCCCACAGCAACCCTGTGAAGTAGGTTAGGTTAGGCCAAGAGTGACTGGCCCCAAATCACCCAATGAGCTTCATGACCAAATGGGGATTTGAACCCTGGTCTCTCCCAGGCCCTATTCTGACATTCTAACCACTACGCCAATAATGCACAGCTAAGCACTGAAACTGCTGTGCAGAGCCATTCTGCAGAGGATGGAGTATATGTTTTAAGATGTTCCAGCAATGAAAATTGGAAGGTAGCGGCACTGGTTCTCCAAGGTTGGGGACAAAATATTTTCAAGAGGCATTTCTTTGCTCCCATGGTGTAAACAGCACCTCGTTGGCCCTACTGTTGTTGGAGCCAGCAGGTTTTTCTAACAATGCAAAGTGTGCAGAAATCTGTTGACCAGAAGCGGGCGGGGGGCGGGGGGAACGATCCCTCTTTCAAAGTGCTGTCAACTCTGGAGGCAGGGAGAGGAACAAACAACTATTTGCCTGCCAAAACAACTCTGAACACACACCCTGAGGAGTGGGAACAAAGAACACTGTCTAGCTGGCTTATGACATCAGTTACAAAAAAGAGCAAGGAGTCTAGATTCTTCTTGTTGCCCACTGGTGAGCAGCTGCCCCACCATTCATGCCTCCTGTGGGGCACAGTGGGGGTGGGAGAGGGTGAGGGGTATAGTTCTAGAAATGCTTCTGCAATGGACTGTTCAGATCGGTGTATGGCCATGGGCAACACCATGGTGAAAACTGGGTCTTGTTTATTGCATTTATGTTCCTCCAAGGAGCTCAATGCGGCATGCAGCTTATGGAGTTTTCTGCCACACAAGCTGGTTATGGTCTCTGGCTTAGATTAATAAATAACCATATGAATGTAAGAAAAGCCCTGCTGGATCAGACCAAGGGCCCATGACTCTAGCCTTCTCTTCTCACAGGGGCCAAACAAATGCCTGTAGGAAACCAGCAAACAAGATTTGAGCGCAAGAACCCTCTTCCCTCCTGGGGCTTCAAACAACAAAGACCGAGGGGTCATCCAGACTTCCTTTTGTGCCACATTTCTAGGCACAGGTCCAAGCTTTAAAAACCTCCATTCCAGAGTGTGCTTTTTCTTTTTTTTGGTCCCAGCACTTTCTCTGGGAAAACCCCCCACATTTTACCGCTGAATGAGAGTAAATGGCAATTGTATTTTCCATGGATTGTTGTTGCTCCACTTCAGTGGTAAAACACTGGTTTTCTCAAGGAAAGCACCAGGACAAAAAAAACCCCACTCTGACACTTTAAATCATGTACCTATGCCTGGGAAGCCACCAGCACAAAAGGAATTCTGGATGACTCCTCAGTCTGCAAATAACTATTTAGCCATGATTGGACCTCCAAGCTCAGAGAAAGTATGCTTCTAGCTATAGATACCTGGGAGAAGGCGTCTATGCTGTTGCTTTGCTCACTGGCTTCTCAGAAGAGAACTTTTAACTGGCTGTCACTGGAAACAAAAAAACTAGGCCCAATGGTTGTATCAACATCACCCCGCCACTGATTCAGGCCGTTGTATGGGAATACCCACTATGTATGTATGTATACATGCATGCATGTATGTATGTAAAGTAGTGCTATCTACTACAGGAAAACTTAACATCCAACACCCAGAGAGCAATATCAAATAACTACATGAGTGTGTGATCACCTGCTATAGAGCACAAGCTATAGGGACACCAAAATTCGGCTAGGTAGGAGCCTCCCCTCCATGGGAAAAAGTCTCATTTATCCATCAAGCCAGCAGAACTTTAGAGAGTCCCTCAGTGACCTGGTGCAGCCTCAGGATTATTTTCTTGCACACCTTCCGATATATGCAGCAACAACATGATTTCACCCCCAGCTCCCCAAGACCTTTCAGCCTGATCTCCCAGAGGCTTCCAAGGATCAGGAGAGGTATGCCCTCCCCATCCAGAATGGGAGCTCCAGGAATACTTACAGGCATTTGCCCACGTTTCCAATCGCCAGCCCTTCTCCGCAACTCTCCTTTGGTATTTTATGTGCCAACAGAGAGAGGGCGGGGGCACCCTGGGTCATATGAAAGTGCTTGCAATTGCTGAAGGGATTACAGTTTAATTAAATCAAACCTCCTGTAAAGGGGGGCTTTTCAGATCCCTAAGCTAATCAGGAAACAGAACACCAGCTAGAAGGTGCTCCCAAGGTTCGGAGCAGAACCCTGTTGCAACCAGCAGAGAACAAGCTTAACCCTCCGCTTGGCTGCCTTGGGAAGGATCCCAAGAAGTCGAGCTCAGCTCCTGATTGCGGGTTTCCCTCCAAGGCATCTGGTTGGCCCCTGTGAGAACAGGATGCTGGACTAGGTGGGCCCCTCCTGGCCTTATCCAGCAGGCTCTCCTCACTCAGAAAAAGGCCAAGATTGGTGAGCTTGTTTGTTTGTCTTTACACTCCAACATCAGGAACATAGAAGCAGTTGCAAAGCATGAAATGGTGATGGAAGAAGAAGAGAAATGTTAATTGGTGCGCTTCACAGCTGCCTACATGGCTACCTAAAATGTCCTTCCCACAAGCCTCTTTCAGTCATTCCTGCCTATTGCTGCCAATAATTTGGCATGACTACCCTAAACAGCTGCAAACCACATTTCATTTGCAAGCCTATATTCACCTGGCAGTGAATCCTACTGAACCAAATAGGGTTTTACTTCCAAGTAGACATGTGTAGGACTGAACTTATGAGCATATTTTAAATGCTCCACAAACAAAGTGTCTGGACTTTCCATTAAGACACTGAATAAGACAGGTTTGGAATAAAAGAGTTGGACTAGATGACCCTCTTTGGCCTCTTCCAAATCTATGCTTCCATTATTCTAAAGTGTGGAAGCTGACCACTCTATTTGGCGGTCCCAGAATTCCTCCACAGGACTGACTCTTTGCCCTGAAAAAAGGAAATAATTCCAATATTGCAATAGGATTTTACAGTAGAACAGAACATGCAAGGGTAAGGACATAAGAGGCCACTTCAGGTTGTAGAGAGCTTTCAAGGGTGTTCATGCCAGAGATGCTTTCAGACTTTTCCTTAGAAGCTGTAAAGAGCTCCTTGAAAACTCTCTTGGTTGTCTGATCCACTAACAGAGACAAAGCACCCTTTCTGTGTGGCGTTCCAACATTGTCCATTTTCTGGAACCAACTGAAAACCTTCCTCTTCCTAAACTTGGGTCTCCAGCTGTTTTTGAACTACAACTCCCTTTATTCCTAGCTAGCAGGACCAGTAGTCAGGGATGATGGGAACTGTAGTCCAAAAACTACTGGAGCTCTTATGGTTAGATATTGATAATAATTTGGGATGCACTGCAATGCTCATTGCAGATATCCACGTGTAGCTTTTCAGCTAGGTCTACTCTTTTCTGCGCATGTACATGGAAAATGATTTGCCAGAGTTCTCCAGTGCCTTCTTTCAGGGCTGTGTTTTTCTTGAAGTTCCACTGTATGCAACAGAACACACACCATTCTCTTGAAATGGAAGTGCCTTGCATTTTCAGTGTTCCTCAGTGCTTAGCTTTGGAACATACAGAACATCCCCTCCTCTGTGTCCTTCCACACACCTTCTCCAGAGGTATCCTAGAAGCCCATGCTCTGTGTTTGACTCACCTCCTTTCCCATTGATTGGCTCTGGTCAGCACAAAGCATGAGAAGGCTTCTGAGTGGCTAAAAAGCTCTCCATCCCTGCTGATTGGGTGGCTCTAGGACACTGGAGACAGGGGACCCAGCTGCAGAAATAGTTAATGGCTTTTTGCCCTCTTGTGACCCCAGACTACCACTTGTACCACACAGGTATTAGATTTGCACCTGGCACCAGAATTTAGCATCCCACAGTCCTCTGCTTCTACTGTGGCTAGAAGCTTCCCAAGTAACACTTGATATGAGCAAGCAATATGAAGCAACAGAAGAGGGTCTCCCTCCTGTGGTGCAGGCCTGACTTGCTGCCTATGCTGTGTTTCCTCTGTTTCCTGTTTCAGTCGGCTGGAAGGCTATTATTCTCTGTGACTCACAAGAGACAACCATGTGTACAGGAAGATGCCCCATAGTGGCCCTCTTGCAAAGTAAGATTGGCCCCCACCAGCCAAAGCTAAATACCCTCTTTACACACGCACACATGTGCACACCTTGCGAAAACCTCAAGCCAGGTTCACTAAGCATCTCAAGATGCACATTTGAGTACCGGGGTCAAGTTTATTTGTGTGGATCATGGAAACATCCATCATAATTGTTTTTGCTTTGTGTTAGGAAGCAGGCTCTGGTGATGAGGGCTAGGAAGTCACAGCAAAGCTGTTCCAGCGAAGGGCATGCTCTTGTGACACTCAAGTTCATATATTTATGGCACTGCTTTTTGAAACACTTATTCATGAACTTGTGCAAGGATCCAATTCCTCTATTTTTGCCATTTCCTTTCTCGCAAATAGAATCTTCAAGCACCCTCCCCTCGCTTTCCTGTCGCTGTTTCAAGAGATAACAGATGCTTTGGGCTTGGATTTATTTATTTAATTTTTTTAAGGCAGGCATTTAGAAGAATGGTTTGCAAAAAGCCAATTTGGTCATGGTGACATTTTGGTTAGCTCAGAGAAAAACAAAACAAAACAGCGGTTTAGACTGACAAGCAACTCCCCCCTGGGATACTCTGTTCTTGGCCCCGAAGTGGCACAAATTCCGAATTCAAAGAGTAAAGACAGGACATGGCTGGTCTTGGTTCCAAACCACCTCCACTACATTCAGTTTATATGTGTGGTTCCCTAGCACAGCTGAATCCGAACTGTGAAAATGGTATCTATAGAAGATGCAATAGTAAGGAACTCAATACGACCACTATCATCTCCATTTCCTTGGCACAAGTCTTACGAATTTTTAGAATTACCACTCTTTGCCTTTGTATAAAAGAGAAGCTTTCAACTGTCCCATTGTTTATGTTTTAAATAAAGTGCAAGAATAAACAGAAATGGTTGAACATAAGATGAGCCTACAGGACCAGGCCAATGGCCCATGCAGTTCACTGTTATCACAGTGGCCAACTAGATGCCTGTGGGAAATGAGCAAGCAGGACCTGAGCACACAAGCAACACTCTTGCCCACCCTCCTAATAATAATAATAATAGTGATTTTATTACTTATATGCTGCCCACCTGACTAGGTTGCCCCAGCCACTCTGGGAAACCATACTGGTTGGAGCTGATTGTAGTACAATCTATCTGGAAGGTGTCCAATTGGTGAAGGCCGTTTGAGGGACTTCTGGGGGGAGAAGATGGACTGAACATCTTCTGTCAACAGCTCATTGACCGAGATAATTATGTGAGGATTAATGATAGCCAAGCAGTAAATCTTGGGTTACTGAATTCACTCTTGATAAATAGAGTGAACAAGGAATTAACCTCTGTTGCTCTGAACAAGCTGTTTTTCATGCTGGGAGACAAGAGGTTTTGTGGAACCCTGACAGGGGTGAGTGACTTGGAGAGGAGGAATTTTCATCTTGCCCTCAAACCACATAACAGCCATCTAGGCTAGCCCTTAGGGCAAAGGTCAGCAAAGCTTCCCTTTCTCCAATTACCTTCAAGATTGCTAAAAATAACAACTGAAGGGGTTATATGTCTGCCAGTTGAAATTTACATCTGGAGTGTGAGCTAACTTCTGGCTGAATAAGAGGTGGTCATTAAAAGACTAAAAGCAAAACAAAGGGCATGTTTTAATTGTACAGTGGTACCTCGGGTTAAGAACTTAATTTGTTCTGGAGGTCCGTTCTTAACCTGAAACTGTTCTTAACCTGAGGTACCACTTTAGCTAATGGGGCCTCCCGCTGCTGCTGCCGTGCTGCCACTGCATGATTTCTGTTCTCATCCTGAAGCAAAGTTTTTAACCCGAGGTACTATTTCTGGGTTAGCAGAGTCTGTAACCTGAAGCGTCTGTAACTCGAGGTACCACTGTATTGCATTTGATTGTGACTTCCAACATAATATAACAGAACACAGCTGTAACTGTAGTTCAAGAACACCTGGTTGGGAAAAGCTGCTACAAGTAATCTACAGAACTGTTAAGTCCCTATCTTACAGGGAACTGAACTTTGCCATAAAAGAAGGGCCATACATATCTCAGAGGTAGAGCATCTGCCTTGCATGCAGAATGTCCCAGGTTCAATTCCCAACAGCATCTCCAGATTGGACTGGAAGAGAGTCCTTGTCCCAAACCCAGACAGCCACTGCTGGACAATGCTGAGGTAGGTGAACCAATGGGATCTGATTCACTTTAAGGGACCTTCCTATGTGCTTATGTTCCCAAACTGCCCTGGGATGAAGGATGAAGCATGTAGCTGTAGTTTTCTTTTTTGAAAAATGAATAAACAACCGAACAGGTGACTTTCACTGTAGTGTTGTGATGAAAATGTTGGACTGGGACCTGACAGACCAAGGTTCAAATCCCCGATCAGCCATGAAGCTTGCTGGGTAAGCTTGTACCAGTCATTGCCTGAAGGCCTACCTCACAGGGTTGTTGCGTAGATAAAATGCAGGGGGGAGGGAGAACTATGTACACCGCCTTGAGTTCCTTGAAGAAAGGTGGAATATAAATGTAATAAGCAAATGAACTGGAAATAAAAAAAGAAGCTGACTTTAAGTCATCTGTCCTAACAGAAGGGTTTTTAGATGGGCAGATGCAGTTGTGAAATCACTCATAGGGTAAGGCTTAAAATACCACATATTTTTTTAAAGGCAGAGACCTGGGTGGGGCATGCCAAAAACTTGGACTTGCTCATTGCTTCTTGTTGAGTAACTGCCCAGCAGGCAAACTGCTCGGAAACAACGAACCGTTACTCACTAGGCCTGCCCAGACTATGAGGTCTATCTATTCCAAATATATCTTTAGCCAGAAATGGTTAGATCAGGGAAATCTGTTTCCAAGAGCATTCTAATGTTTAAGCTCCAAATCCTCATGTTTAAAAAAAAAAAAAAGCAAAAAAGCAGCAAGAGGGACTCGTGTGCGAATAGCTCCACAGCTCTGCAGACAAGGAACTGCTGCCCTTTTCCTCTGGGAGGGATGCTATGTTTTCTGGAAAGAGAAAGTGCTCTCCCACACCACTCCTGAAATCGCATACAGTGGTACCTCGGGTTAGAGACGCTTCAGGTTACTGACTCTGCTAACCCAGAAATAGTACCTCAGGTTAAGAACTTTGCTTCAGGATGAGAACAGAAATCACGTGGTGGTGGCGGCGCGGCGGCAGCGGGAGGCCCCATTAGCTAAAGTGGTGCTTCAGGTTAAGAACAATATCAGGTTAAGAACTTAATTCGTTCCGGAGGTCCATTCTTTATCATACAGCCTTCCTGTCCTATAATGGTCTCATGCAGATGTCCCGCACATCAGCCTATTCTGGATGTCTAAGAAATCTAGCCTTTCAGGAGTTTAGTGAAGTCATCTTTTGCCTGCTGCAATTCCACTTCCATTACTGAACACACCCTGAATGTTTCCTATGCGCAACTCTGGAAAAGGGACAGAGTAAGCTATGTTACTATGACTTGGAAAAATAAAAGGCAAGTTTAGGGGTGGGGCCAGTTTCAGAGCAAGACATGCTTATTACTTCTTCATTTTAACTCTACTCAAAGCAGGATTTCAAGCTGTGGTTCTCTCTCTCTCTCTCTCTCTCTTTCTCTCTCTCTCTCTTTCCCCCTCTTTTTTTGGCATTAATATCCCATGTTTTCCTCCAAGGAGCTCAAGGTGGCTTGCCCAGCTCTCTTCCCCCTCCTCATTTACTCCCCACAACTTCCCAGTGAGGTAGGATAGTCTGAGAGGCAGTGATTGGCCCAAGGGCACCCAGGTAGCTTTATGGCCAGATGGGAATTTGAACCCTGATCTCCCAAGTCCTAATCCTGACACTCAAACCACCGTATGCAACCTTATATAAATATTATTTATATATCCTACCTTCTTCTCCAAGGAGCTCAAAGTGGAATACATGGTTCCCCCCTTCCTCCTGTAATCCTCATAACAACCCTGTGAGGTAGTTTAGGCTGGCAGCCCAAGATAAGTGTGAGGTAGTTTTGGCCCAAGGTCTCCCAGTAACCTTCATCATGGCCATGTGGGGATATGAACCCTGGTCTCCCAAGTCACAGCATGACAATCTAGAACCACTGGCTCTCAAAAGTTGATCCGCCACCATATGCATCCAGCCCCAGAACCAGTGAGGTTACTTTGCAAGCTACTGTAGTCCAGGTTCACATGTGCAGCAATCAAGTGATGGTAACACCATGAGAAAAAAGATTGGCCTCATGTCAGTTCACACCCTTCATGTGCAAATCACCTAGTGGTGTACCTGCCGTGAATCCAATTTCAGAGCAAAGAGAGGAAACTGAGCTGGCAGCAAAGCTCCACACATTCACAGTTCAGAGATTCTCAGAAGTCTGAGGGTTTCAGGTCACAGAAAGCTATTTGAAAGCCTCAGGCGGAGGGCCAAGAACTACTTTAAAATGCTTAGGTGTTAAAAGACACACCTATGTTGCTTTTTCTCTGAACAAGACCGGCTATATGTTATACAATAACTGTTAAACATCAGCTTGCTGGATCAGATAATTCCTAGCAACATAAAGCTGGATGCGCTTGAAAACTTAAGTCCATGAATTAAGACCATAACCCTTTCATTTAGCCTTACATCTGGCACTTAAGATATATGCTGCCCCCGACTACAAAAGGTTTTGCTGAGCCGCTCTTGGTTAATACCTGGCAGGAGAATTTGGCCAGTACTTTTTGAGGTCTACTTAACCACACAACCAATGCCACTGTGTTGTTGAGAATTCCGCAGCTTAGGTGTGTTTTGCATAACCGACTTTTAGCCTGTACACCCTAGTGCAAAGCAACTTTGCACAACCAAAGTTTTGATTCCTGCATTACAGGGGGCTGGACTAGATTATTCTGGGGTACCTTGCAACTCTACCATTTTAGGATTCTATGAAAGCCAACTATGAAGGGTTGCCCTTACTGACTGCCAGAACCTTCAGGTGATGCAACTGGATCTTGCTTTATTTGTGCTATTCTTAAACTGGTGCCCACCAGAAGGCCTTCTTGAGGACAGGATAAAAATTAAGCAAAAGAGTGATTACCCCCCCCCAAACAAACCCCAACTCTGATGCCATTTCTAACACGAGTGAGGAGAAATTATAAATGGTGCAGTTCATATCTGAGAGAAGAGTAGATTTCTCCCTCAACATATTGAGTGTAGAGACATAAAGACAAAGTGAAACATATCATAGAATCATAGAAATGTAGAGTTGGAAGGGTCACCAGAGGGTCATCTAAGCCACCCCCCAGGAATGTAGGAATCACAGCTAAATAATCCCTGACAGATGGTCATCCAACATCTGCTTAAAAACCTCCAGCAAAAAAAGAGTCCTTCACCTTCTGAGAGAGTCCGTTCCACTCTATCGACCTAGTGTTCTAGGCCCAATTGCAGAGCTTTCTTGAGGAAGACTAGAGCCACGTTATATGTTGGAAAACTCCAGCCAAATACTAAGCAGGCTGCCTAAGTAATCACTATGAAAACAAAAAGACAATGAATCCAGCTGGAAGCTGGAAGAGTGGGCTGTTCTCCTCCTGGCAGTGGCCAAAGGTTCCTTTAAAAAAGGGGTCCTTGTGCCAAATTCTACATGCCTGTTTTCCAGACTTGCATCACAGAAATCCGACCAAAAAGGGAAAGTTAAAAATAAAGTCAAGTGCTTATCAAGTCAAAGTCAGCTCTGTTGCCTGCTTGCTATTTGAGCATTTCCATACTAATATGGTATCAACATTAGCCTGGAAGGGATTCAGCTGGTGGGAGGGAGAATGTGGTAAAATATGGTGGTTGTGTCAAATGGATTTGTTTTCTACCAACCTAGGTGGGTGGCCAATGGAGGAACTTAAAAAGCAAATGTTTTGGGAGACTGTAGATTTTGGCTCCATGCCCCCCCCCCCATGCACACAATATGGATACAGTGATACCTCGGGTTAAGAATTTAATTCATTCTGGAGGTCCGTTCTTACCCTGAAACTGTTCTTAACCTGAAGCACCACTTTAGCTAATGGGGCCTCCCGCTGCCGAGAGATTTCTGTTCTCATCCTGAAGCAAAGTTCTTAACCTAAGGTAGTATTTCTGGGTTAGCAGAGTCTGTAACCTGAAGTGTCTGTAACCTGAAGCGTCTGTAACCCAAGGTACCAATGTATATCTGTCTCTGGGTAACTGCTGGTCTTTGTTTCCAGTATGAGGGCCAACTGCTCCCCAAGAATCATTGGGCTTGCAGCACCTAGCAGAGGCAAATCCAATAAAAATCTCCATTTTCAGGGCAAGTCCAAATGCTGATCTTAATCTTGAAGATCAAGCCAATGATCTCCCTGTGATTTTACCCCCTTTCTGCTGATTTGCTTAAGAGTCAATCTCACAAAGTCTTCTGAGGACTCAGAAGGTGGCTCACTATTTTGTGACATATTGATTGGTCCTACTAAGGCAGGCATGTCCAAAGTCCACTTTGGGGGCCTAATCCAGCCCCTGTGGCAGTTTATTTATTGGGGTCAAATCCTAAAAAGAGCTCAACAACTTTGGTTGGCCCTCACGCATGTTCACTTTATCAAAAAGTGATGATGAAAAAACTTTTTCTTTGAAAAAAGTTTGGGCACCAGTAGATTGAGCACTTTTCACCCTGGATTTTAATTAGAAGCTATGAAAGGCAATGGATGTGGGGGAGGCCCTTCTATGTGTCCCACCTCCAAAAGAAGCACAAAAGGTGGTGGTCAGAGAACTGGTGCCTGTTTGCTTTTTTCCCCTTCTCCATCCTATCTTTTAGACTGAAAGCCTGAGGAGGGCACAAATTGCTATGCTTTCTAAGTTATCTTTGAACTGCTCTGACAGCCTTGTTTCAGCTGAAGAATGTTTAAAAGTGCTTTCAACAACAACAACAACCCAAAACCCTAACAGACTTCAGTCAAGCGGCAATTTACTGTTTCACAACAAAAGACAGCAACTACACTTGGGAACTCCCTGCCTATTGAAGATGGGCGGGCACATTCACTGCACACTTTTCAGCACCTGCTAAAAACATTTTTGTTTAGACAAGTCTACCCAAATATTTAGGGATGCGGGTGGCGCTGTGGGTTAAACCACAGAGCCTAGGGCTTGCCGATCAGAAGGTTGGCAGTTCAAATCCCCGCAATGAGGTGAGCTCCCATTGCTCAGTCCCTGCTCCTGCCAACCTAGCAGTTCGAAAGCACGTCAAAGTGCAAGTAGATAAATAGGTACCGCTCCGGCGGGAAAGTAAACGGCGTTTCCATGCACTGCTCTGGGTCACCAGAAGCAGCTTAGTCATGCTTGCCACATGACGCGGAAGCTGTATGCCGGCTCCCTTGGCCAGTAAAGTGATACGAGCACCGCAACCCCAGAGTCGTCTGCGACTGGACCTAACGGTCAGGGGTCCCTTTGCCTTTACCTTACCCAGACATTTAGAAAGCTGATGAAAGTTTTAGTCTGTTTTTAGTTTATTACTACCTTAACTTTTTGGAAGCCTTAAATTATTATTTCTGATTCTGCTTTTTGATAATATTATTGTTTTATCTTTTTTGTAAACTGCTTTGAGGGGGTGTGTGGTTGTTGTTGTTTTTTACAATCAAGTAGTGTATCACATTTTGTGAAATAAACAAGTGTTAAAAAACACCACCCAGTTCCTGTGGACTGAGCAGCAAAGCCCAAGCTGTTTGTGATCACCCATGGTATGGATCCAGAAAAGCAGCCACTCGTGGGACATGAAGACACCAAACTGGATTGCAGGGGAAAGTGCAAATAAATATTTCCATCAGGTGCAGGGTAAGGGGGTTGGGGTTGGATTAATTCATCAACCTGAAATGGATAATATTATTCAGTGTTCTTTTTAGAAATAGGAAGTTTGGAGGAGAGGCACTTTCCCCTCTCAGCTGCATTTACAGAAACAAAAAGTCACATAACTGTACAGTTGCAGCCTTACCCAATTCTAGAAACTTAATCCTGCAGAGCAGAGGCTTTGAGAGATTTATTAGCTCAGTATTTTTGTAAAGTCCACAGCAAACAAAAGCTTACACATGATTTACAGGGCTCTGCTTCATCCCGTCATCTGGTCACAGGTGAAAAGGAAGACTAGGAAACTTAAACCTGGTTTTCTAAGTGCTCACAAGAGGAGGGAGAGAATGTCACTTGCACCAACAGAAGCTGTAGAGATCAGGACTGCTTGAAGGGGCAGATTACTGCTTAGATTTCCAGCAAAGTTCAGCTTTGTTAGAAACCACTTCCACTGAGACCACACACGCACTTGGTAAAAAAAATAATGCAGAGGGTGTCGCACACCAGTTTTCATGAGCACTTGCAAGGCTTATGCTGGATGTCACCCACTTAATCTGGCTCTTAAATCTGTTCTGCAGCCTCCAATGGTGTGTTTTTATTTTATTAAGAGAACATCTGGATTCATCTTTTTTGCTGGGTCTCTGCAGTTCTCTGCTACCTTGCAGGCAGAAACTCCTGACGTTTCATGCCTGATCTTTCACCTTCTTACGAAATAGATCTTTCAGTGTGGCAGCACCCAAATTTCGGAACTCTCTCCCTATTGATATCAGACAAGTGCCTTCACTGTACTCTTTTCAATACCCGCTAAAAATATTTATGTTTAGGCAAGCCAGTCAAAATATACAGAATGTTGACATCTGGCTTCTAGCTTATCGTTGATCTTAGGGGTTTTTGTTGTTGTTTTCTGTTTTATACTGTTGTTTTTAACTGCTTTTACTGATAATTGCATTGTTTTATTCTTTCAGTAAACCACTCTGAGATTATTGTGGGGGGTTATCTTTTCTTTACACAATCAAATGGTATGTCCATTTTAATTAATTAATAAATAATATTAACACCTTCACAGTCCTGCCCCCTACACCATAAATGTCTGAGAGTTGTACCTTCTCTGTGCTTCTTTTTTTTTATTCTGTGTTGAAACAGGGCCAGCTTTGGGGTTCAATAGGTCCACTTGCCAAGCAACTCCACTCCCCCTTCCCTGTGGGCAATGGGTGGCCCCAGATTCTCTTTCATCCGAGCCACCTGCCCATAAAAGTCAGCTGCCAGCAGATGGCGTCCTCTCTGCAAACAGCAGAAAGAGAGGGAAGAGTGAACGGCAATGCCAGACGAAGCGGAAGCAGAAGTGGTGCTGCTTCTGTGTGAGAAAAGAATAGCAGCAAAAAGCCTGATCACAGAATCATAAGATCGTAGAATTAGAAGGCACCCCAAGGGCCATCTAGTCCAATCCCTTGCCATGATGTTTCTTGGCCTGCACTGAAATAAGCTTGCTGGGCTGGAGACATACCTGGAGCAGAGGCTCAAGTGCCTATAGATTCTGCATCCTCGTTGGGTATAATAGTCAGCTCCCAGGGGTTCTCTGCAGCAAGAACTGGAATCCCAGGGTAGATAGAGGAAAGATGCAGGTAGGGAGCAGCTGAGTCTTCATGCCCCACTGTTACACCAAGAAAGGTAAATGAGCTGCAGTTTGAGTAAGTGGAGCTGAGACTGGATGGTGATGCATCTCTGCTGCATATCTAGACTGTATACAAAATGAGCAAGCTATAGAGTTAAGTGAAAGCACTTTTAAGGCAGAGTTTCTCACTGAGGAAAGCACACAGTTCACTCTCCCACTAAAATGATAGGAACTTTTAAGGTTTGCACATAACTTTAAACCATAGTTAAACAAAACTATGGTTCAGAAGTTGATTGTGGGTGCTTTGCTCCTCCCCAACTGAGAAACTCCTCCCAGTCCAACCCAACGAGGCTGATGGGAATTGTAGTCAAAATAAAGAAATGACGGGAGGGCACCGGGTTGGGGAAGTACCTGCAGCACACCACTTAAGGAGCTGGTTTTGGGGGTGGGGAGCATTAAGTACCATGCACCAGACGCTGCTCCCATGCACACATTATTTTATCTGACCATCAGCATTCTGCGTTAACTTGTGCATGAGGCTCAGCGACTTTTCCCTTCAGGGAAAAGGGAGAGCATCCCCAAGGGTAATTACAGTCAGTATTAGAACTGGGTCAACTGCTGAATGGGAGCTGAATGGGAGCCAGAAACCAAAGGATGGACACAAAAGATCTACAGCACCATTGGAGAAATACCTCATTTTGATGATGTGTTGCTTCACTCTGGGAGTAGCCAGTGTGCTGCCCTCCAGATGTGTATTTGTCCCCAGCTCCTATCATAGAATTGTAGAGTTGGAACCCCCGGAAGGGTCATCTAGTCCAACCCCCTGCAATGCAGGGATCACAGCTAAAGAATCCCTGGCACCCAAGCGAGTGTGAGCAAAGGTCAGGAATGCTTGTAATCCAAAGCACTGGTGGGAGGAGGGAAGGTTGCTGCTTCTGCCTCTGGTCTATGGAGCACAGGAGAAAACAGCAGCACAGGCCTTCCTGTACCATCCCCAGGTGGTTCCCAAGTGCTACAGACAGTTTTCATGTCAGCCCCTCGTATTTCAGCCATCTCCTGCAGTATCTTAACCACTGGTTTATTTGTAAGAACGTAAGAAGAGCCTTGCTGGATCAAGCCAATAGCCCATCTAGCATTCTCTTGCTCACAGTGACGAATCAGAGGCCACAGTGGGAAACCTGCAAAGTAGGACCTGGGCACAAGAACCCTCTCCCCTCCTGTGATCCCCTGCAACTGGTGTTCAGAAGCATTGCTGCCTCTGACTATGGAGGCAGAGCATAGCCAGCCTGGCTAGCAGACCTCAATAGCCCTCGCCTCCAGGAATTTGTCTCGCCATTAATTTATTCAACCCAACTTTTGGGGAGTGGCATTTCCCTGCTTGGGTGTTGCCAGTGTTACATTTGTGGTGTTTTTGCTTACATTGTTATATGCATTTCGCTACATCTGATGATACTGTACCCACTTTCAGACTATGGGTTGTGACAAATGCCTTGAGTGAGAGTGTGTCTGCCCAACAAGTGTTCTATTCCTCTAGCTCATGTGTTCAGTAGTCTGTCTGTCTCTCTGAACAATGCTCTGGGGAACTCTGGAAGTTTATATGGTGCTCCTCAGTGAGAGTATAACTACAGTAGAGGACAGGCTTCTCCAAAGGAGTCTGTATACCTTCCTATGTAACGCAGGAGGAATTAGCATTCCTTGGAGGCAGAGAATAGAAAATCCACAGCAGTTGCAGTTAACTGCCCAACAAGTTCAGGGTACAGCACCTCCAGAAGAGAAGTCTGTCTTCTGAGTCATGTCGCTCTGGCTTTCCACCTAAGAAGACTGGAGTCTTCACATAAACTACAATTCCCACCCACCATTAAAAGAGAGTTTGCAGTACCTGCCCCCTCCCCCAAAATATCTTCTGCTACTGCAACTACCACGTGGACACATCAATCTCCACTCTTTCCTCCAGTAAAGAACTGCAGTGGTTTCCTTTGCAATGATTTGCCCAAGTGATTGATGCTGAACATGGTACACTTGCAAGTCACATTTCGATTGTGGCAAGCAGCAGCTGGCGCAGAGCATCAGCACATAAGACTACAGCCAGCCAACCCCTCGTGCTAGAAAACACCTCTTCTATGCTGTGCTTCCATTTCAGCTTCCCATGGAGCCATGGTATTGCAGAAAGGCTGTGGCTCATTGGTAGATCACCTGCCTTGCATGCAGAAAGTCCCAGGTTCAATCCCCAATGGCATCTCCAGGTACAGCAGGGAGAGGTGCCTGCCCAAAATCCTGGAGAGCCACTGGCCAGTCTGGGAGAATTATGGATCTGGGTGCTCCGACAGCGAAGGCTTTTCCACAGGGTTTTAAGTACCTGCCTCTATTGCACAATAAGGCAGTTTGTGGAATTTGAAACACACACAACAGGAGCTACAGGTCCTGTAAAGGATAGCAGCAATGCTAAACCTCATTCAGTACAGAGACTGCAGTCATCAGGGATGCTTGTAAAGTCTTGTAAAGACTTGTAAAGTCAGATAAAGGTAAAGGTAAAGGGCCCCCTGACCATTAGGTCCAGTCATGACCGACTCTGGGACTGCGGTACTCATCTCGCTTTACTGGCCAAGGGAGCCGGCGTACAGCTTCCAGGTCATGTGGCCAGCATGACTAAGCCGCTACTGGCAAACCAGAGCAGCGCACGGAAACACTATTTACCTTCCCGCCGGAGTGGTACCTATTTATCTACTTGAACTTTGACGTGCTTTCGAACTGCTAGGTTGGCAGGAGCAGGGACCGAACAATGGGAGCTCACCCCGTCGCGGGGATTCGAACCGCCAACCTTCTGATTGGCAAGTCCTAGGCCTATATTAAACCATTTGCAGAGACTGGTGCATTATATTTACAGAAGAGGTCTTCTACCACCTGACTAAAGCAAGTTTTTCCACCTTTGCTGTAATGCCTGGCTCTTTATTGGGGGAATAACAGGACAGACTGCAGCCTTGGGGAAACTAAAAGCAGTTCACAGGTCAGAGAACTTGCTAGCTCCCTGACATTATGCATCTGTTATCTTCAGGAGGGTTATTTTCAAAATCTTTTGCTTCATGAAAACAGAAATACTGCTATCTTAAGAGAGTTTAGATTTCAGGTTAGAACATTTTGCTTGAAACTCAAATTAAGAAAGCATGCCTTCTTGATCTAACTGCAAAGGTCTGTGTGCCAATGTGAACTCTTCACATGGTTTATTTCTATAGATTATGGCACGAGTAAAAGTTGGCATAATTTGAGATTCCCCACTGAGAACTTTTTCTGACCCTGGTACAAGTCCTTATTTCCAGTGCCCTTGGAAGGCTTCCCAATGTTAATACCTTATGCAAAGATCAGCACAAGTAATCTGGCCACTGGCAAAATTTAATTTACAACTCCTGTAAAAAGAAGGGGTTTCATACACACAAAAGATTCTGCCAAGCTCAGGAAACAAGCAAAGATACCCAGATTAGTCATTTCTCACTATGATTATATTCTTTCAACTACCAACTATGTAAGGTAAGCAGAATAATTTAACAGACAATACCTTAACAGGACAGAAACAAAAGAACAGTAGAATATATAGGTATAATGATAAATGACTCATCTAAGACATGTCCTCTCCAAGGACAATAATGGCTCAGAATAGTATAAAACCACAGACTCACAGAATTGTGGAGTTGAAAGAGACCCTAAGGGTCATCCAGCCAATTCCACTGCAATACAGGAACCTTTCCTCTCTGTTTCCTCTTTTGCAGGTTAAACATACCCAACTGCCTCAACCATTCTTCATAAGGCTTGGTTTCCAGACCCTTGATCATCTTGGTCACTCTCCTCTACACACGTTCCAGCTTGTCAATATCCTTCTTAAATTGAAGTGCTCAGAACTGGGCACAAGACTCCAGGTGTGGTCTGACCAAGGCAGAATACAGCAGAACTACGACTTTCTTTGATCAGGACACTAGACTTGTGTTGATGCAGTCTAGAACAGCATTAGCCTTTTTTGCTGCTGCATCACATGGCTGACTCACATTGGCCTATGAGCTACTAAGACCCCTAGATGCTTTTCACATGTGCTGCTGGCAAGCCATGTGTCCCCCATCTTATATTTGTGCTGCTGGTTCTTCCAACCTAAGTGTAGAACTTGACATTTGTCCCTATTGAAATTAATTTTGTTAGTTTGGGCCCAATTCTCAAATCTGTCGAAGTCATATTGAATCGTGATTCTGTCTTCTGCAGATACCCCTCCTGGTTTGGTGTCGCCTGCAAATTGGATGGGCATCCCCTCAATTTCTTATTCCAAGTCATTTATAAAGACATTGAACAACGGGCCCAGGACATAACCCTGCAGCATTCCACTTGTCCTTTTTTTCCAGTATAATGAGGAACCATTAGTGAGCATCCTTTGGGTTCGGTCAGTCAACAAGCTACAAATCCACCTAACAGTTACCTCTCATCCAGCCCACATTAACACCAGCTTCTCTGTAAGGATACTATGGGGGACTCTCTGTTTTTCTGCATATACCTGGCTAACCACTGATTGAAGCAGGATGCTCAGCTAGATGGGCCTTCAGTCTGATACAGCAGGGCTCTTTTATGCATTTAGAAGTCCTGCTGTTCTTGGCAGTGGGCAGCAAAGTCTTGAGAATCTCAAAGAGTTTCTTCTCCTAAGCAGGCCTTGGTGCCCTGACCTTAAGGGTGATGATTCAATGCCCGATAACAGGAACTTTATTGTGCATATGCAGGGAGGGCTTGTGCAAAGAGCAAATCAGCCAAATAAGGCCTTTTTTGCACAAAGTCAGGGAAAGGTCCAGGAGACGACGTCATTCAGAGGAAGCATTTAGTCACCAGTTTCCTCTGAGTTCTGGAGACTGGCCAGAGGGAGTCTCCTAGCTGCCCATGTATTTGCAGCAGGGAGAAGGGATGCTTAGGCCACAAATGGGTTGGGTTCAAAAAAATAAAGAATAAAGGAGAAGAAAAACCTTGAGGTCCAAACCAACTGACAGAGCACTTGGAAGTGCACACACAATTTTGGCTGAAGAGCTGCTCCTTCCTGCCAGGCAGACGAGGAGAGAACGGCCCACTGCAAGCTAAACAGCAGTGCAGTTTCACGGGACACATCTCAAGCTCAGGACTTCCCCTCAAAGCTGCTGCCTCATTTCCTGCCCAGAGGGTGGGGCTGGGCCAGCTATGGCGGGGGCTCCTGCACAGCTCCCTCCTTACCAGGCCTCATTGCATTGCTCTGTGTGAGAGAGTTACGTTTCCAGATGGGACTGACAAGATTCAAATAAAAGGGAGCAGCAATCGAGCATGACTGGGCAGGAGAGGGACTGCCTGCCTAGGTTTCCAAAACTGCCATAAGAAGCGGGATAAAGATAAGGCTGCTGAGACAGCAGTGCATAGTTAAACTATGGAACTCACTCCCACAGGAAGCAGGCACGACCACCAACCTAGATAGCTTTAAAAGAGGATTAGACAAATTCATGGAGGAGAGGGCTCTCAATGGCTATGCTCTGCCATCCAGTCATGGATTCTTAAGCAACAATATACTGTATTGTCACAGCCCAAAGAGTCACACTAGCTCTAGTCTATTAGTATGACTTGTGCAGTATCCTGGTCCCACGTTAACCAATAGGGAGAGCAACCAGGTTTATAGCTGTGTTTATACAGGGGTGGGGCAGGTTCCCTCACTAAATATGTGGGAGTGCTCAACTTGGAGAAGATGATGAGTTTAAAGCTGGTAACAGGGAGTCAGTGTGGTGTAGTGGTTAGAGTGTCAGACTAGGATCTGGGAGAGATCAGTTTTCAAATCCCAACCTGACCATGAAGCTCTCTGGGTGACCTTGGGCCCATCACTGCCTCTCAGCCCAACCTACCTCACAGGGGTGTTGTGGGGAGTAAATGGGGAGAGGGAGAGCTATGCATGCCACATTGACCTCCACGGAGTAAAAGTGGGATATAAATGCAACAAATAGATGAGTATAATTAGTATTGCCTTTGAGAGAGAATTGGCCTTGCTAGTATAACAGAGATGAGAAGCAGACCCATTCCACCGGTTCTGCTCCAGTGAGCCCCACTTACTCCCGAAAGTGTTTCAATAACTGATGCCTAAGAAATACCATTTAACTTTTAAGATTTTGTGTCTGAGTTACGTTTCCCCCCCTTTTCCCACCCAGTTCCTTTTTCCTTTCATGTGGTGGCACGACTTGCAAACCCGCAAGCAGGGACTCTCTTGTTATTAATTTGATTGTATCTAAGCTGTTATAGGAGCCTTTCCAGCTGGAGAGTGGGTTAAAGATTAATAAATAAACATTTTGGAAATAGAAGCTACATGTTCACCCACACATGTTCAACTTAGCACATGAAATCAGCCCTTTTCTCTTTGTAGATGACTCTGCGCATGGGAAGAAGATGCATCACCAGCCCCAGACTGTCTCCCATGCTAGCAGTATCGAAAAGCTACTTGCAGATCACTTGCAGAGGGTGTCTTGTTTCCCACACCCAACACTACCCTGTAAGGTTGACCAGCATTACCCCCCAAACACCAGACAGGAGGCTAAGGGGGCAGAGATAAAGCAACTTGCCTTTAAGAGGGTTTTCACTTTAGGGCCGTAATGTGGTTTTTCCATAAATTTCTGAATCAGAAGCTTCCAATGCCCTATATTTCCACAAAAAAACTCTGGAAGAACACCCCCCTGCCCCCGACACAAACACAAAAGGGAGATGAAATGGAGATGAATTTATAAAAGGATGGGAGAGGTAAAGATGAAAGCATGTACACTTCAAGTAGGGTTGCCATATTTCAAAAAAGTGAATATCCGGACAGAAAAGTCGTTGAGCGAAATCTCAAAAAAATAAAAACGAAATTTGCCAAAATCTACACCGCCGCACTGGGCTGCCATCCGTAAGGTTTTTCTCTGACATTTCTGCGATTTCCACCTGGATGCTGTTTATGAGGGCTAAATACAACCCTAATCTAAAGTAATTAAATCACCTGTTCAGGCTCCCCCCCCAATTGTTATTACTGAATATGTAGGTGAACAACCTGAAAGCTTGTCTCGCTAAAGAACTTTTGACATGGATGTTGGCTGTAGCCAGTATTTCAGTAGCCCAGAAATGGAAAACCTTAAAAATCTGCATTTGAGTGTGTGGTATAAAAACCTACGGATTTTGGCTACTGTGGAAAAAATGCACATAAACAGCGTTATTCCGGGGGGGGGGTGGAGGAGCCAAAACATTTTTCTGTCATGTGGTGTGATTTTATTTCCTATGCTTCAGACTTAGATGCTCAACACCCACCACCCATGCCAGTTTGGGAAATAAGGATGTATTGATCTGTACTGGTGTGTCACATTTATTTCTGTTATTTATTGTTTGCTTTGAGCTATTTAAGCATTTTGAAACATGAGAACTCAACAGCAGGGGTCAGCAAACTTTTTCAGCAGGGGGCCAATCCACTGTCCCTCAGACCTTGTGGGGGGCCGGAATATATTTTTTGGGGAAAATGAATGAATTCCTATGCCCCACAAATAACCCAGAGATGTGTTTTAAATAAAAGGACACAGTCTACTCATGTAAAAACATGTCGATTCCCAGACCGTCTGCAGGCTGGATATAGAAGGCGATTGGGCTGGATCTGGCCCCCGGGCCTTAGTTGGCCTACCCATGCTCAACAGCATTCACTAATGCTACAAATACACATTTTACTACACACACACACACACACACACACACACAAAATCACTTTTAGAAACTGAACAATTTTCCAGCCAGCACCACTAATGGCTGAGAAGACAAGAGATAAATTTGAACTGAGAAATTTCTTGCTCACAGCTCAGCCTCCTACCACTAGACTAGACACTTGCAATCCTCATAAAGCAAACTCACCAGTAAATGGGCATGTAGTTAGATGTTCAGCATTGGGAGGTAGAAGTGGAGCACTTGGGTGAGCATCTCCTGGCTAAGCCAAGGTGGGAACTAAACAAAAAGGGGTAGATACAGTATTTCCTTTTTTAAAAAAACACAGTGATTCCCACCCACATGTCTCACCACACATAGCACCAACATCCTACAGTGGAGATGGCAGGAAGCAAGCTGGGAGGGAGCTGTCTAGCCCACTCAGATGGTCCTCCCATGTAAGACTGCCAGTGGCAAAGTAGGCAATGGCAAGAGAACTAGCCTATTGCCCAGCCCTTTTGTTAGCCAGCCAACAAACCAAGAAGTCTTCTATTTATTATACGTCCCCATTTCAGCCAAACCATGGAACTATAGCTTTACTTACTTACTTACTTGGTTTTTGGGTTGTTCTCACAACCCACCCTTCCTTCTCAAGCTATTAACCACAGTTTCTCAGTTTGGACAACACAGGAAAACCAGAGTTAATGGGAACATGCTGTCTTGTTGACTGGCTCATGAAAAAAGAAGAGCAAAGGGTCTGCACCCACAGGGCAAAAGGCTTGTTCATATCTTGGTTCAATGGCCCATTCACTTAACCTTGTTGGAGAGAAGGCAGTGTCTACTGTACCTGAAGTTGATGACTATTTTGGCATTTTGCAGGAGCTGTTTGTTTTCTTTTCTGGATCTATATGAAGATGGAGGATTTTAAACACATGAAGCAATCTACATTTTTCTGTAAAGAGCTTAATTGTAACTAGATGGTCTGCATACTATGAAGCAGTCCAGGCAATTAAAAATGGATATACAGGCATTTTACAAACTCTCAAACATATTTTTGAGGACTCAGATGAGAAGCCTAAATGTAAACAAGATGCAAAGAATTTATACCATAAGTTGACAAAGCTGGAAAATGCTATTTTAACAGTCATTTGAGAAGAAGTGCTGGAGCATTTCACCAAACAAGTAAGAAATTACAAAACCCTGGTTTTGGTGCATTTGAAGATTATTGTCTGCTATCCTATTTACTTTCATTTGTTAAAGAACTCAGAGAAAATTCAGTCGATAGGATTGCACATTATGAATCAGAAGCAAAAGGTTTGTGTGAAGCTATCACTTCAAGTTCTGATGCTTCCCAAACACATTGTTACAAGGAAATTTTTAAATAGAACAAGTTGTATTGCTTATTTCAGAGGAGCTGACAATTTTAGGATAGAAGTTCTATATCAATTCTATGACGGCTTGATAAACCAGTTACTCAAAAGGATTAACCTGATGAGCAGATTGGTGAACAATTCTGAAATTGATGAGGACAGTATTAAACTTATGGTATCATATTGCAAAGGTTATATTGCCCACAAATTAGTAAACAAGAGTTATCAGTTCAAAGAATATTTGCACCACAGGAAATCCCAGAACAGGCCATCAAAAGTGCAATGTGCAGAGGTTCTTCAGCCTTTTTGTGAGCTACACCTAATTGAAATGTTCCCCAGTTTTACTAGTGTGCCTAAGCTGTACTTGACAATGACTACCACAAGCTGTGAAGCAGAAAGGAATTTTGCAACGCTGTATTTTATGGAGAACACATTTCAGTCTACCATGATGGAAGAACACTTGAATTCTTTATGTACAGTGGTGCCTCGCAAGACGAAATTAATTCATTCCGCGAGTTTTGTCGTCTTGCGGTTCTTTTCGTCTTGTGAAGCACGGTGTCGGGAAAGTTTTGGAAAAGCTTCAAAAATCACCAAAGTCTTTAAAAACCTCAAAAAAGGCTACCACACCGCATTCTATGAGTTGCTCCTCGAAGTCAAGTCGCAACTGTATTAACGGTGTTAAGAAAAGGAAACAAACTTGCAAGACGTTTCTGTCTTGCGAAGCAAGCCCATAGGGAAAATCGTCTTGCGAAGCAGCTCAAAAAACAAAAAACCCTTTCGTCTAGCGAGTTTTTTGTCTTGCGAGGCATTTGTCTTGCGAGGTACCACTGTATATTGTCTCTAGAAATTGACATTGCAAGGAAGCTCTCATATGACAAAACTGTACATGAGTATGTTGCTAGAAAAACCAGGGGAAAAATATATTTTGTAAAATGTGCTTCATGTGCTATGTATTCTCATAGGCGTCTAAAATAAACAGTTTTATTGACTGTGGTCTTTTCTTTTCTTTGTTTTATTTCATCATTCTATAATGCATCATGCACCTATATAACATTTCTCTAATTTTCACCACACCCCATAACTCAAAAACTGTAAGGCATGGAAAATAAAATATTCACACAGTGACTGGCATTTTTAATCGAAATCTGAGATGTAGTAGTTAAAAAAATATGTGGTGATAATGTCATGGAACAACCCACAAGAAGATAATAGGGGTTACCCAGACCTTGTTGCTGGTTGCAAAGGGCTCCCCAATAACAGTTCAAGCTTCAAGGCTCCCCAAAATGCATGCCTGCCACTGTGCAGAAGCAAAGTCCCTGGATAGCTACAGGGAAGGGACAGCCAGCAAGGGATGGTGCGCCTTAGGGATGGCGGCAAGGGACCCTTCCAACAAGCAGATGGAGGGTTGCACAAACATATCTGAGGAGCTACTGGAGTCACAGTGTTTAACAGAGGAATCGGATAAATATGTCACTTTTTTAAATTAACTTTTTATTGCAAGAACTGACGAAAGAAAGAGCAGGTGGCAAGCATCCCTTTAAAGAATTTTGACTTTGCCTCCCTTGCACACTTAGGAGGCAATGCCACTTCCTACAAGTATGCATGGCCTAAGGACAAAGGCAGGAGGCTGCTCACTTTAGAACTATTGTGTTCACATATGTGCCCAGTTAAACCTATTGACTAAGATTTAATCTCAGGGTTTAGATTTCACTCGAGACAGAAAAGCATGCATTTCCTGCCACCGGATGTACACACTGCAGGTGCTGAGATGCAGGCATATGAAGTCTGCACTCTCTCACACAGCCTCAAACTCACACAGCCTCAAACTCATAACTACAGTGGTACCTTGGGTTAAGAACTTAATTTGTTCTGGAGGTCCTTCTTAACCTGAGGTACCACTTTAGCTAATAGGGCCTTCCGCTGCTGTTGTGCCGCTGGCGCACGATTTCTGTTCTCATCCTGAAGCAAAGTTCTTAACCCGAGGTACTATTTCTGGGTTAGTGGAGTCTGTAACCTGAAGCATCTGTAACCTGAGGTACCACTGTATGTAACTTTATCCACATGTACATGGGGTGTGTGTGTGTGTGTAAGCAACATGAAGTCACAGCACACAGTATGCTGCAGTGGTTAGTGTGTTGGAGTAGGACGTGAGTGAGTCCAGGGTTCGAATCCCCACTCAGCCATGAAGCTCAGCAAGTGTGACCTTAGACTAGTCACTGCCTCTCAGCCTAACCAACCTCACAGAGTTGTTGTGGGGATTAATTGAGGAGGGAGATGAGAACCATGTACACCACTTGAGCTACTTGGAGAAAAAGGTGGGACATAAATTCAATAAAATATATGTATTTGGACCAGCAGAAACTATGGAAGGGAAAACTAGGTTTCCCTTTCGGATTTAGCCACATCCAAATCAACAGCACCAGAACCTGCCCCTAGAAGAACAATTTCTCACTTTTACCTTCCTGAAGACGTGCGGGTGACGCTAGCTGTGCTTGCGTATGAAAGAAACCATTTGCCATGTCCCTGTGAAAACAATGCCATCAGTGATGGGATCTCACTACCATGGGTAACAAAGTCGTTCCATTTGTTTTGGAGAGAGATGCTTGATGAAATCTTATGCTTTGAGGTGTCATTTTGGCAGGAGATGGAACTATGAAGAACTCACAGTTAGTCCCACTGACCTTAGCAGGTCTTGGCTGCTTCACCTGGTTCATAAAGAAAGCCTCCCTCAGGTGGTTTGAAAGCTTGTGGGTGTGCTAGCTGGAACTGCATTAATTCCATAACACTACAATGCCACCACCCCAGTAGAAAGGTCCAGCTACCAGTAGATCTCACGTGTCTCTGAATCCTATGTTTGAGAACATCCTCCTTTCTTTTTCCCTTCCTTTCTTCCTTCTTTCTCCCTCTTTAAAACAAAAACCAGAACCAGCAGGTATGTTTTTTTGGTAGAGGGGAGGCAGAGAAGCAAGGATTCAGACCATGGAATGCAGTCAGTAGTGGTAGTGGTGGTGATGTTCCTAAAGAAAAGCCTTACATGCACATTTTTCCTGCTGAAAAACTCACCTCCCCCATTCTGCAGTCTTAATCTTAATCAGCCCCTACCCACCCCACCCCACGAGTGCTACTTTTTAAAAAGGAAGAATCCCAACCACAAGTTCATAGATGTTGCTAACATGATATATACCGTATTGGCCTGAATATAAGCCTCACATTTTTTCCACATTCCAACCGTGAAAAGTTAAAGTGTGGCTTATATTCGCGACCTTACTAAAACTGGCTTTTACGATATCACTGCTGAAACAGACATACAGTAAAACAGAATGGGTGTGAGTGCCTGTGGAATTTTAAGGGAAAAGCTTATATTTGGGTATTGTCTTTTTTTTCTCCCCCCCCCAAAAAAAAATTTTAAGGTGCAGCTTATATTCAGGCCAATACATTAGTTTAACTTGTCTTGTGTCTGAGCTCAGGAAGATGAAAATCCCAAGTACAGGAAGCAGCCCCCCACAGCTGCAGACAAGCCTTGATCTCTTGTATCAGACATATGATCAGCGTCTCCATAGAGGACAGTTACCAAGTCACTTATTAATCAGACACTTATTAATTTAATAAAATTTAAATGCTGCTTGATTATTTTAAAAAACAGACACTTCTGGTGTTTTACAGCAGTAGAACAACATTATCCATAATCATATTACTAGAAAGTCACCATTAAAGGTGCAGTTTCTTTCTGGAAAGCGTTGCTCAGCATTGTGAGATTTCGTAAAAAGTTATGTGCAAATTTAAGTACCGGTACATGGCAATTTTACAGAGGAATGTAATGAGACCCTAAAAGCCCATTGTGCACCAGGCTTTCTTGAAGCCATGCTGGCTGGGATTGATGGAAGATGTAGTGCAAAACCTCTGAAGAGGACCAAGTTGAGGAAGGCCACAATCCAGCACAGATGGACATGCCTTAATACTTTTATTTCAGTGGGCTTCAGTACACCTGTGTCACACCATAGCTTTAATCTTTCTTTCAGTCCACATCATGCATACTACATACAGACAGGGAAAAGCAGGCCTGAGACTTCTCATTCATGGAAGGATATTCCTTCCCCACCTTCAGTGGTGGCTCATGAAGGAAGTGGTGGTGAGGTCTGGTGCTGGGGCTGCACATGTACCTTCAGGGCCAATGCCACCAACATGGAGCTCCCCCAGCCTTCATCCCTGGGAGGTCACCACTGTTCCTGTCTCCCTACCATGAGCCACTGCCACGTACCCCTGCTTGCCAGCTTCCCAGAAGCTCCTGACTTGCTACCACTGGATGGAAGGAGCAGTAAAGCGACCCTTGGCCCAATTTCTGTACTTGTAGGCTTTTTAAGAGAGAGCAGAAAAGACACTTTAATTTATATTTTTTCACACACACGCGCGCCACTGACAGTACCCTCGTTTCCCCCCCTCCTTTCACATTTATATTTTACCCCACTCCCCCACTAAGCATCTATTCTATTTCATAGTTTATACACTGCTCAAAGTGTTTACAAAGAGAATAAAACAATAAAAGTATCAGTTAAAGACAACCATAAAACACCTCTCTAAACAATTTAAAACACAAAACCAACAATAAACAGATTAAAACATATATCCACATTCCTTTTCATTCTTTGCTGCAGGTTCTACTTCTTCCTCCTATAATAGCTTTTAGTTTCTTTATCTCCCATTCCATTATTCTAAAAATCAACCTTTTATCCCCCTTTGGTTCATTAAACACTGCTCTAATCCTTAGAGGGAAAATAACTTCCTTTCCGCCCACATGTCTTGTCTTCCAGCCACCTTTACCAAGCAAAAACAAAAAAACCCAAAAAAACCACTTTATTGCTTTTTTGTTTAGCTGAAGCCATTACAAAAGAAGATACATAAAAACAAAATAATACATGACATAGTTAAAGTAATTACTAAAACTAGCCAGTCTATCAAATAAGAATGTTTTTCCACTGAATAATTTAATTTACCGGTATAACCCACACAAACCTTTCTCCTTAAAATTGCAGCTCTGAAGGGCTTACTCACACACCACATAATTAAACTAGGGAACTCACTCTCACAGGTTAAAAAAAAAGGGGGTAAAAGGTAAAGGACTCCATGACAGTTAAGTCCAGTCAAAGGCAACTATGGAGTTGTAGCGCTCATCTCGCTTTTCAGGCCGAGGGAGCCAGCATTTGTCCACAGACAACTTTCTGTGGCCAGCATGACTAAACCGCTTCTGGCAAAATGGGATGCTGTGACAAGTGCCAGAGCGCACGGAGACAGTTTACCTTCCCGCCAGAGCGGTACTTATTTATCTACTTGCACTGTTGTGCTTCTGAACTGCTAGGTTGGCAGAAGCTGGGACAGAGCAATGGGAGCTCACCTTGTCATGCGAATTCAAGCCGCTGTGCGATTGGCAAGCCCAAGAGGCTCAGTGCTTTAGACCACAGTGCCATGGCCACCAAGCTAGGTGGCTTTAAAATAGGTTTTAAGAGGAGGAGAGGGCTATCGACGGCTACCAGCTGTGATGACTAAACTCTTCCATCCACAGCTGAGAGCCACTAACATTTCTGAATACCAGTTGCTGGAAAGCATAGAAGGGGAGAGCCTTTTTTGCTTGGATCATGCTTGTGGCCTTTACATTACAGCATCTGGTTGGCCACTATGAGAACAGGACACTGGATCAGGTGGGCATTGGCCTGATCCAGAAGACTCTTATGTTCTTTTGTTCTTAAAGGCAAAACTGGTCAACTTTTCCAGGAATGCCAGGTGACCTGCTATATGGGGCACTGCTGGTGCTGGCATCGCTCCAACCATAAGGCTATAGCATGACTAGAGAGTAGGGAAGCACTGGGGTGGCTGGGGTGTGGAGGCCTGCTTGAAAGCAAATTTGAGAAATGCTGTTCTAGAAATTAGGAGGGCTGGTGCACATCACAATTCATAAGAATATGCAATTCTACATCTGCAACTTTGTGTTTGAGTGGGCCAACCAGGAATCAACATCGCAGAAGCTGATTTCATATCTACACAATTGTGATGCTTTCATTGAGTAAGCCACACACACTCAGCCGAAACCCTCATCAGCCATTCATGTCAGGCAAACTGAATGCACTTGATTGGGGTGGGCTGCTCACACATTTTGCCCCAAACGAGTCTGAAGCAGGCTCAAGTGGTTCCGAGCACAATTCAAAGTGTTGGTGCTGACCTTTAAAGCCCAAAACGGCCTCGGCCCAGTATACCTGAAGGAGCGTCTCCACCCCCATCATTCAGCCCAGACACTGAGGTCCAGTGCCAAGGGCCTTCTGGCGGTTCCTTCGCTGTGAGAAGTTACAGGGAACCAAGCAGAGGGCCTTCTCGGTAGTGGCTCCCACCCTGTGGAACGCCCTCTCATCAGATGTCAAAGGAATAAACAACTATTTGACATTTAGAAGACATCTGAAGGCAGCCCTGTTTAGGGAACTTTTTTAATGACTGATGTTTTAATGTATTTTTAATCTCCTGTTGGAAGCCACCCAGAGTGGCTGGGGAAACCCAGCCAAATGGGCGGGGTATAAGTAATAAATAATAATGATGATGATGATGATGAAGAAGAAGAAGAAGAAACCAAGTAATGCACACACATACCCAAGGTATCTTGCAATGCAAACATGTTCAGCTTAAATCAACAATGTAAACAATGGGTGGACAAAATAGTATTTGGTGGACCACCAGGAGAGCCTGCTGGATCAAACCAATGGCCCATCTAGTTCAGTATCCTGTTCTCTCAGTGGCTAACCCAGAGGGGAAACTGGCAAACAGGACCCAAGAACTATCCCCTCCTGGAGTTTGTGGCAATTTGTATTCAGAAGCATCACTGCCTCTGACTGTAGAGGCAATTACAGCCATCATACTGATAGCCTCTGATAGCCAAAGTGCCTGTTAGTTGCTAGGATATTTGTAAATAATGTTAGAGTAGGTGAATTTGCAATGTGTTATTGCATTCTTAAGCAAAATTGCACCCTAAGCACTACCTTACACGTACAGTCGTACCTTGGAAGCCGAACGGAATCCATTCCGGAAGACCGTTTGACTTCCAAAACATTCAGAAACCAAAGCACAGCTTCTGATTGCCTGCAGGAAACTCCTGCAGCCTATTGGAAGCCATGGAAGCCCCATCGGACGTTCAGGTTCCAAAGAACGTTCGCAAACCAGAACCTGGGTTTGCAGTGTTCAGGAGCCAGAACGTCCAAGTACCAAGGCATTCGGGATCCAAGGTATGACTCTAATAAAGGTAAAGGGACCCCTGACCATCAGGTCCAGTCGTGGCCGACTCTGGGGTTGCAGCACTCATCTCGCTTTATTGGCCAAGGGAGCCAGCGTACAGCTTCCGGGTCATGTGGCCAGCATGACTAAACTGCTTCTGGCAAACCAGAGCAGTGCACGGAAACGCCATTTACCTTCCCGCTGGAGCGGTACCTATTTATCTACTTGCACTTAGACATGCTTTCGAATTGCTAGGTTGGCAGGAGCAGGGACTGAGCAACGGGAGCTCACCCCGTCGCGGGGATTCAAACTGCCGACCTTCTGATAGGCAAACCCTAGGCTCTGTGGTTTAACCCACAGCGCCACCCGCATCCCATAACGACTGTAATAGATCTAGATAATAGTTATTCTAGTAAAACAGCAGGCTGCAAACACCCCAGCCAAGGTCCATGCAATAACCACTTAGTCATTACATGTAACGGCAAGCCTAGAAAAGCATCTCTGTGTCCCAGGTTCCAGCATCAATTCTTAATTCTAGGCTTCCAGGACTTTTTCCAGAACATATCCAGCAGCCCGCTTTAACAATTATAGCATACAGATGTTTACCAGATACATAGTAGGTAACCTCACATATTTGTTATCTAAACATGATCTCAAAGATAGTCTTAAGACATCCCCACCAAAGGAGGAATCTGGCTAGCAGGTCTTTAACTCATTCCAGAAGGCTAAATATTTAATCAAATTTGCATGTCCACATTCATGAGCATTTAGCTTCTGAATCCACCTCGGACTTCCATATGCAGCTACTTAACACTCATTATCTGCAAATACAGTGGTACCTCTGGTTACGAACTTAATTCGTTCCGGAGGTCCGTTCTTAACCTGAAACCATTCTTAACCTGAGGTACCACTTCAGCTAATGGGGGCCTCCCGCTGCTGTGTGATTTCTGTTCTCATCCTGAGGTAAAGTTCTTAACCCGAGGTACTACTTCTGGGTTAGCGGAGTCTGTAACCCGTAGTGTTTGTAACCCGAGGTACCACTGTACACAAAACTGATCTGCAAAGCTGCCCCTAAGCTGGAGCACCAAGGCTAAGGAAGAAGAAGAGTTGCAACAGGGTGTGGAGGGGCAGGAAGTGACACCTCCTTACAACATTCATCTGAACCACTGGATGTCTTAGCAATGATTCCTACAGTGTGTGTTCCTAGTTACTGACTGATGCAAGTTCTAAAAATTACTCATTGCTCAGAAAGCATGTAGGAAAAGGGTTGGAAGAATGTAGTCGCTTTCTTTCTCTCTCTTTTTGGGGTGGGTTTTCACATGCCAAAATGTTCTAACTTAAGGAAGGGGAAGGAATATCTGTATAACCAATCTCATTTCAAAGGTTATATGCCATCAAAGAAATGGAAAGTATCAAATATCAGTCCCTTTAAAGAACCTATTGTATAATCAAGGGAACAGCAGATCAAAGAATCGAACAGGTCTTTCCCAACAGTCAGGTGCGCCGGAATCACAATTCATTCATTACTTTAAAGAGATTTGCATGGAACATTTTCCTTCTAAAAAAAATAAAAAATCTTACTCTCCTATGCTGCATGATTCTCTCTCTCTCTCTCTCTCTTTAAAAAAAACTGTTTTAGGATTTCTAACTTTTTGTTAGCTCCAGAAGTTTTCTAATTGGAAACTAAATAGCAAGAAGCAAAAGTGTTTCTTGCAAAAGTCTCTCTCCTTTTTTACATAAAGAGGGCCTTCCCTGCAGACAACCTCCTTTTTTCAAAAGGAAGTCAAGTATGGGCTTGAGAAGCTCAGCATTTAAGGCAACAGACCCTCCCTTAGCCAAGAAATACTTTTGAGTCAAGCTGAGACAAGGCTCTGTAGCAACTCAAAGAGAGAAACGAATTATGAATTACAAGAAAGCTGGAAGACCCATAGAGAACAGAGATCAGTGGTGGAGAATCTACATGCAGAAGGTCTCAGGTTCAATCCCTCTTGGCATCTGCTTCCTGAAACCCTTGGGAGCCCTTGCTGCCAGTCAGTGTAGACATTACTGAGCAAGATGGACCAATGGCCTGACTCAGTATGAGGCAGTTTCTTGTGGTTCCTAACTTTAGTGTGTTAAACTGGTTATACCATTATGCATCTACGACAGCTGATGTAGTTTTCATAGTCACAGAATTTCTGATACTTCATTAAGAAACACATTCAGGAGTATATGCTTATCAATGCTCAAAATCCCCTCTAAGAGTAAAATGGTTGTCCTACCCATAGATGGGTTTCACCATAGCAGGGAAAACCCAAGCAGAAAGAGATTGCTTTATGCTTCCTGCAGTGAGATGTGATCAACCCTCTGCCTAGAGAGCTGGTGCGATTGAAGGGCCAGGATATAGGGAGAAGACGTCCTGGGCTTGGCATCTTCCTGTGGGGTTTTTTGCGTTTTGTGGAAGAGAATAAAACTCTCATGCAAGTCTTTCTAAGATGCAAAGCAACCAGAGGGCATTACTGCTTGCTGGCGGTTGCCAATGGAAAGTTGCACAACTGCATTAATTTATCCAGCCGCCTCCACTGAGTGCAAGCAGCAGGAGCTTCATTATTTCTGAACACACACACACACTTTTGTAAGTGCAAAATGGAACACAGGAAGCTGCCTCAAACTGAGTCAAGCCATTGGTCCATTTAGCTCAGTATTGTTTGCAGTGGTTCTTCAGGGTCTGAGGCAGACGAGGGTCTTTCCAGGCCAGTTACCCACAGCTTGCAGCAATGCTGTGCATACAAACACCCTTCCATAGCCCCTAAAATAGAAACTCCTTGCAAATTAGCCTCACACAAAATTATCAGTGGGTAGTGCAAGCCCTTGAAAGTGAGGCATGCTTAAGTTACCCCGAAATGAGTGAGACCTATTGCAACATCAGCTCCATTGATTTAGATGAGACTTAAGCATGGGTAATTTTCACAGAAAATTGCAGAGTGGTGTCTTATGTACATATACCCACAAGTAAGACCCTCTGAGTTCAGTGGGGCATATTCCCCTGCAAACATACATAAGATTGCAGCCTTAGGTAAGGTGAGGAGAAAAATAAAAGCAGGAATTATGCATTGGATACCTGAATCAAAAGAGAACAGGAGTTTCTAGTAACCTTGATGGTTGTAAAGATGAGGGAACACTGGGAAGGAGCATCTTGTAATGAATGCCTGTCCCCCTTTACACAAAGGTAAGGAGTGCCCATCTTCTTTTGCATCCAGCCCTCAGAAAAACATGTATTCATAAGGATGCATGCCCCCGGTAATATTATGTACCTTTGCTCAAAAAAAAAACAAAAAAAACTTTCTGCTGCTTAAAAGTTTGCGGTCCTAACTCAAGTTCCTGGTGAAGTTAGTCCTCTCAGAGACTGGTCACTTGGACTTTTGCAAATTGTTTTTTTTGGGGGGGCGTTAATCACAACACAAAACGCCAAGCTATCGTTACCTCCCCAGGCCCCGCCAGCTATCCCTACAGAGCAAATGGTAGCACTGCACTTTTGCAGGGTGACCAAACCTGCCCTTTCGCCAACGGATGCTGCCCTGTCCAACCCGTCAAATGAAACGAGCAACGCTACATACATAACTACAGAAAATATTTATACCCCCCACCCTCCCATTGCTGAAACAACGCTCAGAGTGGGTGACAAAATGTTCGAAACAACCCCAAGGGCATCATCAGTGTGTTGCAATGTACAGTCAGAGTCCTTGGGTTTCACAGAACACATAACTGGGGCATCTAGCATTCTGAATCAATCAGAATGCCATATATAGGTGGTAGCAAATAAATTTAGATTGGTTTCGGTAATAAAACAGGAGTGGAAAGTTGTGAAGTGGTTCAGTTCATGACCTGCTCAAAAGCTGAATTCACATCCAGCTTCTCTACTCAAAGAGGTTTTCCCGGGATTTTTGCCTCAGTTTCAGCTAAGAGGAGTTCTCCGAGAAAAACGGTCACACATCTCCGGCCACATGGGGGAGGGAGATGGCAGCGACAAACAGGCCCCCATCCAACCGCCGAACTTTCAGTGGCTCTTGAGAAGCGCTGAGGAACCAATGCCAACTCAAGGCCCGAAGCGGGGCGTGGGCCGGGGCGCATCAAGGAGGGGGGTGCGAGAAGAGTGGGCTGGGCTGGGCTGGCAGGGAGGGGGGAGGACACAACTTCCTCGTGCGGCTAGAGGCGCGCCCCGACTGACGCCCCTTGGAGAAGGCCCACTGGCTTTGGAGAGCCGCCCGCGCGCCCCCTCAGTCAGCCAAGCACCCGACAGCGGGCGCTTGCCCTCCCGCTTCACAAAGACCCTCCCTCCCTCCTCCTCCTCCTCCTTCCTGCCATGAATGTGTCCCATTCACGAGGAAGAGGCGAGAGAGTGAGGGAAGGAGAGAGGGAAGGACCCAAATGCCTCAGGCGGGTCAGCGGGCCCCGGAGAAAGGAGGAGACGGGAGAGACCCGCCGCCAACCGGGAGACTAGGGAAGTGGCAGGGCCGGGAGCCGCCGTCATCCCCCGCCCCGTCGCCGTCAGCCGGGCTCGAACTGTCGCCCGCCTCCCCACACCCCCCCTCCACCCCGCGGCCCGGAGCCCGCCCGGAGAACGTGAAGCAGAGAAGCCTCCGTGGCGCGTAGGGTCAAGCAAAGAGTTTCTGAGTGAGGCGCAGTGGGGGCTTTACGCGCGCAAGGGAAGCCCTCCTCCTCCCCAGGCGGGAAGCAAACGGGGTCGACTCTCAGTTCGACAGCGGGGCTGAGGGAAAAGTGCAATGCGCGGGGCCTCCCATTCTCCGTGGAGGGCGCAAGCCTCTCCCGGCAGGCTCTCCGTACCGTTTTGGGCATGGTGCCTTCGGGCTGGCTCGGCGGGCTTCAGTCTCTGGGCAGGGCGGCTGTCGCTGCTGCTGCTGCTGCTGCTGCTGCTGCTGCTGCTGGGCGCCTCCTTCTGCTAACGGACTCGACTGACTGGGCAGTTCTCCCCGCCCGCCAACCTCTGTGGGCCCGCGGAGCGTGCGCCGCCTTTCTTTGGGGCAGTCGCTCCCGAGCCCCCGCCCCTCCCGAGCCTGGCGTCCTGACTCCGGCCGCAAGCTGGCAGGCGAGGATTGGGTCCCCTCAGGGGCTTCCTCGCCCACCCCTTCTGCAGAACAACCCCCACCCCACCCCCGGGAGCAGGAAGGGCGATGGGGAGCGGGAGGGTGGAGAGGGGATTTTTCTGTCCCACTTTGCTATCGCTCGAGCGCTTAAGCGCTTTCGGGAAAGAACTCGTTCCCTTCTGGAACTCCCTGCCACAAGATGAGCTAATAGCCACCGGCCTAGTTGGCGTCGAAAGGGGATCAGACAGTTCCCTGTTGCTATATCATACATCAATACACACAAATTCTTTCACTATTCCTGCATTACAGGGGGTTGGACTAGATGACCCTTGGGGTTCCTTCAAACTCTACAATTTATAATTCTGTAGGGTCAAGCAAGTTTCTCACTTTTACAGCATTCTATGAAATCCACCTTATATTTCTTCCACCTTTTTTTTCAAGCGGAAGAAAATGCCGTGCTCTTTCTTTTGCAAAGAACGGAACAGCGTGTATTAAGTTTATATCCCCCCTTTCCTCCCAGAAGCTCAAAGTGACATAAACCTTCCCCCTCCCTTCCTGTTTGTCTTCCCAACACCCCCGAGGGGTAAGTTATGCTGGCACAGTGTGCTTCGTGGCTGAGTGGGGATTTGAAATGGGGGCTCCCCTTGTCTTCCTGCAGTCTCCCCCTGACACTTTAAAGCTATTGTTTCCAAAATGAGTGGTACCACCCCCTGGGGGGCAGTGGGATTGCTCAGGGGGAGGATACTGGAGGTGAAAATGACCATCAGACTTAGAAGAGCAAGTATCACTAGATTAAGCCAACCAGTTTTGCTGAATTAATTAAATACTTTTGATTGGATTGTGAATAAATGTTTAATGAATTGTTACTGTTTTTAATTTTTATTGCGTTATTATCTTCCTTAGAGGGTAATCCAAACTACTATTCTGAATAATGCTTTTTATCTGGTATTGTAGGGGCACAGGGTGGGGAGGGCTGCATTTATGAAACCAAGGGGCCTGAAAAAGGTTTGGGGACCACTGTAATCTACTGGCACAATCAACCACACACAAATGGCTTGTTTATAGCACTATTTCATTCTTCTTCTTTTCCTGAGGCGTGGGTTTCACATGCGCAGTGATGTACTGGGGATGATATATCTATACAATTAGCATACTTTTCACTATGACATTTCTCGTGGGTTTTCTTTTTAGTTGTTCAGTTATATATAATATGCACACAATGACTCTTAAATGGAAAAGTGTTTTATTATATAATTATATATATAATTGTCAGGCTGTTGGATCAGATCAAGGGCCCATTTTCCCCCAGTTATTCTTTACCCCCAGCAGGCAGCCAGATGCCATTTGGAAGCACAGAGCGCATGCACATTATCCAGGGCAGGGAGGGAGGGAGGGAGACTCCCATGGTATTGGTGGGACAGTCAGTGTGTTCCCGTGTGCACCCTGGGTGGAGGTCGTGGGATGGAGAGAGAAACAAACAACTAGAAAATACAAAAACTAAACAGTAACAAATATATTATTTCCACCCCAAACAACTAAATGTTATGCCTCCCATTTATCATATATCACTGTTGCTTTATGGAGTTGCTGGGAAGGGTTTTTTGTGCACGCGCGCATGTGTGTGTGTTGCTTCCTCTCTTCTTCCTAGATATTTATCTCTTTGGAGAACATGGTTTCCTATGGAAAAGCAGTGTGCATACTGACTAGGCTGATGGAGAAGACCTATTAAAAAGGGGCGGTGGGGGGAGCTCACTTGTGGCTGGAAAGTTCCTGCAAAGTATCCTTTTATTTGGATATGACTGTACACCAGGACTTATTATTGACTGTTCCATTGCTATTTCATGGAATCATTATCTTATTATTCTTAGTATTATTTGTATCTCTCTCTACTCAGCATAATTCTTTTCTTCTTGCTTGCTTGCTGAAATCTCTCAGACATTTGCATTGTTAGATGTAACAAAATAATTAAATTGGGGAGAGGGTTTAGTACCCCCAATACCAATAACAGTACGTAATTCTTTTTTGGGGTTGTGAACATAACAAGCCCCCCCAAATGTATTTATGTTCAATATTTATTTGTTTGTATTGTATTGTCTTTCTTCTTGTATGTTATTGAAATGTCTGTCCTTTCTCAAATAATAATAGCAATAGTAGAAGCAGTAATTAAAAACTCAGTTCCACTGCCACCCCCATTTTCCCAAGTGGCAAAAACCAAGGTATATTTGGTACCTTATGGTGCTGCGCATGAATATTTGAAGTTATTGTTTGCCTGAAACCAAGGCTGCAGTCTTATTAAACTTCTCATTAAACTTTCTCATTAAACTTGATGGAAATTAACTGCTGAGCAGACATTTATTTATTTATTGCATTTGTTTTCCACTCCCTGTATGCAATATGCAAGGTTCATTCAAAGTAGCCTTCCTGGACAAAGCTGTGGGAACGCTCTCCCAGTTTTCCTGCCCAAACTCCTAACTGTATCCTCTTTGCTAAAACCAGGGGACTATGTTCTACATTGTATCCAATGCAACAATACCCTGTGTCACAGAGGTTTAGGGCAACTTGTGGTTCCTGAATTGCAGGGAACTGGACTAGATGATGTGGGGGGCGTTGTCCCTTCCACCTCTCCAGTTCTATGATTCTATTATTCTAGCTGTTCCCTTCCCTGTCTTCCTATCAGATGTGGGCAGGAGGTGAGGCAACCCACCACTCCCTTTCAGTTTCCTTATCCTCCTTTAAGCAGAGGAAACAGTCTTATACCTGCCTCTGCTTCCTGTTTTCCACAACTCTCTTTTGAGGCTTCTAAGTCGCTGCAAGGAACCTGGAAGCGTGCAGCTTCTCATCAGCCCCATCCAGGCTGATTACTGGCTGAACTACTTGTGTGCAATAGCCAATCTAACAGCCTGTCCCCCGCCCCCATCTGCATTGCAGATAATGGCATTGCATACTACGCAACGTGCAATACATGGTTGGAGGCAGTCATGTTTCTGAATACCTGTTGCTGAGCCTGAAAGCCAAAGGAGGGGGAAGTGCGCTTGTTATTGGGGTCCTGCTTGCAGGTTTCCCAAAAGGGGCATCTGCTTGGCCACTGTGAGAACAGCCCAAAAGCAGGACCTTTCAAGAGCACTCCCCCACTCTGTGGTTTCTAGCAACTGGCATTCAGAAGCATTGTTGCCTCCAACTGTGGGGGCAGAGCACAGTCATCCTGGCTAACAGCCATCAATACCCCTCTCCTTCTCCATGAATTTGTCCTGAGCAACTTCTTTGGTTATAGGAATGAAAGTACTTAAGAGGCAAGCTGAGGCCATTGTCTTACAATTGCCTAGTTCAGCAATAGAATCTTCTGTCAGATTTTAACCCTTGCTGAGTATAGGACCCCAAGAATCGGAAGTAACTCAGAACACATCATGCATACTGACCTGCCCCCAAACTGCAACATTATGTTTAGGATTGCCCCATTAACTCAGCAACTCCCCGACTAGGCCAGCTCTCTATTGAGAGTGCTAGAATTCCTGAGGCAGAGTTTGCCAAGCATCAATCACCAAGGTAGCTGCATTCTTGGCATGACTTTATATACTTGAGTTTTTATTTCATAATCCCAATGCACCAGAGTCTTCTTTGGTTTTGAAGTGACATTCTGTTAACGAGTTTATTTTGTGTATGTGTGTTACAAAAACATACTGTATAGGAAGTCTGGCCACACAGAGAATCGAATCCTATTCAGGTAATGTGCTAGCCCCACTTCTAACATCCTTGCATGCACTTGCTGCACTCCTTACACTTCCATTTTGAAAACATAAAAGGAGCCTTTTGGCTCAGGCCAAAGGGGCCCATCTATTCCAGCATCCTGTTCTCACAGTGGGCAGCCAGGTGCCCATTTGGGGAGACCTGCAAGCAGCACCTGAGCAAAAGAGCCCTCTCTCTTCCTGTGGTTTCCAGCAACTGGCATCCAGAAGCATTGATAACTATTGAGGCTAGAGCCTAGCCATCATGGCTAGTAGCCATGGATAGCATCATCCTCTGTGAATTTATCTAATCCTCTTTTAAAACCATCTGGATTGCTGGCCATCGCTGCCTCCTGTGGGAGCGAGTTCCATAGCTTAACTATGTGCTGTGTGAAGAAGTCCTTTCATTTATCTGTCCTGAATCTCCCAACATTCAGCTTCAAGCAATGTTCACAAGTTCTAGTGTTATGACAGGGGTAGAAAAACTTTTCTCCATGAGACGCATCATTCTATAAACCTCTATCATGTCGCCTCTTACTCGCCTTTAGTCAAAAATGCTGCAATCTTCCTTTGTATGCGAAGACAGGCTCTGACGGATTGAGCAGACAAGACCAAGAGTGGGTCCAATGATCAAGATGGTGGTTGCTGCACATGCTGTAGAGGAACTGAAGGGCAGATTGGGCTCGTCAGCATGGCAAGGTAGCCCATCTAGGAGAAGGAAATCTCTGATCCTAAACCTCCACTACCTTGTGGCTACACTCATTCATGATAATGACTTCAGGAATAAACCTTTAGGAAATATCCATACCTACTGCCTTGCGGGATATCTTCAGGAGGAGATTAAGCTAAGGAGTAAGCCCTAAACAAATCCGGAGTGGAGTCCCTAAGACTGTTGGATGGAGTCTTGTACATCTCTTTCTGACAACTCCTGCAGCCAAGCTGGTGCCAAGTGTGTTACTTTCATTTCCTTTGGACCACATCAGTGAGGCCGAGAGGGAGGATCTCATCATCTGGACAGCCCAGGACCACGGGCATAGCCAGGATTTTGCGGAGGCAGGACTTTTGTTAGGGGGGCAGAACCAATGTGATTGGTCAGTTAAGTATTTCTATTGTTTTACTTGATTGGGTATGATGACAGCTGCCCCCTCTGCCCTGCCCCCTGGCTACATCCATGCCCAGGACCTTCAAACACACTGTCCAGGCTTACTTTGGTGCTGCTAACTCAGCAATAACAATGTGGGCGGCTGCAGTTATAAGTTATCTGCAGCCACAGCAGGTGCTGTGATTCTCCAGTGGTTTGACTTCACCCCTGGAGGTGCACTCCACTGTCTCTTGAGGTAACA